TAAATCTGATCAAATTGCCATGATATTCTCAACTGATTTCCTTCAATATTCAGTAAGGTCCTCACCAGGCATTTTTTCATGTTTTTTACCAAAATTATCCATTGTATTGAGAAATTTTGCTATTTTCCCATGTTAGAATTAACCATAATGTCCAGTAATTTTGCTTAATGTTTTATTTTCATTTGTTATTCCTGTTGTCAGAAATGCCAATACAACCACCAATGTTAGCAACGCCACTACTGTATCTGTTGTAAAGCAACCGTAGTGAATGTTTGGATAAATGCAATGAGAGAAACTCAGCATTCACAGCTGAAGATGGACCACATGTGTTGTTTCTAGGGGCAACATCATGGAATACTGTTTGGCTTTGGGAGTAAATAAATAATCAAGATAATGTTACAGCCAGGTTGAAGCAATAAGCAATTTTAGACACAGTTTACACCTGGATGTTCTCTCTAGTCTGCTGGATGTATCTTGTCTTGCTTTGCTTTGTGTGTTGTGTATTATCTTATATTGCTTTGTCATGTCTTCCTTGTCTTGTTTGCTAGTAATTGTCCTGTTAGTACTTGATTTCGTATGAGTATCTTGCCGGCATTTGAATAATAAGGTTTACAAGAATGACTTATCTAGAGATATTACACCAGGATCATCTTTACTACATAACCTAGGCTGGATGACTGATGCGAAACAGACTATGTTTAAAATGTTTAACCAAGCTGTTACTACCCTGCGTGCAGAGTCTAGTTAAACTACACTCTGCCTAGTAGAGACTATATTACAGTTTAGTAGCCCCACCCCCACGACGGGTACCGGTGACAGTTTGGGTAATAAATCACTTTTGACCTACGCGCTGACCTTTCTTCCACCAATCAGCGAGCTTGAAGAAACATACTCCAAATGCGTTCTAATTAAATATGCGCGTGTCATTGGTCAATTCCGGGCTCAACGACGACGTCAGAAGGACTGACCATATATAGAACGTCGGTCAAATTTGGCCGACGAACACTGATTGGCGCGGTGAGTTCACAGGTTTATTTTAGTTTGAAAGAGTGAAGACGAAGCTCTCTTTTAAGAAGTGAAGTCAAACGAATGCAAAGGGTAAGCTGTTACATAAACTTATCTAAGATATTACAGTAAGACTGTCATAGATGAATATCGTTGGTACAAAAAACAAAGTGCTCTGTGGTAGCCATGCCAAGTAATATAGAGATAGCAATGATTGAGAAAGGTTGGAAGGGTGGGAGAGCAAGAGAGAGATGTTCTATACCATTTTATTTTGATAAATCCATATCACCCATGATTTTTATTTTTTTACATTTTTATATAATTTATCTTGTGTTAACAACATATGATTTACTTTCCTCTCATTTCCACTCTATTTTGCAATTTAAAACATGACCAACTGACCATCTGAGATTTTGTTTCTAAGTACAGTAAGATCACCTGGATCATGTCAGACATAATCTCACCAGATTTATTAGTAATTATCCTCCCCTCTCTTTAACCAGATGATCCCATCATGATACTTCATGTTAATCTGTTTAGATATTTGCCCATTTGTGATTTGTCATCTAGTATGTCCATTTCATTTTATTTTTGCTGATTTCACTCTTTTCTACACTTTTTAGACGTCATATTATGATGCCTGGAGTATTTATTTTGAGTTGAGGCAGTTTAGGAAACTGTGGTCTGGAGAGGAGGATTATGTTTCCTGGTTGTCAGATCTGTTAGATCTCTCTATGGGAAACATGTGTTGAATTATCTGCAACCTTTTATCACAAGTCATACCGTTTGCACAACATTTCTCTCTAAAATTTGAATGAAGTATCTGATTTTCTTGCATTTCTATACAATTTAGGGTGTTGGTTACATGCCTGTTTACTTTATTCCTTGATAATTCCACTCTTCTACATTTTATTTTGCATTTTAGATGTTCACTATGACGTTTTTGTGATGGGATTTTCAATGTTATGACACTTTTGTTGAATTAATTATCAAATATAAGGAAATAATCAATTAACACCAGTTGTCATATTTTGTTTCCTTACAAGTCATGATCCCAGATCCCACATTTTGAAAATCAGTAACTGATGCGGACTTGAATTAATAGAAAATTTGAGAGCATATCTTGCATCAATCCCTCCATTCCGTATCCTTTACATGTTCTTGATTTTAAGGTTTGAAAATAGAGAGAGAGTAGAGGGGTCAGGCCCTGAGCCAGCTTTTGCCAAGAAGGGGATTGGAAGGGGGGGGGGGGGTCATTTATTAAAGAATTCTAGGGGAGGTTCAATTTTGACAATTTTGGCTTCAAACCTCTCGACTCAAAATATTGAAAACTGCATGATTTTGAAAGAATTTCCCCTGGCTATAAGTATGGGGCTGGGTGTGCCAGATAAAGTAATACACTAATAAGAGTCATATGTTCATTTTTGTGGCAAAATCTGAACTTGGCTTGCAGTTAGATACTGGTGAGATCATTGATCTGTCTGGCAAAGTATCTAACATCTGTTCACTGATCTTGATATATTTGATATACTGAATGTATATGGTGTTTGATTATAGTCAAGATGATAGCTACTCCATGAACATCACTTTCATTAATCTGTGAATACTTGAACCAATTAGTCATGAGCTCATGAGAAGGGTACCAATACCATAACTTAATCATTATTTAAGAGAACAACTGCTTGTTTGTGACATCATCAGTTTGGAGAAATCATTGCATTCATGTGTAATTTAACTGTCTTCTACCACCAGTTTGTGGTTCAAATTGTCATTTTTGTAGCATTCTTGGAGGCTGTATATTATCATAATTTTTTCACAATTCTGATCATTTTTGTCATAAAATAACTTGTCAAGTGGGTATGAGCATATTTTTAAAATCTCAAGTGAGCGTGTGCATCACTCCTTAAGTATCTTCATGCCTTATATGTTTTTAGATTTTGGGTATATACATTGTATTTGTTGAAGAAAAATTGCTCCTTGTTATAGGGTTGAAACTTGTAAGTTATAGACTGAACTGAATATTGTATTTTACAACATGCATGCATGTATTTAAGGAATAAATAATGATAGGCCATTCAATATGGTGAAATTCAGCACGAGTTGGACAGAATGTTGTACAAAGCACGAACCGAAGGTGAGTGCATTTGTACTAACATTCTGTCCAACGAGTGCTGAATTTCACCATATTGAATGGCCTATCATTATTTATTCCGATTCAAACATAAAAATTAGTAAAAGCCGTGTCTGTAGAACGGGCATGAAGGAAGAATACGCATGCTGTCAAGATTCTGAAGTCGGCCGGAAAATTTTTAGAATTTGTTTGGGCTGTTCTATTTTACTCCCCGTTTAGTTCACCGACTGCAAACTTGAAGTCATTAAATAGTTACAGTAGTTACGGAGGGAGTAAAAAAGAACAGCTATCCCCGGACAGAGCCCCAGATGTGCAGCTGAGATGTGACGTCACTCAAAACAATGCAAATTGCAGATTGAATAGAGCATGGTCGTGCATCTATGGAGAATTAGAGAACGTTCTATATTGGCTATGCTGCATTCTGATTGGTTGAGAAATTCGAATAGAGCACGGTCATGTTTGAATACAGTTTGATGACTGTGTAGGTATCTATTAGTTGAACCCTTCTTCAGCTGGAATAGCTATACAAACAGCAGAACATGAGATAAGATACATCAGTTTGTATTCATACAGTGAGATAGTGGTTATTAATACGGCTTGATGTATCTACTGGGAATAATTACACTATTGTGCTTGTACGGGGATGTGTATTTTCACTAACAAGAGATGCTTGAGTGAACACATTTTGATAGAAGGATTATTGAATGTTTTCAATGTTGATAGGGAGTAAGCGTTTAGCGCTGATTCAGCACTATTTTTGTTATTACTGAATCAGTACTGATTCAGGACTGAATTAATGTTGAGGTATTTGTTAAGGGCCACTGTGGTGAATATGCTGAATAATGTGCAATTTACTGATTATGGTTGAGTTCAGACATTGGCAAATGAAGAAGCTTGGGACAATCTGATTTTTGGCATATATACGCCCCATCTTCAAAAAGACATGAACATGAAAATGGACCTTGTTTGGAAAAAGAACCTCAATTTTGGTCCAAATTTTTCAAATTAAGGCCCCCATACCCCATCCCCATACAACTTATCTTCCTGTCCTAGCTGTATTTATGATAGCCATAATATATCATACCATTCCCCTCTTCATCCCATATATTCTCATTACCAAAACTTGAGTACCAAATGTTTGAATATATGTACTGAAAACATGAAGTTTTTAACCGTAACCTTGAAAGCATATTGTCAATTTCTGAAAGATTTATATTTAGTACTTGTTATCCATTTGTGAGTGCTCATAAATATGTCAGTTTCAAGTCCTAGATAAACAAAGAAGACCTTAGAAAAGCTATCACATTCTATTTACTGTATATGTATCTACGTGATTGTTTAAAAAAACCTTTGATAAAACATAAGGATATAAGCAAAAAAATATATATTCAGATCACTAATATATTTAAAAATTGATACATGCTATATGTTAGGTTCAGACCAAGATCCCCTCTTAGCTCTATAATGACCATAATAGTCAATAGACCATTATTCAACACACTTTACCAACCCAGAGTTTCGAAATCCCAAAATATATTTGCACAATTCGAAAGGATACATACTGAGATTATACCGGCATCTGCATTTTTAACCCACCCTACATTTACATACCTTCATACATTCTAATAGATCGTAAAACAGAATTAAATGCACAGGTGTAACATTACATACTTAATAAATAATGTACTTATATAAACATATATCTATACACACAATAATTCATTTTTTAGAATAGTGAGTACTGTCTAGAAATATATTTTTAATGGTTTGTTTCCTTCTTTATTACTCAGTTGGTTGTATTCAACTAGTTTTACTATATGTGATATACACCATTTTTTACATTATATTATTTATGTAATTTCAGCTGATCGCACTATATGAGGAGCAAGATGCGCCACCTGTACCTCATAATGGGGGAGATGGGACAAGTGCTAGCTCTGTGGGTACTGCCAGTCCAGACATCTTTAAGGTTACGGTTGATGACAAGAAGCCTGGGTTCCAGCCAGTTATACATAGACAGGGCCGGAATGATGTAGTTATCACACCTAATGATTTAACTTCAGGTAAAGTCTTTCGTATTATTCTACTCATTTTACCAACATGCCGTAACTTCACTTCTTTTTCATGATTTGAGATGTCATCGCTTTAATCAGAATTTGAAGAAAAATGTTGTAAAAATTGATTATATGATCTCAGGCGCCATCTTTTAATAAATATAATGTTTTTTGTTGTACATGTATTTGTATTTTACAAATTCTTTATGCTAATCAGAGTTTTATTTCACGCCTTTCAACAAATGTTTTCTTTGTAACTTTGCTGTAATTTTAATCTGTTTAAGGAAACATTGTGTTGACTATTGACATTTAAGATTCCGTCAATTTCTCTTAGATGAGCTTTCCCTCCTGTTGAAATTAAAGATTTATATGCTTTCACAAATATTAGTTTCGCACTTCTTCTAGGATGATTAAGTCATGTTAGGCAGTATAGTTGTTATGTACATTCAAATATATAGAGCCTTTTAACCATATACTGTACTTTATTCTCTCAAATTAATGCATAGTCAGTCCTTCAAATTCCTCTGAAGGAGTTCTTTCAAATAACAAGGCATTTTTGTTATAATTGAACATGAAATTGAACTATGGGATTAAGACCTTTGATTCTTTTGATTAATTGTCCTGACTTCTCTGTTTTCACCAATTGATTTAATTTTCATGTCACCACCAAGATGTGGTGACATATTGTTATATCCACTGTTTTTGTGACTTATTCAGCATCTGTAACAAACATATGTAAATTGTTCCATCTGAAGTGATATTTATATAAATGCCTTGTTTGTTATTCAAATCAAATATGATAAATAGATATTTATAAATTATTTGTGGTGGTTCATGATTTGTTTCTATGGTTACAGGTACAAATCTCCCTCTGGTGGTACGCCGTGGAAGTGAGCCCAATCTGACCACTGTAGGAAAGACCAGTGAAGTTAAGGTACGGGATGACACTGCTCCAAAACCCAACAGCAAGCGCTGGTCTGCCATAGCTGCCATAGATGAGGACACACCTCCCACATCAGCAACACGCAGGGTGGGTATCATACCAAGATAGTCTGCTGCATAGTCCTGAAAAATTTTGAGCCTTTTCTTGAGACTGTGCAGTAGACTGAAATGATTCTTCCCAGCCAAAGATAATCCTGCTTCTCTCTTTAATTGATTTTTTATGTCACCACCAAAAAGTGGTGACATATTGTTATGGTCTCCTTTTTTTAAGGTGGTTGGCGGTTGGTGATCGGCGTCTGTAACAAACTCTTACAACTGCCAATAACTTAACAAATACTGTTTAGACTGAATTCAATTTTTTTCAAAATCATCTACAAGTTTTCAGAAGTTCAAATCTGACTTTATATTCAAGATTTGACCTCCAATGACCTTTTCAAGGTCAAAAAAGGTCAAAAAGGTCTTTTTTCAGCTTACTTTAAATTGACCAATTGTTTTTTTCAAAATTATCTACTAGTTATTCGAAGTTCAAATCTGACTTCAGATTTGAGATTTGACCTTCAGTGACTTCTCAATGTCAAAAAAGGTCAAAAAAGTATTTTTCAACTTGCTTCAAATTGACCAATTTTTTTAAAATCATCTACAAGTTCTCAAAAGTTCAAATCTGGCTATAGATTTGACCTTCAATGACATTCTCAAGGACAAAGGTCAAAAAAGATTTGACCTTCTCAAGGTCAAAGGGCCTTTTTTCATCTTGCTTCAAGTTGACCAATTTTTTTCAAAATCATCTACAAGTTCTCAGAAGTTCAAATCTGACTTAAGATTTGTGAGTTCACCTTCAATGACCTTCTTAGGGTAAAAAAAACTCTTTTTTCAACTTGCTTCAAATTCACCAGTTTATTTTTTTGACCGGTTTATTTTTTCAAATCTGACATAATATTGAACTCATAATATTGTGAGCAACTAGGTGATGACATTTTGTCATGTTAATGCCTTGTCTAAAAATTGTCAAACTCTAGATTTAGATTCTTTAATGTTCCAGAGAGAAGGAATAGGATTATATAATTCTGAACCATCCATTGAGAAAGAGTAGTTTTGCTAGATTACCGAGTTGACTTTGTGTGAGAATTTAATTTGATTTTTATTAATTGTTGTACATATTTAACATAAATGTCCAGATAAACCATAAGTTCCTATTCATCTCCCCATATTTTTTTGTTTATATTCTTCATTAGCATGAGTTAATAAACAAACTATTTGATGCACACTCTCAAAACTGGCTTCTCTGAAATTGTCAACTTTTTAGAAAATAAACTCTGTTTATCAACATTTGTAATACATTGTTACAATTTTGTAACAACTACTAGCTGAGACATTTTGTGATGATAATACATTGTCTGTTTGATTAGCCATTATTCTGGCTATGAGTAATGCAAAGGTCTATACTTAGTAAGAAGCATAGAAACTAAGCCTTGCTTTTTGAGGGTTGTGCACATGACTGTATATTTAAGTTTATTTACATAATTGCATCAGTATTCATCTACTAATTCCTGTAACATATTTTGTGGCACACCCTGTATGCATTATACCACCATCTACCTGTGCTTAAAGTTCAATTAAGGTCATGAATATTCCATGCAATCTCTCTGTAAAATTGAAGCATATGCTACATTTTGCCATTCACTTGTAATTTTGAGTGTTGATTTCACATTTGTTATTGAATTGAAAATTACACTCCACTTTTTCATGTTATTTGGAGGAAGCACAAAAAGGATGGTCATGCTTAAAATGACAAATGACATGGAAAAGAGTTGAATAATCAAGGAATATAGTTAACAGGCATTTAGTCAACACTCTAAATTATATAGAAATATTAGAAAATCAGACAATTTCATTAAGTTTTAAGAGAAAATCTGGAATATGTTTGACCATAGAGAATATTTTGACATAGTTATGCATGCAATGACCATAGTGTATGTGTATGTAACCAGGAATTAGACTCTGACGATGGCAAAGAACATTCCCCGAACTCACCAGAATGGACAAAGGTTAATGGAACAAGTACTCCAGGTCCAGAAGATAAAAGCGCATTTTCGAGATTTGCTCGTGATTCCACACGGCAGTCAACAGTTAGCAGTGAGGCGATGTATCGCTGGCTAGATACTCAGGACGCAAGGGATGTAAATGCTCAGTATAGTCAACAGGTAACCATGATAACTATTTCTTTTGTTGTTAATCGTTACTGTCACTATCATAACCATGACAATTCAACTATGTGTTAGTTGCTATGGTGTGTAAGGTAATAAGATATTAAATACCTGGTAACCATGGCAAATACTTCTTTAAAAGTAGCACCCGTTTCTATGAAAACTGGTATTATAATATTCAGTGATGGAATGTGTCCATCTTTCTCTCTCTTAATATTACAATATCTCTCCCCTTCCTAGCATTTAGGATTAGTTGTCATGGTTACCCTGCATAAATAAAGGAAATAGTCCAGTGTTTCAGGTAAGTTAAGATTGAAGCATGTAACATGTTTGGTTTTCAAGTATGTATGGTTTTGTTATGCACGCCCACTTTATTATTTACTTTCCGATACATGTATTGATCATTGTTAGCTTGGATTGATAATAAAACTGATTTGAAAAATTCAATCGATTTGATTATTTGAAATGTTCCAAATATAATATCTTTAAATAGAGATTAACACATCATACGTAACGAAAAAGTTTTTCAAGACTCAACATATTTTTGAAAAAATCAGCTTGTCTGCAGCTATCTGTAAAGCAGTTGCCTTGTTAAAATTTACCTCTTTGGCTTAGGGTTTACTTCACATATTCAGATAGGTACATCCCTGGTTATTTATATAATTTATTTTCATTTGTTTGTATTTTAAGATGGGTCGTCGTGAACCACTTGGAGGTCCTGCCACAACTACTGATGAGAAACAAGACACTGAACAACCAGAAAATTTATTTAAAAATCAGTGAGTGTTTCATAACGATTTCTACCATGGTACATTCCTTTAGTCTTACAGTTAGTACATTACATTTTTTCAAGCATACAATGTAATGTTTAATGTGCTATATAAAAGCCCATCAGATGGGGGGGGCACCCTCTCAGAAGGTTGAAGGTATTTATCATCATTCCAGGTCAGAATACCACAACATTGTCCATTTGCTACATTTACTAACATTATAGCCATTATACAGTAAAAGTAAATTATAGGTAAATTAAGCGATCATAATGGACCTGAAATCTCTGTCGCATTAAAAGTATTCAAGACCAAATACTGTAGAATTGTGAAGTAAGAATGTATGGATAATTCTTGTTTGTTTTGATGCAAATGTTTTCCTGGTGGTATGTCATCAATGTGCACATGTACATGTATATGATAAAATTTATACTGTTTCTCAGGTCACTAGTCATAGTGGATCTAAAAAATGAGGGGGGTCCTTTGGGTATCCATGTTGTACCAGACTATGACCAGAACAACAGGGATACTGGACTCATTATACAAGGAATTGAGCCTGGAGGGAGGATATCACGAGATGCACGTTTCCAACGGAATGATAAGATAGTTGAGATTAACGGGAAGTCGTTGATAGGAGTCGACTTCACAAGGTATTTTTTTACTTATTATTAACATCTTTTTAATATTTTATTATGAATATTTTTTTATAATGGTGGCTTACTTTATTTGTTCAGTACATTCTTTAGCATGGCATCTATCATCAAATCAATGCATCCAAAACTTATTTATTTCATTTATAGATGGCAGATTGGTAGGCCAAACTAATGAATACTTACACAACGCGCCACTTGCATTAATAAAACCCATACTGAAGCCTTATTCATAAAGCCAACGTAAATATTTCCATTTACGTCCACGTAACTCAATTATACGTTGGACGTAAAAACATCTCTCCGTCGTATTCATAAACATATGCGGAAATTGGAGATCTACGTCTAACTTTCCGCAAGGACTTACGCAATGAAAATAATATACTACATACTCCCATATCATGTCCCAATTTTGTGATCACGTGCATGTACGTATTTGAATATGATTGCATCGTTCACGCACGCGTAATTTGACGCGTTCCTCATTGTCACGGTTGCTCCTTGATTATTTATACCCCTATATAAAAGCTTATCGTATTCCTTTCGACTTCATTTTCTCATTCATTGATTTACACAAAAGTACTATTGTTTTTGACGATACCTGAATTAATGGTGGAAGGGCACAGTTCCTCCGTGTTGGGGAACTTATCATGCATAGCCGTAGGGACCGGGGGTTCGATGGGTTCGGACGAACCCCCGGTCGGGATTTCTCCCAAAAAATATTTGTGGAAAAATTCATTGCAATAACCAGAAACATATATTCAATTTATATGACCAGTAGGAAAAAATAGTAAAGGAAGAGGTGCGATTATTGGCAAATATTCCTATGGTCAAAATGAATCATTCTTAGGTGTAACATGAAGAATAGAATGTCATATAATACTTTGGAAAATATCAAAGTGCTCGGGCACACATAAGCTGAGTTAGGGATCATTTCGTTCAATAAGGTAGTATTGACTTACATGGGGCTATGCACCATTGACTTAACATGAGGATATCAGCAGATCCCAACAGAGGCCATTGGTTTCCATTGATTATCACAGAAATACCAAAAATACACTATGACCTGAATCGATTGCAAACTTTATAATTAAACAATATGACACAAATGGTTCATTTCATCAAATGTGCAAATATGAAGTTTGCAATCGATTCAGGTCATACTTTAAATTAAAAGATTGTACATTTTTTCATCATTTTTTCCCTACAAAATGGCTATAAAAAATGCTCTAAAAACATATTTTTTATTATCCATCACTTTTTAAGGAAAAATAAATCCATTGCGAAAAAATCAGTTTTGTTTTTGCAGATGCACGTTTATCTCGGAGATCATTTTAAGATTAAATTGTTGCTGTTTCAGTGTATTTAGTGTTTACTCTATTTCAAGAATATCAAACTTTAGTGGATCGTGTTAATGTCATTAATTATATATGTTTAGCAAATAAATGGATTAAGGGAGGCAATTAGGTGAGTATGTCTCTGGTACTAAATACAAGTGTAAGCTAAAAAGGTACACACATTACTTGCAGTGGAAAGTTCTGTCCAATAAAAAAAGCCAGTTGCAGTCATCTTTTGCTGAGGAAAGCAAAGGCATAAGGAGGATTATATCAAATAAGACTAGATTTATTAAGTATTTCGAATGAGTATTTTATATCCACAGTTAAAGTAACACATTTATGATGTATCTAAAATCTAAAACCTCAAAAAGTGATAGATATGACTATATGTTGTATAAAAAGAGATTTTTAAAAAGAAATTGTGTCTGAGAGATAAATAAAAAAGAAAAAAACTTAGTGCCTTACTCCATTAGGCCACACTGGCATAACAGATGTCACTGTAATTCTAAAGCTATGTTATAAATTTTAGAAGACAGTCGAATCTATTTCGGTAAAGGACCTTATACACCCTCCATTGGGATCTCCCCATGGGAAAAAAATAATTCATCTGATTTTTCAAAATGAGTATACTGCTTTTATTATTACATTTATATGCACACTAGTATCTTGTTGACCTATATTCAGCACTGTATTGATGTATAGGCCACTTATTAGGGTCTTAATTCAATCATGAAGTGTAGAGGCATAGATTCCTAACCAGGAAGTATTTTTGTGTCTGTCAAAATCCATTTACATCCTACGCATCCCTGCATCTCCACACTACCCTACCACGTGACCACGTTTAAAAGGGAAACAGGGTACAGCTTAGTTGCAAATGGAGGACGTGGGTTTAATTCCATATTTCTGAACGTAAAATACATTTCACATTTATTTCTAGTGTTCTACCAGACATAGAATTGATTCATCAAGGAGTGTGTAGAATATTGTTGGCAAAAAACCACTATAGGCAAAGATAGATAATAGTGGGCGCAGTGAAGCAAAACCAAATGCAATACACGATACATTTCAGTAAATCTATCAACGTACAGGGAGCATGTAAGTTTCCCTTCGAAAATGTTACATTGATATGTAACAAAAACCCAGTTAACTGTTATTTAAACTGCGTGTCATCGTGTTATAGGTGGATACGTTTTCTAGTATGTTAGTCAACTGTATTTTTGTGAATTTGAACAAAACATTTTGAATGGTCGGGTTTTTAGGACGGTAGTGAATTAGACCATTCAAGGGGTTCTATAGAAAGATTCTTCATATGTAGTTCAGGCAATTTTAATTATTCTGAGTAGCAAATAGTCATTAATACTGATAGCGGATAGTCATTTATCATTAACGTGTTGATATTTAATTTCGTTATTTTATTTCAATTTGATACCCTAGTAACACGTATAATCTAGCGTTCTTGTTAATTTAATGACTAAAATGCATACGAGTTGAAAGCCCGTGTCTAAATCTACAAAATAATGTTTACTTTATTTGGATTAAATAACAATTGATGACACCTCAAAGCATCAACAGGCGGCCTTTTTAGCATTACTTTCACTGTTTGCAACGTAAATGTTCAGGAGGTCGGGACATAGTATGTCTGTATAATCAGCTTACTTTCTCGCTCCCTGTACTATTGAACAATTTACATTCCTTGTACCCTGTATTGATCAACTTTTGCAGCTGTGTACCGTGTACTATGACATATCAAATATTTTAAAATTTAAAACGATATTATTTACATTATTTCTTCAACTATCATATAACTTGGAACATGGACTTCACTATTGCACCACTGAAGTGTAGCGAATAGCAATATTGACTCACTCCGAGCACCAAACGTATTAACCTTTTGACTAAGCAGTCGATATACTCAAAAGCGACATGTTTGAAAGCCAAAAGATTCGCGCATGCGCGATCGAGGTAGGGTAGTGTGATCTTATCCAAATATGTTACTACATAATGAAATATAAGAGTATAATCTTTGGTTTTACAAACTTGTATGATATTTGATAAGTGTAAAAGTTGTTTTTGGAGCATTTTTCTATAGCCATTTTGTAGGGAAAAAATGATGAAAAAATGTACAATCTTTTAATTTTAAGTATGACCTGAATCGATTGCAAACTTCATATTTGCACATTTGATGAGATAAACCATTTGTGTCGTATTATGAAATTATTAAGTTTGCAATCGATTCAGGTCATAGTGTATTTTTGGTATTTCTGTGATAATCAATGGAAACCAATGGCCTCTATTGGGATCTGCTGATATCCTCATGTTAAGTCAATGGTGCACAGCCCCATGTAAGTCAATACAACCTTACTGAACGAAATGATCCCTATCTCAGCTTATGTGTGTCCGAGCACTTTAATATTTTCCAAAGTATTATATGACATTTTATTCTTCATGTTACACCTACGAATGATTCATTTTGACCATAGGGATATTTGCCAATAATTGCACCTTGTCCTTTTTAAGTCAAAACCAGGATTGATGATGTAAATTCAGTTTTCATTTAGATAATCTATTTCCTGTTATGAGTCGTAAAAAAACATGGCTCCGAAAAAATATTTCTTGCATCCAAATTTCAAAATGATATATATCCATGGATCAGTTATTTTTGGCACCTGAACCCATCCTAATAGAAAGGTAAGACTATTTTCTTGACTCATATCGCTTAAATTGTCGAAATTCGGCCTAGAATCGTAAATGTGTCACTTAAGGGGAAAAGTTCATCATAAAAAATATTAGAAAAATCACGTAATGTACCAATATGCATTGCTTCCTGATATACTATTTGTCATCTGTCACTTCTATCGTCAGTACCAATTGAGAGTATTCGTGCAGCCATTACGACTTTTATTGTGCGCCATGAGTAAATAAGTATCATATCTTCAAAAATATTTGCTTTTGAATATACTAGTATTCAGAAACTAACTGTAAGTTCATGAGGTCATTATGAACTCCTCTATTACAAAATGAAATGGCAGATAAAATTCTTTTGATTTGGATTCTTCTCAAAAATCATCTAAAAGTGTGGGAATAGCGTGCCAGAATTTGACATAATGTATCTTTGAATGATGAATTGGGAATGACGACTTTTTCAATGGTAGCTCGTTAAAAATATGTTCCTTAGAGATATGTTGTAATTTGCCCTTAACAAAGTTGTCTCAATGTATGCTAACCCTTGATTTGGATTTCATTGAACAATTAAACAATTGTTATATAAAATGTATGATTTTGCTACCAGATTTCAATATCTTTCAGTAAAAGATTCACCAAAAACTATTTCAATATAGAAAATCAAATTGTTGCCAAACTTTTGGAGGGGTGTAAATTGTATATATGACAAATACAAAAAATGCTTTTATGTGAGGTACACCGATGAAGGGGGAGATTTGTGGATACATAAAAAATCGAACCCCTGGTCACCAATTGCTGGCTACTCCAAAATTAAATGCCTCGGTAATCTAAACCTCATAAGAAGCTCCCTATCATCAAAGATTTCGAGGGGATTGCTACGATCCCTAAACAATCGCTCTCGTCTAAGAGACCGTCTTACTGCAAAGATGCGCACATCTACCACAAAAGCCACCTTTGCTTACATGCGTTTGTTCTTTCTTTCTATTACGTAATGATGACGCATTGGCATTTGAAAATAATTTACGTTGAACGTATATGAAAGATACGTTGCTGTTAACGCTTGGACACCAAGAAATTGATGACATTTTCGTACCTGTCTTTGGAACCAGCTAGAAACTTGAAGATGTCAAGCAAATGACAAATCATTTTAACATTACGTATTATATCTAAAACAAGTGTTTCACAAAATCTCATGGTAATTGGATACTAAACGTACGAATAAATAGTGTTTTTAAGGCTGGACGTAAAGTTACACGGTGAAGATACTTGACGTAAATATTTTGTAAGATCCGCAGGACTTTACGTTCATCGTAAAGTTACGTTTGCTTTATGAATACCAAAATAAGTTTCCGTAATACGATACGTTGACGTAGGTCCTACGTTGGCTTTATGAATAAGGCTACTGGTCTTTTGCATAACCAGTTATGTTATTGAAGTTGTAATTTAGAATGCACATATTTTCAGCACCAAATGCATATTTTTTCAGTGCCCAAGAGATCTTCAAAAATGCACTACAGACGAACAAAACAAGGTTAAAGCTGCTCAAACACACTTCAGGATCTCCACCTAAAGTGCCTCCACCTATCAAACCTAAACCTTCAGTCAAGAAACAACACAACACTCCTGACGTCACCTCTCTAGGTGTCAACTCTCATGGTGTCACATCTCACAATGTCACATCTTTAAATAAACCAAACAATTTGACATCAATGGAGCATAAATTGAACAATTTGAATAAAAACAATCAACACAGACCTGCAGATTTGGTGTTGAGTGAAACCCCAACTGATTCTAAGTTAACAAATGGAAGCACATCACCCAGTAAAAAAACACCACCAGCGCCCCCTGTTAGAGACCCTAGTACAACTTTGTCTTCTTCTGCAGCCATCAAACCAGTCATCGCTGCACCCACAAATACAAGAAAAATAGGAAAGAAGATCTACATTCAACTTACAAAAGGTAAATATCAATGTTTTATAATTCCCAATCTTTTCTTTTAATGTTTCTTTATTATTGGTCCATCTTCTATTGATAGGTAATCTGACATTAATCTAATCTAATCTGAAATTAATTATTTTATCATTTAGGATATGGCAAGGGCTATATTATTTTTTTTCCCTTTCAACAATTTTTCATTTTTTACTATTTTATGAAGAAATGAAATGTTATTTTGTTGCTGAATTCTGGATTTGATTCTGTTAAATGTTGTTTTAACATCATATAATATTATCACAATAATATTATTCTATTAATGTCGTTGAATTCTCAATATGATTCGATTGATGTTGTTAAATTTAAAATACGATTTTATAATGTTATGGTCTTCTTTCCCTTATAGATGATAGTGAGTAGAATGTTTGTGAATCTGTATTTGTGAAAGTGTGTTTGTGAATGTTTGTTTGTGACAAACTTGACCCACAATTCCCACATTCTACCATCTATGTGCATGACTTTGTGTTTCCATCTCATATTTTGGCTTTTTACAATTTTGTATGCGATTTAAAATGACGAAAACAATTCGACCAATAGAAAAAAGAAAATCAATAGACGACATTAAAAGTGCATATAAAATTTCCATATATGGTAATGATACAGTCCATATTGTAGGTTGGTTACTGGAAGTCTCCATCAAATGGCATGTTAAAGACTGGAGTGTTCATATGTGTGACTCTTGATTTTGTTCCTAATTACAGTAGGTCAGAAGTGACAAACTTTATAAATATGGTATACTGTAATTGCCAAATATGAGTGTTTTATGTCGATGAAAACATCAATGATCAAACTAGCGTAGGGTTTATAAGGTCATTCATATTTTAAAAACTTAGTTCATATTTTAAAACTACAGTGTTTTAAAGATGATATTAAATGTTTTTAAAGTATTTTATAATGATGGAAGTGCAAAGTCATTTTTTATCTAATTTTTATGTCACCAGCACAAGTGGTGACATATTGTTTTAGTCCATATGTGGATGGTGTCTAGTGGTCAGCATTCGGTATCTGAAGCAAATTGCAGGTGGTTAATTGTTTTGCATGTTAATGCCAAATGTTATATGCATACCTTAAGTTTTGCTGGCACAATTTTATGTTTGAAGTACAGACAGGGGTGTGTATTATTGTTTGAAGTACAGACAGGGGTGTGCATTATTGTTTGAAGTACAGACAGGGGTGTGCATTATTGTTTGAAGTACAGACAGGGGTGTGCATTATTGTTTGAAGTACAGACAGGGGTGTGCATTATTGTATATGTACAGACACGGTGTGCATTATTTTTATTTTTACAATTATTTTGTGATACATGCCAATAGTTTTTGTGATAAAGAGTGATTTCTTAAACTAACTTGTAAATATCAAACAGAAATAAACAACAAGAGATTCATGAATTTGAACTATGCAGAATTTATTTGAAACACTAAAATTGTAAATTGTCTTGATTTCACAAAAGGTTACAATTTTGTTTGTAATGTATAGTATACATGTATGTTTAAAAACAGACTGTCTCTTTTGAATTGTCTATTTGAATTGTCCATTGAATAAAATCTCTTTGATCTCTATTGTCAAGCTTATCCCTTCGATCCATAGATGAAGCTTCATTTCTCTCTTTCTCTGTCTTATGCATATGGATCAATACAGTTAGGTACCTCTGAAAACAGATTACAATTAGAAAAATTAAATTATGGTCCTAATATCGCAGCATCCAATGTACAAAAAGGATGGTACAAGAATCAAGCCAACTTAAAGGATGTATGTAACTATCTAGGCCTAAGAAAACATTAAAAAAACAACTTTCTGAGGATAAGCATCAATTGGACTCCTTTTCATTTACTAAATCTAATAAATGCGCTTTCGATTTCCAATTGAATGTCAAAGTGCTCTAATAATGAAAGTGAAAGTGTTTGGCCGTTGTCAGGAATCCCCAAAACAAATGTCACAATGAACGTCTCCATATCATCCAACGTATATCGATGACGTAATACTCGTAGCCCACTACTGTAGAAATCAAATGTATTGTGACGTCATTTCCGTAAAAATCTACGATAGATTTGGTGAAACCTCCCAACTCTTAGTGGATTCCCGCAATTATTTTTTACATTTATATACAAAATGAACCCTAACTAGGGTATAATCCTCATATTAATATTAATATAGGATAATAAAATGCTTTATGCTTTCAAGTAATTAACCCAAAAACGACAATGTTATTGTATTTGATGGTTTATCCCTCATTAAATACACTGGATGAATTGTTCCGAAGTAGGGGTCATTGTAACAGCTCCCACTTTATCAATATTTTATTAATTTACATTTTCTTCATATGGAATGAAAGGTGAATATCCAATGTAAATGTATAAGTAATGAAAAGTATTATACATACACAGCAACATGCTGAATTAAGGGTTTGAAGAGGAGTCAAAAACACTTTGATAGTTATATGCAACCTTTAACATAATGATGCTTATTTCAACCGCATAAGATTAAAGCCAGAAATACACTCCTTTTCAAATACAAGTATATCAAAAGATTATGCCAATGACATTTTGTTTGACAAGCTTTTTTAGCAACCAACCAAGCAGAATGACTTATCTGACACGCTAGTATGTAATATTTTCTCCCTCTTTTCATGCTTATTCTGTGTTTTTGTATTGTATCTAGGTATCTGTGGTCATTTTCACAAGGAATTGTTACATTTTATATGGTTTACAATCAGATTTCAATCTTCCTGACTAATTGATTTATTTCACACATTTTAAAGGTTTTATTCACTCATAAACTTACGCCATTTGCTGCAAAGATCATACCACGCATTACTGGTATATTGCATCTGGGCCACGCAAGAGTCAAACCACATTGTGTCAACATCCTTTCTGTGCATCAAGCCAATCTCTCCCCCAAAGTTACAGCTCACAGCTATACCCAGAGGTACCAGATTCTTCGCCATGGCTATTGGGTGGCCATCAGGCATCACTGCAGCATCAATCTAGCAGTAGATAGAGGTTGTTTGTAATGTGTGTACATGATGCTTATTCCATTTTCTAAGATTTAAGGAAAATTACTAGTTTTTCTTGCAGTATAGTGTGAACATACTCAATTTGTAGTTGATCAAGTGTTGATTTCAAACCGTGACCATTGTTACATTCTAAAAGTATTTAGTACGGTGGAAAATCACAAACATTTTCATAGATCTCATAACTCAAATTATTTAGTGAGGTTATAAGTATGTACATGTTCATATTTTTGATCAAAAATTGATTTTTATGATATTCACCATGGTATGTACATTTGTATATGCATAACCTTACCTGTCCATTCTCAAGGGCCATAGCTACATCCATCCATCCATCATCATCCATAGCCTCAATTTCAACCACATTCTCATCAGCAACATCGAGTCCATTACGACGAATACAGAACTTGTCCATGTACCAGTACCTACGGAAGCCTGCAACATTAACCAAATAGAAAATAGCACTTGTCCATGTACCAGTATTCACGGAAGCCTGCAATATTTACCAACAACATTAACCAAATAGAAAAGAGCACTTGTCAATGTCCATGTAACAGCACCTCCAATAAACCTACAATATTAACAAATGAGAAAACAGTTTATTTATCAGCAAAACAACAACATTATACATGCATATATAATACTTGTCAATTTACCAGTATTTAAAGAAACCTACAACATTAAAGTAATACAGCCTGAGTTTAAGCCAATTTTAGCAAAAAATATTTAATATCATCTGAAGAACACTGTCTTACCTTGATACTTGGATATATTCAACCCATATAACTGAAGGATAGCGGAGATTTCTCATATTGAAGTGGGTACATTCAATTTGATTTCACATCGTCCACTTCGAATTTTGCACTCAAGTTGATGACGTCACCAAAGTATGTTTGTTTACATATTTTCTTGCATTTCGTTCAGAGCAATATTGCTTTATTTACTCTTGGTGTAACATTTAAAACTCATACATTTTTTCTCATATTTCTATTTATTTTTGTTCTTTATTTGAATTTAATATAATATAGTATTACAAAGTTTAGGGTATATTACAATAAGTATTACCAATTTTATATGATGATCCTTGAATGTTGTCAGCCGTGACTTCAGATCCTTCCATGACATACATTTGAGCAGATTGTGCCGTAAGCATAGGTACGGAGAAGTTGAAGACGTTCCATCTTGGGATGGTGGCAGTCCAACCAACGCATGCATCAAAATGTCTGTCATTTAATCCTAAAAGTTCGAAACAGTTTTTTGTTCATTTTTTGTTTGGTTCTTGTTAATGTTTTGGTCATCGTATATTATTAACACTTTATGCTATGAATCTTTAGAGGAACTTACATGAACAGATCCTTAAAAAATACATGTATACAAAATTCGAGAATTTGGGCTGATCCATAAAAATATACAAATTATGGAAAAGTATTAAGAAGATTAAGAGTATTGTGGTTATATAGAATAGCAAAAGTCAGATTGATAAAAGAAGAGATTTTTGCATACCAATCAATATAGTTTAGTTTATTATTTATTAAAGTGTCACAGGCCTATTATTTTACATAATTAAACATTCAATTATTCAAAAGCCCCAAGCCAAAAATGGCTTATGAGACACTGTCCATCTCAGAAATTTTGCTAATAAAATCATTGATTTTGAATAAAAAAAATATTAAAGACACAATATAACCATGGAATTATAATATGTTAAATAACTCAACATACCATCTCCAGACATGCTCTCTGGGTTATAACATCTGTCCAAGCTTGTCCCTATGAATGTTAGGTCACATTCTCTTCCACATCCATCACAGGCAGCTTTCACGACATCATGGAGGAAACCAACAGCTTTCCCAGTGAGAGAATCTCTGTTAAGTACAAGTACATCAGTGGAAGTGACAACCTTGTCTGTATTCCAAAGGACGATTCTCGGTTTGGAGAACGAAGTTCATCAATCTAAATGAGCATTATCCCTGCTTCGGACAAATTTGATTTTTTTTACATAATATAGATTTGAATGTCCTCTTTTGAATAGTCATAACTTAATTTGGGTAATATTTCTAGATTTTTCGCAAAAATATATTAGCGCAGTACACTGATGAACTTCTTTCCCCAAAATCGAGACTTGTATTTTAATGAATCGGTCTAATTGAGCATTATCCCTGCTTCAGACCAATTTGTTATTTTTACATCTTGTAGATTTAAATGTCCTCTTTTGAAAATTCATAGTTTAATTTGGGTAATATTTCTATATTTTTCATGAAAAAAATTATAAGCCCAGGAGACTGTTCTCCAAACCGAGAATCGTCCTTTGTTTTTACAATTAACTAGTTATGAATATTAAAATGATTCTACTCTCCCATTGGCTAATTTTGGTCCTCCAAACTTTCTTAAAAATACGTTTCCAAGCTTTTGCATTTGATTTGGTTAGATTTAAAGTTGGGAAGTATAATACGATGTAATCATGAAATTCTTTTTCAAATTAATGCAGGATTACAGCATTTTAAATACTTACTGAAAGGAATATGGGGCCCATGCTCCTTCTACACCAAATAAAAATGGTTTCCTGAAAAGAATAATGAGAAAAATGTAATGATGCAGCAAAATAATAAGATTATAATGGAGAGTTTAATTAGTAAGAAAACAGACATCTCTCCATAAACTAAATAAATTTAAATTCAGGTAGTACATACATTTTCATCGGTTTTGGCTCAGGGCCAGGATTGGGCCCAGGGTTTGGTGTGGTCATGGGGTCAGGACCAGGGCCTGGAGCAGTTTGGAAACATCCCAAAGCAACCCCCAGTAAGCTAAGTGCAATAAATGCCCTCATAATTTAGTTTTCAGCCTGAGTCTGTAAAAAAGATTAGGTATATTAACTTATGGGAAGCAAATTAGCATGGTTTTTTAAATGTTTCCTGTCGACAATGTCCACTGTCTATTCTTGAATTGAAGTTTTGGTTTGAAATGTCAGGGAAAATACCCCAAATAATAGCCTTCACCATTGCCAATAACTCTTAGGATTATAAACGTTTGACTTCATTATCCCATCGAACGAAGTTCGGAGGGATATAGGGAACGTCCGTCCGGGCAATAACTCAAATACCGTTGGCCCGATTTTGTTCATATTTTGTACACATATACCTTATGGGGGTAGAAGTTCTGCTTGAAAGCCGATTTTCAAAATGGCCGCTCATTTCAAAATGGTGGCCATTTTAGTGCTGATTTTACAGTAATTTAGGTGCAATATGTAAAACTGTTATATCAATATGTTTTTTGGTAGAAGGCGGCCATTTTGAATTTTTTTTTGAAAAATGGCCGCCATTTTAACGTATTTTACTATAACTATTACTTGTTTTATGATATTTGCTATTCGTTTGTAAAAATGCCAGCCATTTCTGTTCGATGGGATTCGCTACGCTTTGGCGTTGCCGTTGTTCTGGTTTTTATATATTAACATATAAATTGGTTGCATGCTACTGATGTTTCAAAACAAGTTCATTTTGGCATTTCCCCTTTGTCCTCCTGTGCCAAGAAAGAGTGAACAATTACTCAGTACAAATGCCCCTTTTATATTAGTCAGCTTAATACTTGAACTTAAAGCAATTGTTATTATGCAATAAATTTGTTATTTTGCACTTGCAGTCTCGCTGCTAGCATCAGAAATTAAGTTTATGGTTGATTGTGTGGTCAAAACAGGTTCATGTATATTTCTGCAATGCGTATGAGGCTGTGAATGTCAATAGGCATTCAGCAACACAAACTTTTATACTAAATTACTTTAAAACCGAGAGTAAATAGTTTATTCTGAAAAGTCAAAATTTCTCTTACATAAAATAAACCCATAAGGAAAGAATGGAAGCAATACATTTTAGGTAGTGCAATTTAAGCACATCCTTGAAAGTATTTCATATGACTTTTGACTGTTGGAATCTACTGTATGTAGCAAACCGATTTTATCAACAAGAAACATTCAATGTTGTTTAGAATAAAACCAGATTCTTAAATGTTTTATCCTGAATCAACTGAGATAACCTAACCACACCCTATTAACCATCTCTCATTTTAAACATATATATGTTATAAAATTATAAGCTTCAGTCTATTAAAGCATGAATACATTTGTTTTGGTACTTAGATTCATTAAAAATTCTGACATTTTTGAGAAACACCATAGATTTAACTTAAAAACTCTGTATTTAAAAATTTGAATGTTTAGTTGATAGTTCATTTACCTATTTATAATATGATTTACAAAATTTTCTTGTATATTTGTTTTCTCATAATTTTTATTAAAAAATGCCCCTAAATATCTTATTTTATTAATGTTACTTACCTCTGTGCAATCAGGTTGTTGACTGCCAGTTTCTGATTTCTTGACCTAAACCAGAAACCTTATGATTTGCTGATCGGTTGACTTGATTATGCCTTAAAAGGTTTGGCCACTTGTCTCCCCTACCTTAAAATCTCATTAATTTCATGCTTATATCTTGCTTATTTTTTTGATAGATTTCAAATAATTTTCCTGATTTTCTGATATAATATTACAAGGACAATATGGATTCACTGACTGTTATATATTTTAGAAAGATAAATTTGCCTCAACATTTTATTTCTGTTAGAGATGATGTTAACCATAACATTTTTGAGGACTTAACTCGATTATTGATTTTCCTCGAACCTATTATTGAAAAGTTTTAAAGGGACGCATTCAGTTATATTCAACATTTTTCATTATGCTATAATTTATCTGAATGGATAACTATATATTATTATTGAGTATTTCAGTTAACTTTAAAATACCTTGACACCATTTTGTAACCAATTTACACCAATACTAAATGATTTCAAAAAACTATTTTTTGTGATTTAATAATCCAACCTGAAGAATATGTTTAAGAAAACTATATGATTCGTTTTCAAATTGAGTCTCTTGGTTACGTTTGTTTCACCAGTCACTTATGTACAGATTGTGAAAACTGTATTGTTTGTAACCCAATGTTACATAATCATCGGTGTTTAACTTGTTAGCCACCTCTCTCTAGTTAGATTCTAACAATTAAATGGTCATTAAACCCTGAGTTGTTGCTAGAAACATCAACTGTTCTTCATCTTTGTACACCAAAAGGCCGCGAGTTGTTTGTAGAATGAATTGGGGGAGTTTTTTCATGGTTTTCGCTTACCCGTATGTTTTTCATCTTAGAAACAGGAAAACACTTTAAAACGTTTTATTATCCCATCGAACGAAGTTCGGAGGGAAATAGGGAACGCCTCCGTCCGTCCGTCCGTCCGTACGTCCGTCCGTCCATCCGTCCGGGCAATAACTGAAATACCGTTAGCCCGATTTTATTCATATTTTGTACACATATACCCTATGGGAGTAGAAGTTCTGCTCAAAAGACGATTTTCAAAATGGCCGCTCATTTAAAAATGGCAGCCATTTTAGTGCCGATTTTACAGTAATTTAGGTGCAATATGTAAAACTGTAATAGCAATATGTTTTAGATGTAAAAAAATTATATAGGACATTAATAAAGCTAGAAATGTAGATATTAAAAAAGCACATGGCAGCCATCTTGAAAAATGGCGGCCTTTACTCGTTATTTTACGATTTTTGCTGTAACTCGAAAAGTAGTGGAGTGATTTTGTTCATATTTGGTATGTGAATACTATAAGCATGGCACACTGTCTAATGAAACTTTTGGTATAAGGTGGCCATTTTGAAAAATGGCGGACATTTTGAAAAATGGCCGCAATTTTAACTTATTTTACTAAAACTTGAAAAGTAGTGGAGCAATTTTGTTCATATTTGGTATGTGAATACGTATAAGCATGGCACACTGTCTAATGACACTTTTGGTAGAGGGCGGTCATTTTTCAAAATGGCCGCCATTTTAACGTATTTTACTATAACTCAAAAAGTAGTGGAGCGATTTTGTTCATATTCGGTATGTGAATACTGTAAGCATGGCACACTGTCTAATGACATTTTTGGTAGAAGGCAGGCATTTTGAAAAATGCCATTTTAACTTATTTTACTATAACTCGAAAAGTAGTGGAGCGATTTTGTTCATATTTGGTATATGAATACTATAAGCATGGCACACTGTCTAATGAGACTTTTGGTAGAAGGCGGCCATTTTTCAAAATGGCCACCATTTTAACGTATTTTACTATACCTCGAAAAGTAGTAGAGCGATTTTGTTCATATTTGGTATGTGAATATTATAAGCATGGCACACTGTCTAAGACACTTTTGGTAGAAGGTGCCCCTTTTGAAAAATGTTCGATGGGATTCGCTACGCTTTGGCGTTGCCGTTGTTCTGGTTGACATTAAGATTAGGCCATATAATCCCCCAAAATATTTCTTATTTTCATTTTCAACTTCAGAAGGCTGGGAATCATTGATTATCATAAAACATCAAACATACTTACTGATGTCTAATTAATCAAAAGAATGCACTCCTGGAGATATATACAATTGAAATTACACTGAACTAAGTCCTGACTGGTTGATATCATTTGATGTTCAATGAAAGTAGGACATGGACCAATCAGAGAGTGAGGAATAGGACAGTGATATAATAATCAGGTTTATTTTTTGAATATAGCAGAAATACCCTTAACACATACCCCATGACCTAATGTAATGTTAGATATGTCATATGTACCATATGCTGCAAAACAAGTTCATTTTTTGGCAATTTTCCCTTTGTCGTGTCCCTTCTTATATAATGCATATAAGTGCATTTGTCCTTTGGTAAATTAGTTTCCCGATAATATATTATATTTACACATTCAGTATACAGTTTGATCGAAATTACAATTCAACAAAAAAACTAAATGCTGCCACACAGGTTATAAAAATGAATGAAATGCCTTATTATATTTAATATTGAGTGAAAAAGAGTGAATTATAAAAGTGACCTTTGCAGGCAGCAATTTAAAGTTAAAGTACCAAAAATTCCTATTCTAAGCCATGCTTATATATTTTTGCTAACAAATCAGACTAGAAAATCTTTTTCAATTTTTTACAGTGATTTATGGGGCTTTTTGAAAGACAAATTGTATACCAAAACAATCCTCAGACAATTGCTGACCTAAAGAAGGCACCTCAAAACAAACATTATCCTCTTTGTGACAAGAGGAAAAATGTTTTACAATTTCTTCTGCCTTACGACAAAGTAAAGATACATTTCTGGGACGACTTTTTATTCATCTTAAGATTTTAGAAAAACAATTAATTCACAGAAATACAGTTGAATAACATACTAGAAAACGTATCTACATATAACACAATTAACTGGGTTTTCTGTAACATATTAATGTCAAAAGAAGTAACATTTTCGAAGTGAAACTATCAAACTATCGTTGATGGATTTACTGAAATGTATCTTGTATTGATTTCAAGTTTTACTTCACTGCACCCACTATTCTCTATCTTTGCCTATATGGTTTTTTGTCAACAATATTCTAAAAACTGCTTGATAAATCTATTTTATGTCTGGTAGAACACTAGAAATAAATGTAAAATTTATTTTACGTTCAGAAACATGGAATTAAACCCACGTCCTCCATTTGCAACTTAACTGTACCCTGTTTCCCTTTTAAACGTGGTCACATGGTAGGGTAGTGTGCTTTTAGCACATCTAAATTCTTCATGTATACAGTTCCTTTGACAAGTCAAAACCAGTCATAGCTCAGTTCTAAATATGTTTGTTACTGATACAATACATGTGCATAAAAAAGTCCTTAGATAACCCTAGATACTTAATACTTATATATTCGACACAGCACAATTTCTAGTTAGGAGTTTTGCCACCAAAAAGTGTAGTCATTTGGAAAATCACTGGCATTTAATTTTAAACATAGGCTCAAATTGCCAAAGGATGATGTGAAAATATCACTCCATCTAGATGGGAATTGAAGTCACCTTTGTGACTTAACCCTTTCACGACTATAGGCTCCATATGGAGCCCTATTATGAAATACCTTTCAGGACGAGAGGCTCCTTTTGGCACCATTATTTTTATTTATATACATGTATATCAATGAAATGACAATATCTCCAGTTCTATTCAGTATTTTTACACCAAATTTTGACAAGTTGTTCTAATGTGATAATCCTTACTAGAAACTAGAGGTGTGCACCGATGGCACATTACTTAATCGATCAACGAAGCATATTAATCGATTAATCATCGGTTAATCGACCCCAACAGAAACTGATAAAGTATGCATGGATATCTAATCTTCGGCAACTTTCTTGTGGGCGATAAATCGATAATTCGAGAGTTATTTTCACTCACCAGTTCTCAAGTTTTCCTTGTAAATTCCCATTCAGGTGTATTGGTAGTATCAAGGTATATATTTTTCTGTATTTCAGACGATTTTTACAATAAAAGATTCTATTTCAATATTTACTTTTTTTCGTTATCACGCGTTGCATTGTGGGTGAAACTTAAATGGAACCAGGGGTCTGTGCCGTTACAAGATACTTAAAACAACAGTGATGAAAATGGCGACGAGCTATTGTTTTGCGCTTCGGTACATCTTACCCTGGGCGTAAATGTCCCATTAGTTCTATAAAGCCTCACCCTTCTACAAGCGATATCGGACAAAGGTCGACCACAATCATATTGACAATTTTATTAGTGATATCTTCAGCGGCAAGTTTAGAAACGGGTCCCGACTTTCTGACTAGAAATGAAGTTATTGGCAACGTCGGAGTATTTATTTTCGGAGTTTCCCCGTGTGTATTTGACAAGTGGTAGCTTAGAGTAGATGTACTGTTTGAATATTTGTATTTAGTATTGCAGAGCACACATTTGATGCGATCATCGTCTCCTTTGTTGAAATATTTCCATACATTCTTTTTCCTGGTGTTGTCGCCATTTTTCGACCGCTTCTGAGCTGAATAAAATTGGGACGGTTGCATTGAAATTATACGCCATTATTCACCTTGAATTTGATCGCATACTTCTACTGAATAAACCAATGGGATGTATTGGATTAGTATTAAACTCAAAAACAACAACGGTCACGGGTAAGCGTCAGTCTTAGGGTAATTAGTTTGTTTGGTAGTTTGAGCTTGGCGTGGCAACTTGACATTCACTGCTCAATCAGTCAGTGACGTCACGTAAGCTTACTCGCGGCGGGATATTGAAGATTAACTTTTTGAGAATCAGTTAATTGAGTAATAAGAATCTTATTCGATTAAATGTGTGTCGATCAATTAATCGATGATCGATTAAAAATTCACACCTCTACTAGAAATTGTATTTCGGTGATAAAATTCAAGGTATAGATCCCGGGTGGAACTTACTTATCCATCTCGAGGGCAAAACTTTTCCTCTTATATTCACGTCAGGAAAGGGTTAACCTGGCAAAGAGTCATGATAGTTTCACCTGCAAATAATAAGGTTTAAGCTATGTGTTTTTAAGGGAACTTGAATGTGAACATTACATGTAGTTTTATGGTCCTCTAGGAGTCAGTGTGCCCCTTCTTGGTAATGAATTACTGGTAGATTCCAGGAAAAAATTGAGAGGGGCAGTTACTCTTTGGGCTCATACTATTTCACATTAACATTTTGAGCCATCAATTTGGAATGTCATTTCACTGATTTTTTCACATCAAAATACGGACCTGCTCTTCATTCAAACAAAAAATTGTATCAGCCATATCATTGTATCTGTGTATATGTGAGGTATTGCCAAAAGATAACATTCACCCCCTCCCGCCCCCTTCCACGCATATCTCCTAAACCATTTGGACAAGGACCCTGTTGTTTGTGTGTGTGTGTCAAGGTATTTGTGTGTGTGTATTGCTTAAACTTATGTTACCTTTGCAACTTCGATATGTATTTCCTACTAATTTCTCAGTAAACATGTATATACAGTATATGTAAATTTACTACACTTCAAAGAAAGACAAACACTGAAAATATTTAATTAGAAAGTTAAATTGATGACCGAATGGTATGTGTTAGCAATATATTAGACAGTCTTATTAATTTGTTTTGTATGGAAATTGAGTTAAAATTACCCATATGTAAATGTTGGATTCCAAAGATCACTTGAGGTTCGTACGTTATGATAAGTTGAGAATTCAAGGATTCCTTTATTAAAAAATACAGTATTATGTGAATAACCATAAAAGAGTGATCATCTTCAGATAAGTGTGCTGAACAATGTATAACAGTGGATCATATTGGAATAAACAAATTTTGAAAAATTGAGTAAATAGGAAAAACGGTACTCAAAAGTGGCCTATATAGACAGAATTGATGATTAAAAAAGTTTGGATTGAATTCCTGCATTATCACTCTCACCCAGTCTATTTGATTATATATAGATTATAGAAAAGAGGTTAAACCAAAGATTACTTGCAAGATGATGCGCATTAAAATTCAAACCTTCAAAACTTGACCATATTTTGATATGCTTTCTTTCAGGTCCTCAAGGGCTCGGCTTCAGCATTACAACCAGAGACAACCCAGCAGGTGGTAACTGCCCCATCTATATCAAAAACATTCTGCCCAAGGGTGCCGCTATTGATGACGGGAGGCTCAAATCTGGTGACAGATTGTTAGAGGTATTTTAGATTATGCACAATAACAGTACAGTAAAACCTGCGAACAGGGAATGCTCTTCGGACTGGAGGAAAGTTTCCTTGTTCAGAGGTTTTCCCTATAGAGAGGGGCCGCACTTTCAGCAAACTCAGAATTGTCGAATAAGCATTTTTTTGTATATATTTGGGCATTAATTGATTTTACCAATGCCGACTCCATACTTGGTTGCTAGACCTTGTTGTGACATCTTGGAAGATGTATGAAGGTCTCCCACCTCCCTCCTTAAGCTGAGGGTAAGGAGCATTCTCCCGATGTTTATTTTAGCCGCTGCTGCTGGTGTATGATGATGTAATTGTTGTAATTGTTGATAGATTTGGCTCAACATAACACATGTACTTACTGTTATCTCCAAAAAACAATTGTGTCAATCCCTAGATTATATTATCACAACTGATTTGATGTAATTATGTTTGTTGAAAGGAAGAATTAGTGTAATGATAATTAGTAACAAACAGATTAGTATTAGTTTTGAAATATATCAGGGTAATTAACAGTGGGTGGGATGCTACATCTTGTAAACAATTGGCTTATCTTAATCTCAATCATATTAATCTAAGCTTTTTAGAATCAGATATTGGCTTAAGACTTTCACACCTCTGAAAAATAATGGAATATACAGTGTCACCAATATTCCATATTCCTTATTCACAGGTGAATTTTCATAATTTGCCCCAAAATAGTGTTCCTTGTTCCCTGTTCACAGGTTTTCCCTACAGAGAGGGTCCGTTAACATGTAAGTCAATGGAAAAATATTTGGTTCTTTTGAAAAGCATTCCTTGTTCATAGGTTTTCCCTACAGAGAGGTATTCCATCGGACAGGTTTTACTGTATATCCATTTTAAGACACTGAGAAGTTTTAATTTTTTATCATTTAAACACTTTTATTGCTAAAATTAATGCCGTTTAATACATTTTCTGAAAATATTAACTTAAAAATAGTTTTATTGAGAGACATAATAAAATTCAAGATATTGGTCATTCTAAAATGTGTTACTCAAATTTCAGTCACATTTCTTCTACTGCGGCCATAGCTTCACAAAATTGATATAGAAAATCTACATCATACTACTTATCCCTGTATGTTATGCTGTATAGTTCTCTCAATTTCGTGAAGCTATGACAACCCTACTGTACGGTTGCCATAGATCAAATATGACTGAAGCATTAGTCAACATACTAACTATGTTGATTGTGTTAATGTTATATGTATGTTTATGATTTTCTTTATGGTATGTTTAGGTGAATGGTATAGAGATGACAGGAAAATCTCAAGCTGAGGCTGTGTCAATCCTCCGCAACACGAAGCTTGGAAGTATTGTCAACTTAGTCGTTTCAAGACAGGAAGTCCCTTCCGCACCCAACTCACCTTTTATAGTACCCCGAGAACTGGTATGTAAACATTGGCAAAGGATGCCTTTACCCAGAATGCCATACTAGTCCTGTTTTATATGAACAGAACCTCATAGAACATCACATTGGTATTCTTGGGACAGGCTTTATTTTTCAGATTTTGAAATATAATTTCTTATAATGCAATCTAATAATTAATAGTTTACCTGCTTCTGGTCCATTATCATAATTTGGTGATGGTTCATAACATTATTTTACTAGTTATTAATTAAAGTTTGTACTTGCACAGCAAAAAGCATATTAGTCTCATATAAAAAATATATTATAAATCCAAGATAACATGCATCATTAACATAATTAAAAACAGCATTTTAATTGATAAATTGATTAAGTGTATTTATTCATTAATTCTGGTATTTAACTAGCAGATTACTCATTCATTAACTGTTTCATTTATTTAGTTTGTCTAACTCATTATAGGGCCTTCTATAGGAAGTACACAGCATTGTGGATCAAAATTCACATAGCCCCCAACTTCAGATTATGGGCTCTCTTTCTTTAGGAACCCATGATAAAATATAAGGTTTTAAGGCAAAAAGGATTCAGAAAAATATGAGGAAAAGGGGTACAGGCATTTTGGATTCAATAACTTTGATTGTATTCTGAGTTCATTGTAATCAGATCATTTTATCACAGTTCATTCAGAGTTTTTGTGTAATATTATGATTTGAAACCCATTATAGCATCTAATGTAAAAACACTGTGTACTCCCTTAGAAGTTCCTCTAGACTATCAACCTAATGAGCGTCTTGATTAGTCCTGCAAGTTTCCTTGCTTTTTGCTGTTGTTTTGTTGTTGTTGCATCCCACCCATCATAATTTTAACAAAAATGTCAAGTCGATTGAGAGATGCTTTGAATTCATTATTTCCACCTTCCACATCCTGCATTCACCTCATTTTGTTTTGCTTTCAGTTTCAGTTGTATGCCCTCTTATCATTATACATTTAGTTATATTGCCAATATCATATTATGTTTGCTTATTTATTTTTTATAACTTTTACTGAGCATCCTCATTTAATTAAAATTACTTAAGTGAAACTCTATTGAACTACCATCCTAGAAGTCTATAGTTTAGATTTTGTACATCTGCACAGCTGTATAGCACAACATCTGCATAGCATGATTGAATTGTATATTGTTGTTTTACATTTAATTGGTGTTTCCTTCCATGTTTTACCTGCTTTTGCATTTAATGATACTCATTCCCAGTGAAGTCCTATAAGAATATGTCTTAGCAGGACCTACATAGATGATATATTTTTAAACCTCTGTAGCCTTTTGTAAGCCCTTTATCACTCTGCAAACTCTTTGGACATGTTGGAAGCCTATATAAGCTATGAAACCCCTTGGAATTCTTATGCAAGCCCACTGTATTATGGTTAGCCCTCTGTAACTTTATTTTAGCCCTCTTTACCACTTAGTGAAGCATCAATGTGTCTTTGTAAGCCCTCTGTACCCATACCTGTATCCAAGCCCTCCAAGCTATATACGCCCTTTGTCACCCAGATTTGTTGTGGACTTGAGTAGAAAATGGATTTGTATCTACCATTCTACCTACTATATTATAGAATTTATGTAAGCTATATTTGGGCTATACCCTTCACTGTTGTCTTATGTACATATACTAGATGAGTTGTGATCAATACAATATGTATTGAAATTTTGACTGAGGTAAGGTGTTATGTGTCTCACCCTGTACTGTAGCCCTATAGTAAGTGTGTGCTTGTAGTGCTGTCTGTCTGCTTGTTTGAAACCCAACACATTCTCATCTTCCAGACCTCTCCAACTTTACAGCAAGCTCACGAGCGAATCGATGATACAAGTTTTCTTAGCCATAAAGAGGTGCTCACTTTTAACATCCCCTTAAATGATACTGGCTCTGCCGGTTTGGGAGTCAGTGTTAAAGGGAAGACGCAGACAACATCTCTTGGGACGCAGGATCTCGGAATATTTATTAAGGCAGTTATAACTGGCGGTGCAGCATATAAGGTATCAATTGACTTAAATTTTATGGAACAACCCAAAAAATGTGACTTATTGTTTTAGCACCATTTTTGTTACCACAGTGCAAACTGCAATCTGGCTCTGAGTGACCCTAGCTCTCATTGGTTAAAATTGGTTACAATGTAGCCAATCATTTGTAGCAACAATAGGAGTTGGTTGCATTGACCTTAGGAGCCTGGTTGCAGTTTACACTGACCCTTTTGAGACTTGCATTTGGTATTTGCCAATCAGCATTGCCATCTGTGACAAATGGTTACACTTTGTAATTGCAACCAGTGGTAAAAATGTGTCATCTTACTTTAATGCCTTGTTTTAGATTAAGTCATCTGTTTGGTGGCATCGCCATGCATCTTTGACCTACTGTTTGAGGAATTATATACCTTTTTGGAGGAACCAATGGGAGACTTGGTGCAAAACTTATTTGAGGACCTGTGCCTTAGATATGAATGAAAATGTCACGTTGTATTAGTGAAAAAGATATAAAGTACACAGGCATGCAGTTAATAAAATACTCTAAACTGTATAGATTCTACATTCACAATAGGTCAGAAATGTGGGCAGAATGTATTTTTTGTCGTAATGTAAGTTAACCCCACCAGTTCTTTGGGACAGCTTATCCATAACTACAAGTCATCTAAGAAGAAAAAATAAAGTTGTTTTGAGAAAAACTGAATTAGAATAACAATAAAACTCAAACTGTGTGATATTTCCAGGATGGCCGCCTACATGTAAACGATCAGTTAATCAAAGTGAATGGACATTCCCTACTGGGTCGTGCCAATACTGAATCAATGGACTTCTTACGCAATGCTATGCAGAATGAGGGGCCTATCCCTGGTGTAATCAACTTAGTTGTAGCCAGGAGGATAGGTGGCGGTCCAATTACTCCCACAGGACCTATGAGAGCACCTTCAGAAGAAGTTGATGCTCAAATTCCCGAACCTCAAGCCCCGCCTAAATCCCCAATTGATCAGATTGAGAAAAATTTCAAAAATCAGGATTTGAATCAAATAAGAAACCCTGTACTGGATAAACTCACTGGGGGACTTAGGAATACATCTTATAATATGGCAACCCAGGACAGTTTAGATCAGGACAGTTTGAACCAGTCACATCAGTCCACCACACCTGAGGTTAACAGGACGCGTGCTATCAATGTGACATCTACGTATAACAACAAGGCCAATACCCTCTCCTCCCCCACCCTCAACTCTCCCCCTGGAGACACAGTAATGATCCAAGATGATACTTACCCCCCTCAGGTGAATTTGTTTTTCATAACCTATTACACAATAAATGTTATCGTCATATACAAGTACAAGTGCAGTCAAATATAAAGCCACAAAAATATCTCAAAGGAAAGAGATCTGCCATTTATTTACTATAATCTAGTAATGTTATTGACCAGTTTTTTGGGCCTGTGGTTTATACTGAGCAGTTGATGTATTTCGAGTATATAAGAATAACCACATTTTACTTATTCTAGAATTTACAAGAAACTGTGCTTTGTGCTGATTGCACGGTGAACTTGTTTGTAATCGATATGATCAATTTCCATTTTGGTATAATCTATTAGAAAAACAGTTTAAATATTATAATTTGTAACTGTATTGTATTTTTAATTATGAATTTGATGAATACAAAATTATGTTTCGTTACATTTATGCATATGTATTCTTCCAGGACCTGAGTTCATGCAAGATTCCCTCCTTTATATAAAACCATTTCATGCTTCGCTTCAAGCTTTTCATGTTAAACAATATGCTTAGATATATCCTACTCATACAGTATATGATATTTTTTATATTTCATCAATATTAACTCATTGCTTTAACCCTTATGTAAATGGCATTTTATTAGAAATAGTTCAGTGATAGATGTGTCATATAAAACTACAATATTCTCTTACACCCAAGAAAACATGGCCTAAATTGTCTATGATTCCTTAGATTTGTTCATTTTTATGTCATCACTAAAAGTGGTGACATATTGTTAGTCTCCTACCTTTTTGTGTATGGTGTCTAGCAGTTGGTGTTCAGCAGCTTGCATTCAGAGTTTGGCATTTTGTGTTTGTAACAAATGGCAGGTGATGATATTTTGCATGTTAATGCCTTGTTAAAACATGTAGATGAAACTATGTATACGGGTTACATATGGCTGTAAAACAATCTCATTCAATTTTCATTCAATTTCATGGTGTTCTTTTTGTTCTGAATGATGCTTCTAAAGTTTTAAAAGTTGTTGAAGCTCCATCTATCTGTATATATTAGAAAGCAGCTCTTTAATGCCGCAGATTGAATTTTGAAAAAATGATTGCATGCTTTGAACTGCATGAATAATGGGAGGAAGGAGTGAAATCAACAAGGAATAATGTAAATGGGTTTAAAGTCAACACTTTAAATTGTATAGAAATGCAAGAAAATCAGAGACTTCATTCAAAAAAAGATGCACGACCTTTATATTTGAGTGAAATAACTTGATGAGAACCTTTGAACATGGGGTGTAGTTTTTTGTCCTATTTTAAGGAATTGGCACCATTTCAAAGAGATACATGAAACAGCGAACAACTTATCATAGAAATGTATGTTTTTCTACTTCAATATCTAATAAAATATATTTTACTTCAGCAGACAGTGGCTCAAAATACTAGGGTTAGACCAGCCTCCACACTAGGTTTACCTAACCTGGTGAATAGAACGGACTCCAGTGAGAATGGTGCCCCCAAACCCCCGACTTGGCTAGCTGACCAGTGGGACCATAAAGACTTAGATGAATCTGGCTCGTAAGTTGAAATCAAGTTCTCATTTACATAATGACTTGAGAGATTCTTCAAGTGTATGAATTAAACCTGAGAAAAGAGGCTATTTCTCACAAGGAATTATCAAGTTTGGAAGTGGGATGGGAAAGTCCAGTCCCTTTGCTTACGCATGTAACTTGGGTGTGGCAGTATTCTTCACTGAGTTAAATATGGTTCCAAATGTTCATTGTTAATAAGTTAGGTCATCAGGTAGAAGATCAGACATAGGCCAGCCAGAGCGTTGCAATTCCCTGGAGGCCTGTGGAGTGTAATTCATGAAAATCATACCCCGGGTCATCACATCTCTGTAGCCATTAAGGCTGCAGGTAAGAATTAACTCTACCTGATGACAATTTGTTGAAAGTTTCACTGGGTTTATGTATGATAAGAAGTGATGTTTCAATTGGGTTGAAAAATGTTACATTCGAATTTAGTTTTCTAGGTTTAGCAATAAACCTTTATTTTAAATCAATGTTGCATGATAAGGATATGATTTGACACAATTAATAAAGTATTTTGGCATGATTGGTTAGTAAAATTAATATTGATTTTAATTATGTAATATATAATCCAATTTATTAAAAAACATCATTCCTGTTGTATCTTTTCGCCTAAAGATGGCACTTTATGATTGTGAAGTTTGGGTTCAATGCAATTCATGTTTAGCACAATTAATAATTGATTATAAATGAGATAAAAAGATATGTTATCAACTCATTAAATAAATAAGGCCCTAAAGATATAGCTTTGTCCAGCTGTCTGTTAATCAACAGGTTCGATGCAATATGTGGAAATAGCCTATTCCTGATTGTTCAAATATTTTTATTGATTTCTCATTGAATAAAGAAATATTGCGCATAGCCAGCTTTTAATAAGCAGTTTGAAAAAAGGATTCTATTTTCTTCAAAGGAACACTTATTTGGCAACTTTGCAAACTATGGGTCAAAGGTTAAAAATAGCATGCTTCAGTTTTTTTTTGAAAATTGCATAATTTTGAAAAAGATTTCTCTATGTTGGAAAGGGGCTCTGTCAAGGCTTCTCCCTCTGCCATAATGTCATGAGTGTCTTGTCCAAATCATGTCCATGCTTTGTGAAATACACAACTTATTTATAATACTATTTGATTTTCTTGTAGACCATTGATGCCATTTGATCGGGAAGGTTTCGGGAGACAAAGTATGTCAGAGAAGAGACACGCCAACGTAGATGCCAAGAACATAGAGTTTGTGCAGCAACTAAAATATGCCAAAAATAACAAAACAGGTAGCCATTTCTTATACAATATTTTTTCCATGGGTTTATTTGGTCTTTTCACCATCTTGCATCTCCATTTCCATTCATTAATCTTTTATAAGGTAATTTCTGTGGTTATGGGAATTTACATATTCATTAAGTATTGTATTATATATAAGACACTATTCTCTACATTCATTCAATCAAAGCATCAAATAACAGGTTGCTGGTTGCAATTTAATTATTCCATTTCTTCTGTCTTTCCATCAGGAATTCCTGTATTAAAATGAGTGGCAAGTTATTTTCATTTAACTTTTACAGCTGTGCATATGTTCAGGGTCTTGCTGTGACAGATTGTGGATGGGTTTTGGGCACACATTTTAAATTCATCCATGAAGTATGTGATTCCAGAAAATCATTTGTTTTCTTCAAATATAAATCGTGTTCCGATATTTCAGGCAGTCTGGACCATCGGAGGTCGGCCTCCTACCATGGTCGCATAGGTACACATTTATGACATCATAGCATATTACTTAACCACCCGGTTGACCTGGTTATATCATATGTGATTGCCATAGTAACAGTTGTTATGGTGATCAGATATGAAGAGCCATCTATCAGTGCCAGGTGGTACTATTAACAGCATGGAGTTCAAGAATCAACACTGACTGCATGACATAAATTGCTATCTGCTACAACTCCTTTCATCTCCATTGTGTCATAATTGTAGAATGGATCTATGAGCATCCTACATGAGGATGACAATAATTCAGGATTGACTATTTCTGTGTGTGAATGGAGCCTCATAACCCTGCATGTATGCCACATGACAGCTGATATGGCATTCTGGTTTCTTAGCAGTTTCTCTACCTGAATGGACCTCATCCCTTCATTTGTTTATCACAATGTTGAATATCCATGTCCATGACTGACCATTATCATTTATGCTATTACATGAATTTGCTATTGATCCTGTCTGATTCCTGCTTATTGCAGAGTTTAGTCAATGTATGAGGTGAATGGTACCCATAATGCATCAGCCTCAGGCCTCAGCAGACGGCTGTTTGATATATCACTAGTAAATGGCCCAACCATCAACAAAACTGACCATTTCATTGCATTTTCATTATCCCACAATGGCTTTATGCAATCATTCATATATTTAGATGTTTATGCAAATTGATCATTTTAAATTGAGTTTAAATTAACAGTTCTGTTTAAATTTAGATGGATGCTACTAGCATGACCTTCAGATATACAGGAAGTGCTTCCAAATACTTTTAATCCATGTTCTGTTAACTTTATTGAAAAAGGAAGTGAAATATATATACTTACGGTATATATAATTACTTTACTTTCTTAAAGCATACATGTAAATTGATGCTGCGACACTTGGATTCCTTTATAGTCTATAAAGCCAATTTTAAGTTCCCTTGTGACTGGCCTTTATATATGATATATACTCTTGGTCTATTAATTAAGTGCATTAATTAAAATGCTCACATAATCATTTAATCTCTACAATCTCACAATATTATATATAATTTAAAGCACTTATGAAATTGGAATCTAAAACACTATATGCATGTTTAATATATTCTTTGTGTGCACTAGGTGATCTCTATAGGTGAATATAGGGATGTATAATTGGGGATCTACCTTCAATGATACCCTGATAGATTTCCCTCTATATTTATGATTAACATGTACCATGGGTCATCATAATACTGTGCCTTTTTATTTGAACAATTCCACCTATGTTGCAGATAAGTTTATAATGCAAAATACAAGTTTTTACAAAATGCATTAAGTAGTATCATTTGATATAAGGAGTTATCAGACGGATGGTTATCTTTTAAGATTTGATATAGAATTGAAAGAGTGAATTGGCAAAGAATCAAGTACATGTATGCAGACATCAAATTAACACTCCAAATTGTAGAAAGGTCATGTTTTAAAACACGAAATGGAGTGGAATGGGGTGGAATCGGCAAGGAATAAAATAAACAGACATGTAGTCAACACTCTAAATTGTATAGAAATGTTATAAATTAGACACTTTAATCAAAATTTAGAGCAAATTGAGTGAAAAAGCATAGACATATATTTTGATGCACAGTATTATATAACTCACTGGTAATGGGTGGATGGATGTTACTAAAATATTTTTGTTATAGGTGAAAGGTACCCAGGTGCAAATCAGCCAATAGAGGGCACTAGTGCAGTAATGAGACTATCGGAGAGTGATGTTAGTCGAGCGATGAAGCGTGTAGGCTCAGCAGAGTCACTTCTAGGTCAATCAAACAGCTCTGTGAATCTGCATGAGTGTATGTATATTTGGCCCGGGTCCACTACTAATGTATTAACATTCGGCTCAATGGAGTGTTCATTCACTTGTATTTCACTTTGAATTGAAGTGGTCTGTACAATGACAGAGTGTGTTTTCTTATAATTGACGTTTTTTGGTTAATCATATTATTGAGACATGAATTTCAATTACTATTTTTGGTGCTACTAATTGCATCCATTTGTGACCTCATAATTATTTTCTAATTTTCCATTTTATACCAGCACAGATTTTCCAGCAAGTCCATGTTAACAAGTTGTGACTTTGTGAAATGGGCAAATAAATCAAGCCACTGCTTAAATAATAATATTCAAAACTCCATCATTGAAGAGAGGGAGTCAAATGTGGGAGTCACTGGCTAAATAGCTGCTCCTTCAAGAGACAGTGTAATATGTTGATGTGGTTACTATTATGTGGCATAGCCCTGCCATGTCAAGAAGTTATTTTTAAATTTAAAATATTGTGTGAGATTGAGTTTGCATGTAGCATGATAACTAATAGAGGTACATTTTTATCATTTAATCAATTGTACTTTTAAACACTCACATATTAAAGACAGAAACTCGCATTTCATTGTACCATGTTTTCCTTTGTCTATCACATCATCTTAAATTTAAATGTTTCTTTTCCAAATTAAAATATATGTAAACTGATATTATGGGATGGTTGCCAATTTAATTGTAAATAAAACAGTGTTCTATTGCAGCAAAAGCAGTATAAAGTTATAAGCTACTGTTCTATTTCAGTGAAGGCAGTGAATGGAGATGTTGGTCCAACTCTTGGTATGAAGCGATCCTCATCTCTTGAATCCCTCCAGGCTATGGTCCAGGAGGTTCAGCTACAAGAAGATGATGAGCCTGCGGTGTATAAGGGACCAACTCGTGTCATCAGGGGCAGGGGGTGTAACGAAAGTTTCCGTGCAGCTGTGGATCGATCTTATGAAGCGCCACTGGATACTTCCACTAACTCAGCTATGGAAACATGTAAGTTCAGGGGTTGAAAAATCCAGGGAAAATTGTAATGTTGGTCATGTTCCCAACTCCAATACAAGAAAGAAAAAGAGTAGAATCAGCAAGGAATAATCTAAACAGACATGTGGTTGAAACTCAAAATTATGTAGATATGCCACAAAACTTGAAACTTAGAGGAAAATGGAATAGAGTGGACATGACTGGAGAAGCATGGGAAGTAAATCAATCAGATTGTTGTTAAAAAAGCATGATTTAAGAGGGACCGTGAAAGTCTGGCATGACATGTGAATAATTTGGCATATCATATACTTCTTAAGTAGGGGATGAGCTAAACTGCACCTTTTTAAGGAGGTGGTCTCTTCAGTTCCCCTCTTGCCATTGTAGCTTGATTAGAAATCCCCAATATGTTCTCCTTGTTGTATTATTAGTTAAGTTCACTTTTAATTAGTTAAGTTCACTTTTAATTAGTTAAGTTTTTGTCTAGGATTCAATGTATCAATCTAAATTCAATGAATATTTTTGAATCTTAGTTGCACCCTTATACAGCACTCCATATGGTCACACAAAATAGTAGTCGGTACGTAATCCAAGTACAACTACTTGGAAATGATATATATTTTATGTTTTATTTCTTTTTGAATTTTTGCGAACAAAGAAATAAACAAGTAGGCATTTATCTTCCTATGTCCGGAATATCCTATTTGTGTGACCACTAAGAGTGACTAAATTCGTAATTTCTTTCATTAATTTTACAGCTGAGCTGGGGAACAAAGTGAAGAAAGGTATCTGTATTGATGAAGATATTAGCATGTTAGCTGTTTATATTACAAAACATAGTCTTGCATGAAGTCTCTTGCTCCTCCCCTTTCAGAAACTAGTGAGGGGAGGGTGTTGACTAGCGGGGGGGGGGGGGTAAGATAGAGACTTGGTGCTAAGCTATATGTAGCCATCACGGGACACTTCTTGCTATTTATACAGTAAAGATAGATTAACCAGAACCTGTTAGACCCCTCTGTTAAACATGCGTATTAACATATCTCTAAAGAACACTTCAATGCCAACACCTTTTCTCCATGTTATGAAGCAATGGGATGTGATCACCTTAAATAATAAATACTAGTTCCCCTTGCATTCATCTTAGATAGGCCTAGCTTTATATTTGGAGTCTAGGAAATATTGAAAGAATTATTTCAAGAAATGAAGAAGTGTTTCCTGAAAGCTATAGCCTGTTGCATTGTTCACTATTATATATGAATGCCATAGTTACAACACAGATGTTGCCATGGTGACACCACACATGTTGTTGCCATGGTGACACCACAGGGTTTGAGTGCAGGTGTTTTTCACTAAATTATCTAAATCATTGGCTGGTCCAAAGTATATGTCACTGGATTGTCCATATTACTGGTGCAGATGCACCTGCTACAGGAAATGAAAAATACCCTGAAATTTGACTCTTGAATATCTGTGTTGATGCTGTCGCTGTACTATGTTTGTGTACATGTATCAGTGTGTGGATATATACACATGTACAATTAGTTACTTGTAAATACCTCCACACTTTTTCAAATCTGGCATTGTATATTTGCATTTTTATGTGTTTTATAAACTTTTATGTAGTGTCCATCTTTGAACCTTTACGAAGCTGGCTGTAATTTTATATTTTCAATAAAAGATACTTGGTTTTTACTGATTTGATTTTTTATACCTTGTGCTTAGGTGTAGTAAAGCACATTGTGAAATGTGTGCTGAGGTGCAGGAAAGCACGTAGTGAAATGAGTGCTTAGGGGTAGAAAACTACAATTTTTCTAACAGCTCAGTGTTGCATGATCACACTCTACTAAACTTATTCTTCATTGCAATTTCTTATTCTTAATCTCAATCTTAATATTCATATGTCGGACTTTATTTTACAGTGGAAGAAGAAAGCAGTGAAACAGCCTCTCTGAACAAATCAGAATCAACACGATCATCATTCAGTGGCAGTGAAAAGGAAGCTCGTAAGAAAAAAGAAAAGAAGAAAGATGCTGGGTTATTCAAGGGTCTGGGCCACATGTTTAGGTTTGGGAAACATCGGAAATCACTGGAAGAAAGATCGCCACGGTTATCACCCCAAGAGATGCACCTGGCAGAGCAGGATAGACAAAAACAAGAACAGATTGAGAAATATCGGGCACGATTAGCTCACCAAGAGGAACAAGACAGGTAATGTTCTGATTATACGTTGTCCTATAAAATGTTATGATGCTCAATTGTGTCCACAGAGAAAATATGATGAAAATGAGTGGAATAAGCAATCTACAATAAAAAGAATTACCTGAAAATATTATTCAAAGGCTAGAAAGAAAAAACATTGAACAGGTATGAGACCTTTATGATGCTTTACTGTAACTGTTTAATAAAGTGTTTTTACAAACATGAATATTTGTGTATGTAAATATTTTAAAAACTGAAAATGCATTATTTATAAACATAAATATGTATGTTTCAGGATTCAAGAACAATACCGTAAACTACAGGAGAAACAACGTGTTGAGCAACAGAAACTTCACCCCCCTGGGCATCCCACCCATACCCATGTTCCCCACACACAGCCCCCACCTGTACCCCCACATAACCAGCCCAACCCGCAATATCAACAGCCTCCCCTGCAATATCAGACCCCTCCTCAGCAGCATAACAAACAAAACTATCAACCAAATCAACCTACAAGCAGGCCACAGTCTCAATATCAAATCCCACAATCTCAGTATCAGTCACCTCAACCCCAATCACAATATCATAACCCTCAGCCCCCGCAAAAATCTCAGTTTCAGCCTCCACAAACACAGTCCCATTTTCAACCTCCTCAATCTCAGTCACAGTTACAATCTTCCCAACCCCAGGCTTATAACTATCAGAGAATGCCACAACAATATCAGTCTCATCAGTCACCGGCCCAATCGCCACAACAACGTCGTGCAATGAAATCCCCCGCCCAACAACAATGGGGCACCCCACCTCGTCCCCAGAGGCAGGCAGCGTCTGAGTCTGATGACATCATGCATAACCCTGAGCTTGCAATGAACCGGACAGAGAGGATTCAGCAGCTAAGGGCAAGGCATCAACAGAGGCACCAGGCAAGGCAGGGGGCTTACCCTGGGGAGGACAGAGAAGAGAGATATGAGCAGCAGATACAGCAAATGGAACACCAGGTACCCATAATGCATCACTCTCAGCAGACGACTGTATGATAGTATTATGTGTACCCATAATGCATCAGTCAACAGTTCTATGAATTAATTTTATAAACAGGGCTGTGAATTTGCTTCTTGGTAACATCAAAGCTATTTGGTGATGGCTTGCTGACACTTCTGTTCTTAAAACAATCAGATCTCTGTTTCTGTATTTTATTTTTTACCCTATCAATCTGGGGTACATTACCAGACCTTAAAGGATGTATATAACTATCAAAGGCTTAGAAAACAATAAAAATGAGTTTTTTGAAAAATATCATCAATTAGATTCATTTTCATCAATTAAATGCAATACATACGCTCTCTCTATCTAATCAAATGTGAAAGTGCTCTAATAACAAAAGTGAAAGTATTATGCTGTTGTTAGGAATTCCCCAAAACATATGTCACAATGAATGTCTCCATACCATCCAACGCATATTGATGACGTAATACTCTTTGCTCGCTATTGTGAAAAACCAATGTAATGTGACGTCATTTCCCTAACAACGATAGATAGGGAGAAACTCTCTAATTGTTAGTGAATTTCCTGAATTATTTCACATTTATTTACAAAATTAACTCTAACTTAGGTAAAATAAGCATTCTATCATATTGCAATCGATTCCTTATATTAATACAAATATATGATAATAATAATAGCATATAATGCTTTCAAGAAATAAGCCTGAAAATGGCAATTTTATTGTAATTGAATTCAGGTGGGCCCCTCATTAAATACACTGGACAAAATGTTCTGAAAATTGCTAAAAGTAGGGGTCATTTTAACAGCTTCCACTCCGTCAATATTTTACAATTTCTGTTTTCTTTATATGGAATAAAAGATGAATTTACACTCAAAATGCATAAGTAAAAATCAGTGTTATATATACACAGCAACATGTTGTATTAAAGCTTAAAAAACAAGTGAAAATCACTTTAATAGTTATATACAACCTTTAAGCAGCTGAAGAATATCCAAAATCTAGTGTTGTTACCATGGCAATCATAACATCATAGAAATTAGTAATTCTTAGCTTTGCAAGTATCTGGTGATGTGTTCCAGATTCATAATAAGGATGGGTGCAACATCAATGTGCAAAATCATGGTGCAGTTTCAGGATGCAAATTCACATGGACTGGTTTTGTGTTGCTAACTTTAGGTGGTAGCTTCATTCATATTTTCCCAAGTAAAATACTGATCCTAGACTAGCACCACATTTTAATAATAACCCAGTTATGTTCATTTCATTACTAGTACTGAACTGTTTGAAATTCAAGTGCGATCATGTTCAGTCTATTGAATAAGCTCAAATGGATGATACTTAGGCTGTCTATGATGTGACATACATGCATGGGTAAGGAATAAAAACTGTAGACATGAAGGTTACACTTTAAAGTGTACAAAAATCTGATTTCTACTTAATTTTAACTGGGAAAAACAATGTATAACCACTGACCAGGTTATTTTGTTATTTAAATTAAACAAAATGTATCGTCATATACTGAGCTTATTCTTAGACTGTATTTTGCAATGTGTCTTTGTGCAAAATGCAATAATCTACTAAGCATAACTTGTTGCCTAGTTTTATAGCAGCTCCTCATACTAATCTCTAGTCATTTCAGCCCATGCCAGAGCAATTCAGCAACTATGCAATACCTCCAAGACAGCGCCAGGCCCCTGAGACTCAGTACCCGTATGATAACAGGTATAGTCGCTTAAACAAATAGTACAAAAATGTGACAATTTGAAAGTCAGCAAATCACGGAGTCATTCTGTTGAGTTATCATTTATTTTAAAGATTTCCATTGAATTTTTTTATTGTTTAATTTAGTATACTTTACACAATCCACTATTATATTCTTGGTTTGTTGTGACTGAATTGTGCAAAGAGATGCATGGTTTTTCCCACGTTGAATGCATTCAACTAGTATGTTAGAGTGTTTTTTAATTAAATTGCTTGGTTTAATTGAACCAGTTGTTGGGAACCATCTTGCTCCGTTGTTGTTGGTGTTTAAAATGGATTTTTAACATTTTGTAGTGTAGAAATTGATGTTGTACATTATTTTTATTTATTTTATTTTTATTCTTTACACGTAATTAGATCCTCTTCTTTCATTTGATTTTACCTTTCTCAATATATGATCAGATTTATCTAAGAAAGTAGCAACATGGTCTCTTATTTTACTGTTCTAAAGTACAGTGCACAAAAATAATCTGATCATGAATTGAGCAACAGTGTAGTCCTAGTCTCCCCTGAATGAATGTTTTTCAGCAATAGTATACCCCTAGCACTACCCAAAATGCTTGTTTTTCAGGGGTGTGTTTCCTTATAATACAACTGGGCATCGTGGGAAGGGTCGCATTATCAACAGGGCTGATTTGAAAGTCAGCCATGTTTGAAGTCATGCCCCCTATAGGTGGGAATCATGTAGTCATAGCTTAAAATGGTCAGCTGTCCAACTCATTCAAAGTAACCCTTATTATGGCATTAGCTTGGCATCAAGTCAAATACTTTGGAATTCAATTTTAAGAATTGTTGTCATTGCTGTCTTAAAATGAATGATTAAGTCTGTAAGGTTTATGAGAAGGGGATTGATGTAAATTGGGAGCGTTATCCCTTTAGCCTCTCCAACCATATTAAAAGTAAAAAAACAAATCTCTGACTTGAAAGATATTTTGAAAGAGTTGGACATATCTGCTATGGGAATATAGGGATAAATTTACTCACAAATTGTATGTAAAATATCACATTGGTCAGACCTCAGTTGTGCAAATATACGAGAAAAATACTTTTTCAGTAAAATTTTAAAATAATTGAATGATGAACGAGCATTGGAAAACATAGAGCAGTAAAGGAAAATGTAAATGGAATGCAAATGGCAAATGGGGATGTAGAAAGCACCAAGGGACAACTATAATCAAATATCAATTTTCTGCATTTCATTTTTGAGACTTTTTTCTTCAAATAATACTTTTAGTTTAAGTTTGGAACAATACACAGAAAATATGTACATGTTAATTAGGACTGAAACTGACCAAGGTGACATTTTAAGTGCAAGAATATGTTACTGTAATACAGTCTAAACCATGGCCCCGTGAAATGTCTCAATTTGAGTTGACACTTCACTCTTAAAATTGGTGCTATGACAGAACTTGTTTTATCGACAGGCTCAGTCAGTACTGCTCTCAGGGATATGGTCCATCTGGAAACAGTTGTTGTTGTTGGAAATATTGCAAACCTTTGAATGGCTAGCAGTGAACACAGTCATCACTGGTTCACTGAATATGTGCAGGCATCATGATAAACCATGACATCTCAAATCTTCTCAGCCCTGAGATGTTTCAGGTGAAACAGAAAGATGCTATGAACATCAGAATGATTTGCAGGCCCATAGCTAGCTTTTGTGCAAGTGGATTCAAATTTGACAATTTTGGTCCCTGCTCAAAATGGGGAAAAACTGCATGATTTATAAAGATATTTTACTCAAGAGGTTCCCATGGCTATGGGCCTGTGTGGCTTGGTTTGTTCATATTTGTTCTGCCTGTTCAGAAATCTAATTGTTAATGGATTAATGAATTAACTAATTTGATAATTTCATGGGGCTTTGAGCAAGACTGATTTATATAATAATCAAACCCAGCATGATTAAAATGGAAAATATTAAAATACTAACATACCTAAGCCCATTCCACTTAATGATAATAAGCCCAGAATGATATTATCGAATGATAAATGTGTTTTCAAGGTTCAAGTTAAGCTCTCATGTATGTATATTAAAATGGATACCAAATTATTTGACAATATAGTTCAAATGAAATTGTTTTATCTAAATGAAGGCAATGGGTGAATTGGTGATATCCTTTTATAACACATTATCATTAGATGAAATAGTTATCCTCCAGGCATTACACGTAGATATAGGATATTATATGGGGAAGATATGATATTTCAACATGCCCAAAAAGTACCTCAGGGAAGATATTATATCTTGTATATCGTATATTATATCTAGCCTCAGGATATGCCTTATATCCATAGTATTACTGTATGCTGATGAATTTGCATGTTGCATGATTTTGCTTGATGTGGCTTTGTTCCAGATCCCACCATCGTCGACCCCATGTTCACTTCGTCCCCTAGGTATAATTAAGACCCTCTTAACCCTTCATAGTTTAGTCATAATGTTTAACTCCTGTTGATCAAATTAATAGAACACCTCTCTCTCTCTTAAACCTTCATAGTCTAGCCATCATGTGTTCACTTAAATCTCAAAAACTGTATTAACCCTTGTAAATCCAAGATTGAAGTACCTGTACTGTACATATGACATTCGCTTCATACATTATAGTCTACTCTCCCAAAATCAATCTTAACCCTTGTAAACCCAGGGCTTCATAACCCATCATAGTCTAGTGGATTCTATGGTCACCTTCACCCGCTAGAGTGTTTAAATTCTAATATTCTTTGACTTGAAAGTCATGCCAAATGAAAAATAAATATTACATCTCCTCCCTGTACATTAGTCTATCTTGAAATATCCCTTGGTTTTTTGCTAGAACCTTCCCTGCTTAACTTATAATTTATTTTTGATGTGATGATTCTTTTTTGTTGGGTTGTTTTGTTTTACTTGATAGTGTAGGATTTTTTCTTTAGAGATTCTCTTTAGTTTCCTTCCAGTGACTGCATATTTTGTTGTATTAGTTGCCATGGTAACATGGTTACCATGTTACTGTTCTTGAGTTAAAATGCCATTGAGGTTGTGTCTCTTAAATGAAAATTCAAAATTGTATTGAACACAGTGGAATTAACGGACAATAACGTACAGAGACATCAAATACGGATTCCAAATTGTATAGAAATACCAGAGAATTGGACACTTCATTCTTTTAAAAAGAAATTAGATGGACAGCCGGAGCAGATGGACATTTTACTTGTGTAGTAACTATACTATTATGTTTCAGTTATATATGAGTGGTGACTACTGTTGTAGGTACTGGATATATCCATTCCTGACTTAGATCTTGGTTTTGGTTCTTGATCATTCACATACATTGCAGACCAGTCAACCCTGAGCAATATCATAGATTTTGGAATGTTTCAATTTTTTCAGAAATATGATCATTCAACAGCTTCATCCGCAATAAAATTTGTTTTTGCAAAAATGATTTTCTTGAAATAATGTAGATCGGTATATTTCTGCTTTTGAAAAGAGGTTGACAGGTCTCTCTTGTTCCATAATGTCTGCACCACAATGTGTATTCTTCACCGTGGTAACAACAAAGCAAATCATTTGGCAGTCGGTGAAATTAGCACACTCATGGAATTATAAATCTGTATTGCTTCAAACCTGCCAAATGGTTGGGCATGGTGTTATATATATGTGGTTATGGGGATATGTATTGCATGTCAGTGTATTTTAGATGAACTTGTATTCAAAATGTGTAACACTAAATATGAAAGAAATAATGTGTTTCTGATGTATTACATTAATACATATTATACCATCACATATTACATTAATACATATTATACCACCATTTAAGAACTGGTCCAAGAACTTCCTTCCCATTCAGTAATCTGTATTTTGTTTCGAAATAATTGGGTATTACAGATTATAGAGACCATCTAAACATTTTCCCCGTTAACTTAAGTCATTTTGCTTCAAGTTGTTTGTCACACGCCTCAAAATATTTCTGACTTGCTTTGAAATACTTCTTACTTGCCTCAAAATATTTCTCACTTGCTTTGAAATACTTCTTACTTGCCTCAAAATGTTTCTCACTTGCTTTGAAATACTTCTTACTTGCCTCAAAATATTTCTGACTTGCTTTGAAATACTTCTTACTTGCCTCAAAATATTTCTCACTTGCTTTGAAATACTTCTTACTTGCCTCAAAATATTTCTGACTTGCTTTGAAATATTTTTCACTTGCTTCAGCTATTTCTTATTTGCTTTCTCACTACTCTCACTTTTTCAATACTTCTCAATTGCCTCAAAATCTTATTCACTCACTTAGTTGATTAGATACATATCCAGAGGTTAGCTTTGTAATTACTAGTTAATCCAATTATGATTATGATCATGTATGCATACTAAGGGCCCTCTAGATAAGTTTCCTTACATCTTGTAGAATATTGTCACAACCCTCAAAACTATTGAAGATCTATTTACTGTGTCTTTTTGGAAAAAAATTCTCTTGGAAATATTGTTCCCTTTGAAAGAATATTGTTTAAAATAATCAGTTATAAATTAACTTTACCACAATTGGAAAATATGAATTTTCTTTTGAAAATATTCAAACTTTCTACGTCATCATTGAAAAAACATTAATTGAAATATCTTTGTTATTGGGTACTATTCAATATTCATGTTTCAAAGCCATTGTTATAATATTATTTCTCCACATTACAGGGCCTACTCAAGGGATCCACAGACCTTCAGCCACTACCAAAATTTTGATGAAATTCGACAAGACCTGCAACGTCATGACCAATACCAGGAAAAGTATCACATAAGGGGAGGTGCTGATCAGAGGACTCACCCTAATAGAGAGCTCGATACCCTCGGGAGAGATCAAGGGAGTCATGGAGGTGGGGATCAGTATTCATTTCACCAACCCAGAGCCCGATCTCATACCCCACAGATGGGATACTCTCAATGGGCACCACCAGGGGGAGCTGGTGAACAATATGGTCGCCGTCAGAAATCACTGGACTTAGACGAGCCTCAATACAGTCGTCGGCAACCATCGGGGGATTATGATGACCCCACTTATATGTATGGACAAACCAAATATGGTCAAGTAGGGCGACGGACTCCTCAACTTTTACAGGGACCACAGCAAGTGTGACATCACAAGGAGTGTTACATAACAGTACATGTAATTGTTACAATTATGCCTTATTCTCACAAAGCAAATGAATCATGCAATCTCACCCACTGTTTATTGACCAAGATAATTTCTAAACAATTCCTGAATGATTTGAAATTAGAAAGATAATTTCACGGTTTTTATTTGCCCAGCAGAGGAGGGTTATAAGCCAGGAATTAAGTGAACAGACATGTTGTGAATACTCTAAATAACAGAGTAATTCAAAAACATTCAGACGTTCAAAATCAGAGAGATATTAATTGAAAAATAATGGCAGACAGATGGACGGATTTTAAACGGAAATAATGGATGGCATAGTGTGTCCAGTACAATGTTCAATTGTTGCATAAAGACTTGCATATCACCATAGTGACTCAATTACAGAGAAATGCTGCAAATCATGATAACTCGTGATTCCTCAAGTGCATATAGACAAATAGAAACTTACTACAAATTTGAATTGTACAGGAATTAGAAGATATACTTTTTATAAATTTATAACAAATGTGAACAAAAGAATAATTGGAAATGTTTGTAAATACTGAATACTTTTTATATGTATTAAATGACAAGAACAAAATATTGATGATATTACTGGAAATAATTTATGTAGAACATTGTTTCTGATTCAGTGTAGATGCCTCTGGTACTTCCACTTTCGTCCTCGAAGAAAACAAGCCTAGTTTTTGAAAGGGGTATTTGGCCAGTTTTGGATATTTTTTATAAGGCCCTGTCTTAGACTGGTTACCCATTTGTAACCTGTTAACTACTCGTATTTGCAACTTGTTAACTATTTGCAACTTGTTAACTGTAAATGGTTAACTATGTAACGTGTTACTCATTTTTTCTGGTTAACTATTTTCAACTTGTTACCCATTTGTAACTGGTTAACTATTTGTAAATTTGATTTAGAACAACTTTTAAATTACATCTATTTATTCAAAATGAAAATGTGTTTTATTGTATCCATAGACTATTTATATATTTTACTGAATGAGAAACATATTATTTCACTGAAAGGCTTGCTTCTTTTGAGGCCATCAATGCTAAACTTATAGAACAATACGAAGGTGAAAAATAAATTTAACATGAATAATATATTAGCGAACAATTGCCTTATTTAAGTAAACCACTGCCTTATTTCTTGCCACCATTTTAATTTTAAATGTATTCTCAAAAATAAAGTGGAAACCGTTGTATGTAGTGTAAGATTTAATGAAAGTCATCAATTACTGGAAATTGTTTGAAAATGCCAGAAATTCAGGAACACACAGACCTTACAAAATAGTTTGTTAATAAATTGTGTTTGTTGTTGAAGTAAAATTTCAAGAAAATGTCATATTTATCGAGTTCCCAATTTCAGAAAACAGAGTTGATATGGTTTGTAAGAATTTTAGTTAAGTGCAGATTTATAAATATAGGTGTCACTGAGTTCAGTCCATGTAAATTGTAACTATCTCCAATAAGACTCTGTCTGGGGGTTGGACTCTGTTAAATAGCTACTAGTATTCAAAAAATATCAGGGTGATCCATATTTGGAACAAATCTATCTATTGCTTGCAAGAAAAATTATTGTATATTAAAGACATGCGATTAAGTTGTTATAATATAGGATGGTTCTTAAAATTAAACTGGCCCCTTGGTATTATATATCTAGCAAATGTCATGTGTCAGTCCAGTACACAGTTCCAAGAAACATCAATTAAAGATATTGCAATTTATTTGAGTGTAGCAACTGGTCTGTGCACAAGACTTATTTTCATGAAATTTTTGATGAGAATTTAAGGGTTGCAATGTCAGAATTTACATCGACATTGAATGTACAATACATAGACTATGTGGACTATACATGTACATCACATGGATTGTACATTAATATGGATGGGACATTAACATGGATTGTACATTAAAAATGACTCTCTATAAGTATTGATGATTTTTGACCATCAACATGATCTATATATCCAAATGAACTGTACCATATTGTAAATTATGTATAGTTTGTAATAACATGTAATAAAGCCAAAAGGAATAAAAGAAAAGTTCATGTTTGTTCAATGGTTTGAAAAACTCTTAAATCAAGAAAAAATGAGACGGACAAATCATACTAGAGACATCATCGGGCAACGTTAGATTAAACTAATTGGCAAATTTTGTCTATATTTCTGATGAAAACATTTTGGAATAATTGAGTCATAATACATTTTATCACATGGTTAGAAGTTTCTAAGCATTTTTATTTGTCAATTGTGATTATGCATATTCCGTATCACATGCCGTGTGACTCATTTTCATGTGATACGGTGGACTGTATCAAAGACAACGGTATGGCATCATATTATTCCAAAGCAACATCTCATTACACGTAAAATATAATAGTTACAAGCATCGAAATTACCAGAGGTACAGAGTATTGAACACAATCACAAATGACTAAATCAAGATGCTTAAAAATTCTTAGATGTGTGATAAGATCGTCATCAGACTTTTCAGCTCATGTGATACAGGAAATATTCCACTCGGGTAACAACGTATTACCACGCAAGCTTTGCTTTCATGGATGACCTTTCGTGGAATATTTCCTGTATCACATGCTGAAACATGTGATAACTGATAGTATGAGCAATTTTTTGCATTCTTTGAATAGACAGACTTATAAAAACATTTCAAACATTATTGAATCAAATTTAAGTTAGATCATAATCACTAAAAGTCTGCATCACATATAAATCAGACTATTGCTTGTAGATTTAGACCAGCATGATAATTCATGTTATAGTGGATAGCAAAATATATCGGTTCAAAAAGCCATTGGGAAAGTTTAGCAGATGTTCACACATCAAGCTTTTTTAAATATGTGAGTCAATGGAAGATACAATAATGGGAGCCATAAAAAATGTTCACAATTACAGGGACCATAACACAGCTGAGAAGCTTTTCTCTTTCTTTACTCTCGAGCTTTTACAGTGAAATCCACTACTACATCTGATATCATGTACAGATGTAAATCTAATAAATAGCAAACTATAGGATGTGTTTAAAAAAGACAAAAGTTTCTTTTTTCTAGATTTCTTTATTTCCACATAGATTAATATAATGTAAAATTCGACAAGGTCGATGAAACTACATATAGATGACCTTGCTGATTGTAGTTTACCCTAATGACTTTGATCCGTCCATGAGTAAATATTTATTTTTAATATTGTATGAGGTGATAATATAGACTGACCTTTCCAGAAAACATAAAATTCTGAGATAAATATTTCATAACATTCATTCAGTATTTCAAGCAAAACATCAGATTAGTAGCTATTTTCACAGGAAATGGTGACATGAAATAACCTTTTCTTTAAGGACGACCAAAAGACAAATTTTCCATGGAAAAAATCGCACCAATCAAAAGTCCTACGGCACAATTTCTATTTGAATCTAATATTTTTCTTCACATCATATTTATATTCATTATGGTAAAATTTTCATTTTGTTAAATCATGTTACTCTTGGAGTTAAGCATAATTCAATGTTTGTCAATCATTATCCTCCATTTCAACCTCTTCGATCATCATACTGCTATCGTTGAGAGAAGTGTCCTGGAGAGACACATCTTGAATAGATGTGTCAGGAAGAGTCCTAGGAGTGTCTGCTAATGGGGTGTCCATGAGTGCACTTTCCATGCTAGGTAAAATACTATCATCTGCAGTCTCATTGTGGGCACCAAGGTCATCATTTTGTGCCATCAGGACATTACTATGTGTAGTTAACATATCTGCCTCAAGAGGGCTCCCAGTCTGTGGGTCAAGGTCAAGAGTTACAGAGCTAGCATCTGGGGATGGTTTGGGCAGTTTCCCACTATATTCATAGGCTGGTAGTTCATCAGGTACATCTGAAATAACAATGTGAACAGCAAAGTGTAAGAAAATTGACAGATATTAGAAAACAACAACTCGTCACATATAAAAAAGGCGGCCATTGAAGATCTCTGCAAATTGAGGGAGATATTGAAGGCATATTAAGGAGGTCATTTTAGATGGGAAAAAGTTCAGAATAATCATTTGTACTTACCATCACATGGGGCTATGTCCCCCATCATCTGCTCTATTGCAGCCCCCAACATTGTAGTGGAGAAAGTGTCATCTCTCTTCAGACCCAAAGCCTTGGTAAATAAGATAGGTACAGTGTATAATAAATATACAATAGAAAAAATCATGGACTATTCATGTTTGTAACACAGAACAGCATACCCTTCTTTTGAGAGCCAATGAAAAAACATATAAGAATTTAGATTTATAAGCACATATATTTGGAATTTTTGGGATGAAACTTGTAAAACAAGCTTTAATACAAGAACACAAATGTGTACAAAATGTCCCCACCAAGTGGTGATCCCGTGAAATGGTTATCCTGAAAATGAGTAGACAAGACCTTAACAACACAATTTGAGGACGGAAAATCCAAAGTGGCCACCTTAAAATTTACCCAGAATGCCAAAAATTAGTCAGTTCTAGATTTTCATACTAAGAACCACCCCTGAAAATTTGAAATTGATCCCACACACAGTTAACCAGAAAACATGTAAACAAGACTTTACAGACAAGATTTCAGGATGGAAAATCCAAAATGGCTGCCTTGACATTTACCCAGAATGTCAAAAAACTAATCTGTTTGTAGATTTTCATACTAAGAATCATCCCTGAAAATATGAAATTGATCTACCAAACGATTCACCTGAAAACGGGTAGACAAGACTTTACAGACAAGATTTTAGGACAGAAAATCCAAAATGGCTGCCTTAACATTTACGCAGAATGCAAAAAAACTAATCAGATGTAGATTTTCATACAAAGAATCATCCCTGAAAATTTGAAATTGATCTATCAAACCGTTCACCTACAGGCAACATTTTAAGATGGAAAATCCAAAATGGCTGCCTTGACATTTACCCAGAATGCAAAAAACTAATCAGTTCTAGATTTTCATACTAGGAATCATTCCTGAAAATTTGAAATTGATCTACCAAACAGTTCACCTGAAAACAAGTAGACAAGACTTTACGGGCAAGATTTTAAGATGGAAAATCCTAAATGGCTGCCTTGACATTTATCCAGAATGCCAAAAAACTAATCAGATCTAGATTTTCATACTAAAAATCATCTCTGAAATTGATCTCCCAAACAGTTCACCTGGAAATGAGTAGACAAGACTTTACAGACAAGATTTTAGGACGGAAAATCCAAAATGGCTGCCTTGACATTTACCCAGAATGCCCAAAAACTAATCAGATCTAGATTTTCATACTAAGAATCATCCCTGAAAATTTGAAATTGATCTACCAAACGGTTCACCTGAAAATGCGAAGACAAGACTTTACAGACAAGATTTTAGGACGGAAAATCCAAAATGGCCGACAATAAAAAAGTGATTATGAGTTTTTGCTGATTTCTTTTTACAAAATTATCACATATAACTACTGTTAACAATAACATAGGCTTTTACAACAAAGCACACCTGAAATTATTTATAAAGCTACAAAATAGTTAAAGTATGAAAACTGAAAAACACCATTCAATATGATACAAAGTATTATCGCGCGCTAACTTTTCTTAAAACATTCAAAATGGCTGAGATGACTGAGCTAACAGGTCCAAAACCTAATCAGATCTAGAATGAAGTGAGCTGAACAAGATGTTAAAGTTTCAAAAGCAACTGTGAAGCCATTTTTCTTAAAGTTTGCAGACAAGGATTTTAGCATTTGACTTCAAAATGGCCGACAGGAAGTAGGTATCGATTCAAATTTTTTTCATCCACATCTAGATGCACTCATAAGTCATCCCTGAAAATTTGAAGGTGATATCTGTAGCGGTTTTGGAGAAAACTGCCGGACGTACGGACGGACGGACAGACAGACGGACAGACGGACAGACAGACGCGCCTAGGCCGACAATATGGCCCCACACTATGTGGTGGGGACATAAAAAAGGCACAGTTAATTTATTGCAAATAACTTAAGATTTTAACAGAGAAAGAAGAAATTACTGCTTTGGGTATTCCAGATGAAAGTGAAAATATTTTTCTTCGCTCATTCAACACTTTTTGAAGTAGTTTACTACATTGACAACAGTGTTACCAATAAGAATATGTATCCAGTCTACTACAGAGTGTTGAACGATTCCAGGTGACATTGTATTGTATTGTAAAATGGTAACTGTAAAAGTGTCATCGGTTATATAAATACATGTATAAATAGCATCACATAAAATATCACTAAAACATACCTTATGAAAATAGTCTACTGCAGTGATAGTGTTGCCAGTGAGGATATGTATGTAGCCTATTGCAGAGAGTGTTGAAGGATTCTGGGGGCAGAGTATCATTGCTTGTTGATGGTACTCTAAAGCATCATCATATTTTCTACAAAAATAACCCTCCATGGTGTATAGTAATGTAAAACAAAATATTCTCAAGTTAAATATACTGGGAGTGTTCAGTATTGGAAAATATTCTATTGTGCAGTAATGTATTGTTCTGTTAAATCATACAGTGTATACTATTTTACAATACATTATAGTCTAAAGTATTTTACAACTAGATAATGGCAACTCCGCGGAGTAGCAAATCCCAATGAACAAAATATCAATTACCGAATTCCAATCAATTATACTCATTACTTTGGTTAAAATTGAAAAATTTAGATTTTAGAATTGCGAATTCCTGCAAAGCAGCCATTTTGAATTTTCTGAGGTACAAATCTGAAAAATAATAGCATAATTGTGATCTACTCCAAAATTCCTTCAATTTGAGTATAATATAGCCATACTTTGAAGGGATCGAAAAATGATTGCGAAATCGTACATTAGACGGCCATTTTGAATTTTACGAGGCTCGAATCAGAAAAAAGATACAATATTTGCAATCTACTCTTAATTGCCTTTCATTTGAGTATAATAAAGCTATACTTCAGAAAGATCTAAAAATTAGCGAAAATTTCTGTTTTCCTGACCCCCATACACAGCCCATGGGGGTCAGGATGAAAAACACGGAATATATGTGAAATAGATAGATGTTGCGAATATACTACCAAAATTTCAAACAATAATATTAATTACTTTGGTTTAGAATGAAAAATTTATGATATTTGCGAAAAAGTCCCGTCATTTTTAAAGCGGCGGCCATCTTGAAAAAATTTTTTTTTGCATAAACTATTCATCAATATACATCTTTCCACTAAATATGAAGAAATCCGTCCACTAGTATTTGAGTTATCTTCCGGACGGACGGACGGACGGACGGACTGACTGACGGACTGACGGACTGACGGACGGACGAAGGGCTTCACTATATCCCTACCGAACTTCGTTCGTTGGGATAATGATATATTGTGTACGATATTGTACAATACTAGTGTGAAGTGTTGTGCAATACTCGTTAGTGTACAGAATTGTGCAGTACTCTACTGTACAACATTGTAAAATATTCTATATTGTACAATATTGTAAAATAACAGATCATTCTACAACAAGAATTTCTCTAATCTGCTTGCATTCTACTAACTACTCACCTGCCTGTCAAAGTTGTGCATATAACTGGTCAAAATATCCATCTGATAAACTTTCATCCAAGTGTAAGAATCTGTTGAAAATTAAAATATGATATTTATCCCTTACTTGAGTTTTCTACAACAATGTCCCAGGTTGCTAAGTAACGGTTCCCATTTCTCTGGGATTAGTTCTTCACTGACAGTTTGAATCTTCTCCAGGGCTTTCTTGAAATAACATTCCGCAGCCTCCCAGCTGAAAGAAGAGTGAAGGATTATATAGGAATTAATAGATGCTCAAACAATAATAATTTTGAATATAATGAATAACAATAGACTAGATGCGAGTAGACATAATCTTGATTTACGTCATTAAATATTCAAAATTCAGTGATGTCATTTTTGAAATCTACATGTAAAAGTACATCTAGAAATATGGTTTCGAAAATTGTTTATCAACTTTGAAAATTAAATCTTTTTTGAAAGTTTGACTTCTCATTCGGGTTGATTCCCCATAGACCCAATGTTACAAAATCACAAAAAGAGAAATATCTTTTCTTGTATTGGACAGATAACATTTTCTTTTACTGGACATCTTTCAATTTGCATAACTGTTAGATACATAAGGGTTATATGAAAATGGAACCACTAAAACAAATGTAATTGAATTTAAAGGGAACTTTCTGCTATACCCACCATGCTATCTGACCCAAATGAGCCACCTGGTGGTGAAACTGGTAAATACCTACTAGCATCTGCGTTATTTAGAAACAGATCCACAGAAATCAGTCATGACATTAACTTCTATTTGAATGTTTCTCATTTGAATCCAACTGGCAAATATACATTTAAAAGTAATATCTCTCATATAAAAATGGAGATGATTAATTCTCTCAAATCATTGAGTGTTGATCAAATCAAATCATATTTCAATACCTACTGATTGCAATAAATTAACAGAAGAAGCATTTGTCACTGGTGGATCAAGGGGGGGGGGGCATGGGGCCCGGGCCTCCCCCGTTGGGTTGAACCTCAATTAGTGGGCCTTTTGGGCATAACTTGAAGATTTTCAAAATTTAGGTCCAACTTTTGAATATAAGGCACAAAAGTTTTTTCTACTAAGCACGGAAAGTTTTTCATGATTTAAAATGTTGGCCCCCCTATAAAAAAGTTATTTTACATCCATGTACTACTATAAAAAGAAAAAATATTTTCGAACAATAAATTCTAACATACTCATGATTTTGAAAAGAGACTACTCCCATCTCATGAAGCACAAATGGATCCTCTGGTGCAATTTCCCGTGCCTGGGTGAAGAATTTCTCTGCAAGTTTCGGGTTGTTTGTGAGACCATATTCTAAACCTATGTATAACATTGGTAAGTGGCACCTGGAAAACATGAGGTAAACATGGAGTAAAACATGAATCATACAACAATTTAATCTACAAATATCCTTAACGCTTTATTATTTTTATCTATCAGTGCAGAGTCAGCTCCCAAAATTAGCTGAAAAGTATACTATACGTAGATGTCGAAGACACTGCACACACAAATTTTTTAGAGAAAAATCTATAAGTCATACAAGTCAGGAAATTAGTAAATTACCTGCTTGTTTGTCAGAACTGGCAAATGAATTTGCCATATTTTGGGATGATATTTGTTGTATCAGTTGCACGTGTGGTTTAACCTCTTGACTACCTGGAGTGACAAGATCTCTCGTCACCTTAGAAATAACCTTGAAACCCAGAGTGACAAGAAAATCTGTCACGAAATTTTTCACTAAAATGAACAATTGTCATCCAATTTAAAATATGTAGAAATAATTTCTGCCATCTAATTTTACTAAGTTGAGCATATAAAGTTGCATAGGTACTTTTTAAAATGTCAAAAGGTGGCAAAAATGAAAAATTCTCTGGTTTCAACCAATTTTAGAGTCTGGGATTCAAGAGGTTAAGGGGATGTGCGCTTACTGATGTTTAATTGCTAATGAGGGGACACACAACTTATTAATCCTTCCGCCGAGTGAGAAGACGAATAGATGGCATTTTAAAAACAAGAATATAGTCCAATTATTGTAATTGTAACGACCCTTGATAGCAAGTTGCTACTACGGCCCAGCTGTAGTGGCTTAAGCCTTTATAGCTCAGTAAGTAGAGCATCAGTCTTTGGATCCAAGGGTCCTAGGTTCGATTCCCACACGGGGCATTGAATTTAGCACACTTTCTTTCAATTTCTTTATCTGGCTTGTTACACTATGCTCGTTAGTTAATTAGTTAGTCATTCCCCTGGGGCGCCCTCGGGTCATTACATTGGTGTCAGATGTGGGATCAGAGCATTGGTTGTATCCTTTGCGCCCTTGTGTATATGGTAGTTACTGCTAGGGAAGCAGGGCTGACCACGAGGGCGTGGTCCTTTCAAAGGGGGAGATAGTGTAACGACCCTTGATAGCAAGTTGCTACTACGGCCCAGCTGTAGTGGCTTAAGCCTTTATAGCTCAGTAAGTAGAGCATCAGTCTTTGGATCCAAGGGTCCTAGGTTCGATTCCCACACGGGGCATTGAATTTAGCACACTTTCTTTCAATTTCTTTATCTGGCTTGTTACACTATGCTCGTTAGTTAATTAGTTAGTCATTCCCCTGGGGCGCCCTCGGGTCATTACATAATTATATAAGCACCACCAGTGCTTGGAAATTGGTAAGTACATGAATGAAAAGGTGTTTGTATGGACCAACGCTAACACATGATTTGATGTGGTTGAGGTGCATTTTCTTTAAGAAATTTGACCTTTTTGACCTGCCTCCATTTGTCAAAATCAGAGTGACAATTTTTGATATTTTCTATAGATGGCGTATTCAACAGGTGAGATCTTTTGATTTTCGTTGGAAGTTTTGGTTCAAACTTTTTTGACTGACAGAGGACATACTGGGGTATGATGGCGTGATAGCAAAACATGACCACAAATGTTGGTTTTCTCTGAAAGACAAATCATTTAGATGGGAATACGCATGTTATAGCATTTGGTTGTGTGAGGCCTGAATGGATCATATCTAACCTATCTATTATATTGATATTAGAGACACAACTCATTCTATGTAGGTACCTGACTTACCCTTTCATTAACTGTGAAGCTGTAAAATATGCTGCCATTGCTTGGTCGTGCTCATTCTCTACAGCAAATGAATGTCCAAATGCTAACCAAGCAGGTCCAAACACACGATCCAAAGTTGTAGCTTTGCTCAGATACCGCCTAGCAGCCTCATTTTTTCCAACGAGCAAATAATAACACCCCACAGCGAACCATGATACTGGTTTACTGGGGTAGAGGTCAACTAGTTTGTGGGCCAGGGAGAACAATGCTAAAAGTAAATATTGTTTTTTTATATAAAATATGTATTATCAAAACTCAGTGTCCATTTATGACCCTAAAATATTCCCCAAAACCAATAAATTGCAAACAAACTTTCTTTTCTTTAATTTTAATTGAAAGTGAATTGATCTTCTTTTTAAAACCAAATGAATTTTTAAAGTACTGTATTGGTGTACTTTAGGTCCACAAATGAGTCACTTTTATTGATTTGAAGATATCGTTATGAAAACACAATACTACAGTAGCCATAGAGAACACTGAACTCATATACTCAAATGTGCAATTTTTATTTGAAAAAGCAATCATTAATCTCTTAGTGACTATTTTGTTGACATATCATAAATTACAATTTTCAACATTTGAAATTTACCAAAACAAAATACCACCACCTGTAACTGTAATTGCAATATTTACAGAAATGAAACAATTCATTGCCCAGCAACAGTCATCTTCCCTGTCACAAAAACAGTTGCTATAGCAATGTCACCACTTCATGGCGATGATGTTGAAACTAACCATTAGACTTATGAAGCTCTATTAATACTGCTATATGGAGAGGGAGACAGCTGTAGTTGTGAGGATCCTTCCTTAGAATTCTGAAAAATAAAAGACATGATCTAAACTCATAAGCAACTTTATCAGAATCTAGGAAATCACAAATATTGAGAAACCGCAGTTTGAAAACGGTTGAAAACTCACTTATGAGTAAATAACTTGTCCTGTATATTTTGTTTGAGAAATCAAATTAATTTAAACTCTTTCAAAGGCAGTACAGTCTATGAAATGAATCATTCCCATATGAGTTTTTTTCTTACAATACAATATAGAATTTGATTCCATGTCCCCATCTTAAACAAAAATCTGTATGGTTTGCAATATCAATTTAAAAAAAATTAAACTAACACAGCTCTTTTGCCAAATAAGAGGCCACATCTGCAAAGAAAACTGCATAAACTATGTCACAGAACCTCCATTTTGTCATTTTCAGAATGTGAATACCAACAATAAATTGTCATTAGATTTAGAAAATAATAAATATTCCTTCATAAATTAATTTGACATTGAACATTGTAAACTGTCAGAAATTAGTTGCCAATACCACTCTGCCATCTTTCAATAGAAGAGAGAATAACATGTCAAATAACTTCTCAAGGATTAAAGGTAATGTTATAAGTTCTGCATTTATTCAACAAGTGGTCCAAAGCTATGCATTATGCCCTATGTGAAGCTTAATATGATCAATTTGACTAAATTCTAAACATCAAGTGTCAAAAATCAGATGTGCCGGTCATTAAATTATGACTTTTCACAAGATACTTAAAAGAAATGACCAAACTGCATCCTCCTAGTTCCAAAAATGCGAACTCATGCCATGGTCACATTTTTTTCATTTCCAGTGCCCGACCGATGAGTATTTTGTTCAACATTGCATTTAGTTTTGACAAATTTCTCATCGACCAGTTGCCGGTTTTGAAGATCGGAGCAAATGTGACCACGGCATAATGTGACCCTCTCCCTCATTTATGTAGATCATGTTTTCTTGTCATGCATATTAGACTGTTTACATGTATTTGACTCACAGTGATGTGATCCTAAAGCACTCTCTGAAGGAGCAGTTGTAGTAGTGTCTTTCAGCCAGGTTCACTATTACATCTAAGTTCTCACTGAGAGCATCCAGGCTTGTTGGCAGGGACAGATCATTTGGTTTACTGTACTGTAAGAAGAGATCATTTAGCCTTCTTACAAACATGGACAATGTACAGTACATATCCCTAAGTACACACATATTACATGACCTAGCGAAGCATTTGTATGGAAGTCAATGGAAAAGTAAGCAAGTTACATCCACCGATTCTGCCAGCTTACACTGATATTGCCTGCTTTCTTTAATAACCATGACAATAGCATGATGTCATGCTTCATTTCTTTCAAATTCTACTTCCACATGGATGTGTCATCTTGCCCAAATATTTCATGTCATAGTGACATAACCTCTTAATATATGGATGTAAAAGAATATTACAGGAGACACAATAGAATTTCCGACAACAAGCAAAAGTACTTACCTTTTTCAGTTTATTTTCATAAAGGAACCTGACGAGTTCTATTTCTTCATCTGTACACTGACTGCTCAAGGGAAGCCTCTCTATCAGATCACGTTCTAAAACATATGTACATTTATAATATAGGGGGGATAGAAAATGTCACTGGAGGCAATATATTAAATCTCAAGAGCGAAGAGGAGTTAGTTTAGCAAGGAATAAAGTAGAAATGCATGTACATCTAGTTGACAGTTTAAAGTGAACAGGGTTGCCAAATATTCAGAAAGTTCATTCAATTTTCACAAAGAAATTAAGAGGAGTAAAATATATATTAATATAGATAGGCCATTCAAAGATTAAATTCATGGAATTTGTGAGTAAAACCTACTGTCTAAATGTGTCATTAGGACTTGTAACTATACACTATACACACTGGATATTGACTTCTCAGACCATTCTTATGTCACAACCTGGTATACTGTAACTCACCTTCCTCAGCAGTCAACATGTGGTGGTTCACCAACATCTCAAATGCTTCATAGCAGTAAACATTGTGCTGAAGAGCCTCACGGAAACAATCAGCTGCAAGAGTTCTATTGTCCATTGCCTCATAGATTTTGCCTCTTAGAAGACTGATTGAACTATCCACCTTTAGAAACAAATCAATGAGATTTCATATATGATAGAGATTTGGGGGAATTTTTATGACAGGAAGCTGGGATTATTCCTCGTATACGGCTTTCCACTTTTTAACAAGAAATAACTAGAAAAACAGCAACTACACGGAGTAGCAAATCCCACCGAACAGAAACTATTTTGCTTATTATAGCTAGTGTAAATGTTGAAATGTTTGTGCACTTTGTGATAGAGGCATGAAATTTGGCACAAAGTTAGTTTATACCATTGTGAACTAGGCATCATCATATAAAATTTGAACCAAATCCGTTCACTGGTATATGAGTTATCAAAGATTACGTTTTTTATGAAAATTGGCCGCCATCTTGAAATTCAGCCGCCATCTTGAAAATTATTTCTTGAAAAGAGCAACTGTGTCCCTAGGCATAATCATATAAAATTTCAACCAAATCTGGTATTTGAGTTATCAAAGATTAGGTTTTTAACGAAAAATTGCTGCCATTTTGAAATTAAGTGGCCATCTTGAAAATTTTTTGTCGAACATAGCTACTGTGTCCCTAAGCATCATCATATAAAATTTGAACCAAATCGGTTCACTGGTATTAGAGTTATCAAAGATTACATATTTTTACGAAAAATGGCCACCATTTTGAAATTAAGTGGCCATCTTGAAAATCTCTTTTTGTGCGAAACTTTATTGTCCCTAGGCATCAGCATATAAAGTTTGAACCAAATCCGTCAACTTGTATTTGAGTTATCAACAATTACATTTTTTTAGTTTCTCAGATTTGACAGTATATTTTCTTTCCATGTTTTGAACCTTGCTGTTATTTATTTCTAAATACTTAATTATCTTACATTTCCCTTCAATGAGAATGCGATGTTGTCAAGTGGAGGCTTTGGTACGACGTGTTTGCTTTTACATGGTGAGTTATCTGCACAGGCGAGAATGTCAATGGCTTCCTGGTATTCTTTGCACTCATACTGAAAATAGACAATAAAAAACATCAACTATAGACATCATTTTAATCTAATTATTGATCTACTACTATCTCCCCAGAATTTCTCCTTTCTTCTCAGCAAGGTACTCAATCCTTATTTAACCCGATTTAAGTAAAATGTCCATTACCAAATGTTATTACAAAAGGTACATTAATGTCCAATTTATACTTTTGTCATAAAGGATAAGTGTAAAACTGAAAAAAGGTAAATTATTCCAAAATTAGAGGGTTGCATTTCTGGTCACCCTGTAAAACCAAAAAGGTAAATCATGAATCATAATCATTTAATATCAAAGGAATATGCTAAATTCCAATTCACATTGTGTCTATTATAAAGGAGATGTTGATAGGTTAAGAGAGAAAATTATATATCTAAACATGAATCAATCTGAACTCTTTTTAACGGTCCACATCACCTTGATAGATTTCAAAAGCATAATCTAACAAAAACATTCAAAGGAAAATGTAGTATACAGTGAAACCTGTATATCTGAACACCTCTCTAATCCAAACACCTTTCAATTGGAACACTTTTCTCAGCCCCAAATCTGTAATCTCCTATTGACTCACATGTTAATAAAATCTTGAAATGTGAACACCTACTAATCTGAACACTTTTGTTCGGTCCCAGAGGCATTCAGTTTAAACTGGTTTTACTGTACATAAAAATCTTGTAAAAGAATGTTGTATTTTATACATTCTCCATTCTTTAGAATAATATGTCATTCTGACGCAGGAATTGTTTTAGAAGTCCTTTTGAAAGTAAGTTCATAGTCACCTTTATGTATTTGACATGTTCTTTTTAACAGAATCACAAATAAATGTTGACAAACCATTATGACACTGTGAAAATGTATTGAATCGTTGCAATTTGCCCTTATAACACATTTACCAAAATAGCTACTCTAGACATTGAATTATACTGAATGTTTTTAAATGCACCAAGTTGTCATTAATGTGACAAAAAGTTGATTTAATTTACAATTTAGCTTTATGAGGCTTTTATTCAGGTGCGCAATTATGATCCAGAGTTTGACTCAAGGTAGAATCAGAGATACGAAGCAAGATAACCCCAAAACTCAATTTAAGAATCTTTTAAGCTACAATTTCTCCTTGTGAGGTCTACTTACTCTACTTTCTGCTTGGAACATCAGAAGTTGCATTCATAATTCAAATAAACATAAAGATTTTAACATTTCTACTACTGTCAAATATATAAGGCATCAACATGCAAAATGGCATCACCTGTCATTTGTTACAGACACCAACTGTAGAATGCTGACCGCTGAACACAACCACAAAAAAAGTTGGAAACTATAACAACTAAAAATCAGCAACTCTACGGACTACCAAATCCCACCGAACAAAACATGTTTTAACTAGATAATGGCAACTCCGCGGAGTAGCAAATCCCAACGAACAAACTATCAATTACCGAATTCCAATCAACTATACTCATTACTTTGGTTAAAATTGAAAAAATTAGATTTTAGAATTGCGAATTCCTGCAAAGCAACCATTTTGAATTTTCTGAGGTACAAATCTGAAAAATAATACCATAATTGTGATCTACTCCAAAATTCCTTCAATTTGAGTATTATATAGCCATACGTTGAAGGGATCGAAAAATTGTTGCGAAATCGTACATTAGACGGCCATTTTGAATTTTATGAGGTTTGAATCAGAAAAAAGATACAATATTTGCAATCTACTCTTAATTGCCTTTCATTTGAATATAATAAAGCTTTACTTCAGAAAGATCTAAAAATTAGCGAAAATTTCTGTTTTCCTGACCCCCCATACACAGCCCCTGGGGGTCAGGATGAAAAACACGGAATATATGTGAAATAGATAGATGTTGCAAATATACTACCAAAATTTCAAACAATAATATTAATTACTTTGGTTTAGAATGAAAAATTTATGATTTTTGCGAAAAAGTCCCGTCATTTTAAAAGCGGCGGCCATCTTGAAAAAATTTATCTTCCGGACGGACTGACTGACGGACGGACGGAGGGCTTCACTTTGTCCCTACCAAACTTCGTTCGTTGGGATAATAATTAGTGGCCATCTTGAAAATCTATTCTTAAACAGAGCATATCAGCATATAAAACTTGAACCAAATCCATCCACTGGTATTCCAGTCATCGAAAAGTATGTTTTTGTCCAAAAAGACAGACATTTTGAAACAGAGTTACTGTGTCCCTAGGCATCAGCATATAAAATCCAAATTCGTCAACTAGTTTTTGAGTTATCCAAGTTTATGTTTTTTTACAAAAATGGTGGCCATTTTGAAATTCAATTCAAATTTCGAACAGATGGATGAACAGATGGACGATTTCCTATATCTCTCTCAAACATCAATCGGTGGGATAATAAAAATTGTTGAGATTACACATTTCGACAACTTTATTTGTTACCATATTATGAAGCTCTCTTTTAAACGTGGCCTTTCATTAAAACCCCATGCTTTCAAAGGAGTAAAGGTAGCAATTTTATCACCCTTCATCTCTGATTCTATCTTTATATTGGATGAACAAATGTTTGAAAAGAAGTATAAACTTGTATAAGAAATATTTTTTAAATCTACTTCCTTGTTACTCTCCTAAAGTATTTCACATCATGTGCTGACTGCACCCGCTATTCTAAAGAACAACTTTTACGATAACATACAATATGTAATATAGGTGATCAAGATGGTTCAAAAAACCAATGAAGTGTCACTATTACTTACATTTCTCATAGGAAGTTGTCTTCTACATATAGGTAATTCAGTCATAAAACACTTATTGCACCGAGATATGTGTACCAGATGGAGTTCATAATGTGTGTCATTCATTTATTGATGAAAAATACAAATTCTATACAATTCAATTTGACAATTCATGGCAAAATAGTAGAAATACATAAAAAAAATATGAACAATGCTAGTACATGTACATGTTATTATTGTTTTCAGCCTATGTAGCTGCTGATGGTGTTATACATGCTGCATGTACTGGTGAAACAATAGCAGGAGATTGTGAACCAAATGAACTGCGTATGCATTACAGCCAAGGATCAAATAACAGAACTAACTAGAACTAGTTATTATCATGTAATATATCTTCCTTTCAGCCCACGTTTCTGCTGATAGAGTTATAAGTGCTGCGTGTACTGGTGCAACAATAGCAGGAGAATGTGAACCAAATAAACTACTAAAGCTTACAAAATACATCCAAGGATCAAATAACAGTACTAATTGTAACACAGATGATGAGAATGATTGTAGAGATGATGACTCTGATGCAATATACTTCTATCAACAGTTTCTTAAAAAGAATATTTCTAGGTTTTCTGATAAAGTTCCAGACTTCCCAACTAAATGCAAAGACATGAGGACAAAATATATCTCACTGGACTATGAGTGTATACAAGGTAATCATAATGGATACTCTCCTCTCTATAAAGAATATCAATTTTGATTGAATTTATATGATGAATTAAAAGACCTGTACTGGTATTAATAAATAATTTTAAGATCATTTGATAACTTAAACTATCCCATGTCATTCCTCTCCATTGTCTCATTTAATCTCAATAATTCCAGATAGCAAAATCATGAGACTATGTGAAAGCAAAAATATCACAGCTAATGAAATACATATCTTGAATATGGACTATCCTGGTTATACACGCAATTGGAAAGATGGACCAAGTAGCAAGATCAAACCTTCTTGCCACTGTATTGTAGATTCAGCATCCTCAAAAAATGTTGTTGTAACAATGGTACGATCATTTGTTCTGTTTGGAGAAAATAATATAGTGATCCAAGGTGAAAATGAACAATGTACAGTTGGTATTGGATTTGATGAGTACAATACAGGGCAAGAAGTACACGATGGTAGTCTACCTATGCATTTTGTATACAATTATGGAAAAATTGAAGGACTTTATTTAATATGGTTCAACATCAAATGTAAGTACATGTTTATACTTCATTGTTCTTACCAAAACATATTTGAAAAGACAGATTAATCAACTTGTTAGTTAACTTTGAGAATCTTCATGTAAGCATTAAGGTTCTGCATTGCATAACAACCATTTATGAACCAATACAATAAAACCGAACAAGTGAGTCAATTAGAGCATACTGAAAATAAAAACAACATCAAGATGTGTAAACCAATCATTTTTATAGCTGATGATGGTGGTGATATAACACTTCAATGTGAGGAATCTGAGGCCACAGTGGATGACACTCTGCCTCAAGTTTGCCAGGCAGTCACCAGAGCATCTACAAGATCACCAATTACAACAACAGCTACCAAGCATTTTACCTCAACTCAAGATTTATCTACATCTCATAGTTTGACTCCAGATCATTCAATAAGCCAAGTATTAATGAGGGCAAAATTATATTTAAATTTATTTTATAAAATAAATGAGAAAGATTAAGTGTAAAATGATTTTCTCAAAAATTATTTCCCTTAAAATCATAATTTTATTTTCTGTGAAAAGAATTGAGATAACTGATTAAATAGAGGAATATTTCTCAAAGCATGTTAAAAAAGCGATAAGGCTCTTGTGGTTAGGGCAGGGGGGCGGGCACATACATGTAGGTTCTGTAGCTAGACTAGATCAAATGAAGAAGTTATCAAATATTATTTAATAAAAAGAAAAGATATAAGGGCGTGAGTGTGACATATTTTATAAACTTCCCATTAACTCTTAACAATAAAGATAAACATATTCAGAAAATATATTATGTTTTGAACTTTTTTTAATGGTGATGATAGACACATCATAATGGTATTTTTCCGATTCATTCAGAATACAAAAGAAATAATAGCAGAATCAACCACACAAATGACAACTTACCCAAAACAAACCAGAGAGACTGTACCAACAAGTGAGAGTTCCACAGTTAGAGGAGATGATACAACTACACTGTTACATGTAACAAATATATATGAAGACCTCAAAAATGGAGAAACAAACAAAAAGGAGGATGAAGATTACGATTTAGGTATACTTAAAGTAGCTCATTTGTGGCTTATTCTGTGATTTTAATCCTAGATTGAAATGTACCTCAAAATAAGCAATTTTTCAAGCTTTGATATTTTCAAAAATATGGTTTATTTGAAAGTCTATTTATGGTGCAAGTTGGAGTTGAATACAAATTAAAAATTTAGTATTCGTTTCTATAAATATACATATGTTCAAAATATGTTTATGCTCCTTTCAGGGTTAATCATTGGATGTGTATTGGCTGTGGTTGTGGTATGTGTTATTGTGCTTATTCTGGTGATATTCTTGGTTCGCAGACATAAAAAGTAAGTTGAATGAAAAAAAATAATAACAAAAAAAAAGAAGTGTTAAATAATTGTTAAGCAGAACTTAGCTAACCAGGTCTTCATTATTTAAAGCATGAAGTGAACAAAAGGAAGATGTGGTTTGTAAGTTAATGATAATTTTCCATTTTCTCAGGCAAGATGTTCAGGACAAAACTGATGATAGCTACATGGAGCTAGATTTGACACAACGAAGAAATCAAAACATCAATACATATGACACAATAGAGGAAGGACATCATAACTATGAAAATGCTACAATTAGAGATGGACAACATAACTATGAAAATGCTATCATTGGTGATAAACATAATAATAACTATGAAAATGCAATATTAGGAGACAACCCTAATGACTGTGTACATGATACCATTGATGATGAGGACAGGAATCATGGTTATGTAAATGACATAATTGAAGATGCGAACCCTAATGACTGTGTACATGATACCATAAGTGATGAGAACAGGAATAAAGATTATGTAAATGACATAATTAAACATGCGAACCCAAATGACTGTATACATGATACCATTAAGGTTGAGGACAGGAATCAATATTATGTAAATGACACAATTGAAGATGCGAACCCTAATGACTGTGTACATGATACTATTAAGGTTGAGAACAGGAATCAAGATTATGTAAATGACATAATTGAAGATGCGAACCCTAATGACTTTGTACATGATACCATTAAGGTTGAGGACAGGAATCAATATTATGTAAATGACACAATTGAAGATGCGAACCCTAATGACTGTGTACATGATACTATTAAGGTTGAGAACAGGAATCAAGATTATGTAAATGACATAATTGAAGATGCGAACCCTAATGACTTTGTACATGATACTATTAAGGTTGAGAACAGCAATCAAGATTATGTAAATGACATAATTGAAGATGTGAACCCTAATGACTGTGAACATGATACAATGAGTGATGAGGACAGAAATAAAGATTATGTGAATGACATAATTGAAGATGCAAACCCTAATGACTGTGAGCATGATACAATGAGTGATGAGGACAGAAATAAAGATTATGTGAATGACATAATTGAAGATGCGAACCCAAATGACTGTGAACATGATACAATGAGTGATGAGGACAGAAATCATGGTTATGTAAATGACATACTTGAAGATGCGAACCCTAATGACTGTGTACATGATACAACGAGTGATGAGGACAGGAATCATGGTTATGTAAATGACATACTTGAAGATGCGAACCCTAATGACTGTGTACATGATACAATGAGTGATGAGGACAGAAATCATGGTTATGTAAATGACATACTTGAAGATGCGAACCCTAATGACTGTGTACATGATACAACGAGTGATGAGGACAGGAATCATGGTTATGTAAATGACATACTTGAAGATGCGAACCCTAATGACTGTGTACATGATACAACGAGTGATGAGGACAGGAATCATGGTTATGTAAATGACATAATTGAAGATGTGGATGTAGAAAACACCTATAAAAATGATGCATTCAGGAATGGACATCAAAACTATGAAATTGTAAAGTAGGTAGAGATGAATTAAAAGAAAGATTCCCATCAAATCAAGATGCTATATTTGCTATATTTAGGATAATAATCTAATATACTCATTGTAAATAGAATAATTAAATATGCTTCAAATCTCTGGATGTTTCTTTATATTTATTCATTGATCTATTTTACTTTTATTATAGTGTCATGGGTTAAAATACAATAACATATATATTTGGACTTCATAGAATGTCACTTGTGAGAGATGCACAAGTATTCACCTCAATAGAATTAAATATTTATTTTATTATTCACTGTTATATTCCACACTCACATTAATGGAAAAACAAACTATTGATGTCTAATTAATCATAACGATGTTCTCCTGGAGATATACAATTAAAATAACAATGAACTAAGTCGTGAAAGACATAGATAATACATAGTATATTTAATAATATTAACATTAAAGATAGTGAACATATTCTCCTGAAAGATGGTTTAAGGCATAAAAATACAATGAGTACGAGGATTATTTACAAATACATAGTGAAAGAAAATGTAGAACATCCAATTGCTGAGGGTTACTGGTGCAGAATTTTTAAGTTGGAGCATAGAAATAGCTTCTTTAAGCGGGTCTATGAGAGGAAGATACAATAGGTGTTATACAAAATTCTTGCTCAGTTTAACTTTAAACTAAATACCCTTGCATGTGGCCAAATGGTTTCAAATTGGATTCTAGGTATAAATAGAAATTGTATTAAATGTAGAAAGATTTAAGATATAAAGCATTTGCTTTTTGACTGTATATTGGAAAAATACTCAAACTTGATATAAGATGGCAAGACATTGTACTTGGTAATATTAAAATCCATGAAAACGTGACTCCAAATTCTGTTGAATTCGCTTGCTATTTTTTAGTCATGTGTAGGACATGGACCAATGAGAAAGTGGGGAATATGACAGTGATATAATGAAAACAATGTTACACAAGTAATAAAAAAAAAACTCAGACCCCCTATGAGCCTATAAAATACTTTTGCTATAGTATCTATAGTATAGTATAGTATAGTTGCTATAGTATCCGGACATCCAGTCAGGTGCCTAATGCAGTGAAGAGACAAATTCTATCAGTAGACATGAGGCTTTGAAATTTACTCTCTTCATCTAAATTCATAAAACCAGTTACAATTGCAGAAACATTTGCACACAAGTTTAAATGATGTTTTTTATCATCCCGGTGTCACATAAAACATAATTATTGATCTCCTCTGAATCCCCATGAGAAAAAGAATATCAAAAGCTCAATCATATTTTCAAAGATCCCTTTCAACCTTTGGAGAGTTTAAATATTTTGTCTCTGTGAGATTTAATATATACATGTTTGTTGGTCTACCTTGTTCAAATATACAAGATTTTATTTCTAAGTTTGATAAAGTTGGATGAACAAATAAAAATAAAGTTTAGAAAAGAAATAATTTTCACCATCTACTTCCTGGTTCAGTATCCAAGCTACACATACCTTACTTGCTATTAACACACAAATTGATTATAATGTTTTCTGTTTTTAATCAAGATGGAAGCAAACTGCAGTGAGAGGTTTCTCATTACATTTCTGATTGGAAGCTTTCTCATTCATTCTGGTAAATAAATCTTTATCAAACATTGTTTCATGAAGGTATTGGCCCAAGGGTCTCCTTTTAGTTATAATTTATCAATTATAGCCGAATTAATGAAAGTACTGAAGCAATATTTAGTTAAAGTATTAGAACCTTTGAAGCATGCACATGTATACAATACATGTACATCTTGTTTTCAGTCCTGATTGAAGCTGATGGAGTGATAAGTGCCGCATGTAGTGGCCAAGAAATATCAGGAGAATGTGAACCAACCGAACTACTAAAGCTTACAAAATACATCCAGGGATCAAATAACAGTACCACTTGTAATGCCGATGATGACAATGATTGTAGAGATGATGATAAAGATACCATACACTTCTATCAACGGATTCTTAGAAATAATATTTATAGCTTTTCTGATAAATTTCCAGACTTCCCAACTAAATGCAAGAACACGAGGACAAAATACATTTCATTGGAGTATCAGTGTATCCCAGGTAATATGCATTCACATTTATATAGTCATTGGGTGATATTATAATATACAAGTAAATCTTGATATTTGAGGAACAGATAGTAACTAAGTGTTAAATGTATATTCTATTGAATAATTCCAGATAACAGAATCATGAGACTGTGTGAAAGTAAAACTATCACCTCAAATGAAATACATATATTGAATATGGACTATCCCAGTCTTACACTTAATTATAATACAACAACATTAACGATGAAATCTCCTTGCCAATGTGAGGTTGATTCTACATCTTCAAAACATGCTGTTATTAAAGTGGTACGATCAGAGGTTATTGGTAATAAAAATGACATTACAATAACAGGTGAAAATGAACAGTGTATAGTTGACATTGGATATGATCAATCAAATTTAGGACATGAAATATACAATGGTAGCTTACCTATTGACCTAGTATACAATTATGGAAACAAAAATGGATATTATTACATGTGGTTCATGATCAGATGTAAGTATGCAATTTAACTGTTCTGTGCAAACATCTAAAAAAGGTACATGTAATGTAGCATCTTTTTCTGTCTAGGGACATTGAGTCTGTGGGGCTCAACAATTCTATTAACTGTGACACAAGGCTTTGACCACAACATCAACCAATTTTGTACCCATATTGTTAAAGATCAACAGTGGGTTAACACTTAATAAACTTCATAACTAATATGTTTATAGCTGGTGATGGTGGAGATATAACACTAAACTGTGAGGAGTCTAAGGTCACAGAAAGTGACATCCTGCCTGAAGTTTGTAATGTGGCTTCAACAGCTTCATCACCGATGACAACAACGACCAAGTCTGTTCCATCAACTCAAGATCCATCAACATCTCAAATTTTGACTTCAGAACAATCAACAAGTCGGGTATCATTTAAGACATTAACTTTTACATTATAAAGTCTTATCATTGCATATCAAATAAACATAACAGAACTCTTTTGAAATAAGATAAACAGAAAATCTATTATGATTCAAACTTTTTTCAACATGAACCAAAAGGTCATTATGTATTCACTAGGTCTAATCAAAATTCATTTAGATGATGAAAGTAACAGCAGAGGCGACCACACAAACAGCAACTTCTACAACACCAATCATAGACACTGCAACAATAAGTAGCAGTTCCACAGTTAAAGATGATATAACTACACTGTCTAATGTGACAGATATATATGAAGACCTCAAAATTGGTGAAACAAATGATAAGAATGAAGAAGCTTTGGATTTAGGTAAACTTATACTTAAGTAGCTTACATATGACAATTCTCCCGATAGATAAAAAGGTCATTCAGTAATTCTAATATTAGATTCCAATTTACCTCAGAGTTAGGGGGGGGGTCAAATATAATATGAAGACGAAAGTACTTTTGCAAGGGGGTGACCTTTTCTCAAATAAAATTACTTTCATGTCTATATGAACATCAATTTTTTGACCCTATCCCTTTTTATTTAAAAGCTTTAATTTTAAGTTTTGATATTTTTATAAAAGTATACATTCTATATGAGGGATGAAAGTTACAGATCATCATTAATTCAATAATATTAGGGTGTTTTGAGATCAGAATTGCCCTTTCAAGCCACTATAAGCTTTCCTCTTAATATATGTTTGAATGTGTTTATGCTCTTTTCAGGCTTGATCATTGGTTGTGTATTAGCTGTGGTTGTGGTTTGTGTTGTTGTGCTGGTAATAGTGATATTCTTGGTTCGCAGACATAAAAGGTAAGTTGAATGAAAAAATAAAATAAAATAAAATAACTAGTATTAAATCAAGAAGCACTTCCTCACTTACTACATTAAACATGAAATGATCAAAAGAACGAAGATGTACTTGAAAGTTGATAATGATTTTCTTATTTCTCAGGCAGAATCTTCAGAACAAAACTGATGATAGCTACATGGAGCTAGATTTGACCCAAAGAAGAAATCAAAACATCAATACGTATGACACGATAGAGGAAGGACATCATAACTATGAAAATGCTACAATTGGGGAAGGACAACATAACTACGAAAATGCAAAAATAAGTGATGGTCATAACTATGAAAATGCTATAATTGGGGGTGGACAACAGAACTATGAAAATGCTACAATTGGGGGTGGACAACAGAACTATGAAAATGCTACAATTGGGGGTGGACATCAAGAGTATGAGAATGCTACAATTGGTGATAGACGTAATAACTATGAAAATGCAATATTAGGAGACAACCCTAATGACTGTGTACATGATATCATTAAGGATGAGGACAGGAATCAAGATTATGTGAATGACATAATTGAAGATGCGGATGTAGAAAACACTTATAAAAATGATGCATTCAGGAACGGACATCAAAACTATGAAATTGTAAAGTAGATAAAGATGAGTCAAAAGAAATATTCTCATCAGATGCTAGCCTGCTATATCTGCAGATGATGGTGATTATGCTTGTATATCAATAAAATGAAATATTGAGCAAGGAGTTCATCTAGAACTGGAAATAACTTGAAGATATGAAGCATTAGTTAAGTTTGATAAAGAACTAATTTCCAGTATTTCAATTAGTTGTTTTGGAAATAAGTTGTTTTATGAAATACATTGGGACTTACTAATGCATCATGATGAGTTAATATCTTGATGTCTTGATCTCAAAATTATATTATTGACTTTTGCATTTACGATTGTTTTCTTATTTGTATCACAACTTACTCTGATGTAATGTTCATCTAATGTAAATAAAACAATGTTTCAAAAATGTTTATCTGCCTTTTTCATTACAGCCAAAAATTCAAGAGAAACTGAAACAGGAGATTTGTTAAATACATACATGTACTTATACTGAAACAAGAAGTGAGAAAATATGAAAAGGAAAACTCAAATGTGAAGTCATTATTAAATCCTTTATTCAAGGTATGGATGATCAATAGACTAAGCAACTATTCAACAAACATTTTTTGTTCACTTTGTTATCAAGTTTTAGCATGGTGCTCATTTCCTTTCGTTGAAAATTTAACCATCAGCCTATTCTCCCACAAAAAAGATATTGAAACTGTATAATGCATAGACTGTAAAGAAGCTTCTCTGCAAATATCATTGTTGTGGGAGTGTGGGCTCACCACTAAAACTTTACTACTGAAGCAATATTTAGTTAAAGTATTAGAACCTTTGAAGCATGCACATGTATACAATACATGTACATCTTGTTTTCAGTCCTGATTGAAGCTGATGGAGTGATAAGTGCCGCATGTAGTGGCCAAGAAATATCAGGAGAATGTGAACCAACCGAACTACTAAAGCTTACAAAATACATCCAGGGATCAAATAACAGTACCACTTGTAATGCCGATGATGACAATGATTGTAGAGATGATGATAAAGATACCATACACTTCTATCAACGGATTCTTAGAAATAATATTTATAGCTTTTCTGATAAATTTCCAGACTTCCCAACTAAATGCAAGAACACGAGGACAAAATACATTTCATTGGAGTATCAGTGTATCCCAGGTAATATGCATTCACATTTATATAGTCATTGGGTGATATTATAATATACAAGTAAATCTTGATATTTGAGGAACAGATAGTAACTAAGTGTTAAATGTATATTCTATTGAATAATTCCAGATAACAGAATCATGAGACTGTGTGAAAGTAAAACTATCACCTCAAATGAAATACATATATTGAATATGGACTATCCCAGTCTTACACTTAATTATAATACAACAACATTAACGATGAAATCTCCTTGCCAATGTGAGGTTGATTCTACATCTTCAAAACATGCTGTTATTAAAGTGGTACGATCAGAGGTTATTGGTAATAAAAATGACATTACAATAACAGGTGAAAATGAACAGTGTATAGTTGACATTGGATATGATCAATCAAATTTAGGACATGAAATATACAATGGTAGCTTACCTATTGACCTAGTATACAATTATGGAAACAAAAATGGATATTATTACATGTGGTTCATGATCAGATGTAAGTATGCAATTTAACTGTTCTGTGCAAACATCTAAAAAAGGTACATGTAATGTAGCATCTTTTTCTGTCTAGGGACATTGAGTCTGTGGGGCTCAACAATTCTATTAACTGTGACACAAGGCTTTGACCACAACATCAACCAATTTTGTACCCATATTGTTAAAGATCAACAGTGGGTTAACACTTAATAAACTTCATAACTAATATGTTTATAGCTGGTGATGGTGGAGATATAACACTAAACTGTGAGGAGTCTAAGGTCACAGAAAGTGACATCCTGCCTGAAGTTTGTAATGTGGCTTCAACAGCTTCATCACCGATGACAACAACGACCAAGTCTGTTCCATCAACTCAAGATCCATCAACATCTCAAATTTTGACTTCAGAACAATCAACAAGTCGGGTATCATTTAAGACATTAACTTTTACATTATAAAGTCTTATCATTGCATATCAAATAAACATAACAGAACTCTTTTGAAATAAGATAAACAGAAAATCTATTATGATTCAAACTTTTTTCAACATGAACCAAAAGGTCATTATGTATTCACTAGGTCTAATCAAAATTCATTTAGATGATGAAAGTAACAGCAGAGGCGACCACACAAACAGCAACTTCTACAACACCAATCATAGACACTGCAACAATAAGTAGCAGTTCCACAGTTAAAGATGATATAACTACACTGTCTAATGTGACAGATATATATGAAGACCTCAAAATTGGTGAAACAAATGATAAGAATGAAGAAGCTTTGGATTTAGGTAAACTTATACTTAAGTAGCTTACATATGACAATTCTCCCGATAGATAAAAAGGTCATTCAGTAATTCTAATATTAGATTCCAATTTACCTCAGAGTTAGGGGGGGGGGTCAAATATAATATGAAGACGAAAGTACTTTTGCAAGGGGGTGACCTTTTCTCAAATAAAATTACTTTCATGTCTATATGAACATCAATTTTTTGACCCTATCCCTTTTTATTTAAAAGCTTTAATTTTAAGTTTTGATATTTTTATAAAAGTATACATTCTATATGAGGGATGAAAGTTACAGATCATCATTAATTCAATAATATTAGGGTGTTTTGAGATCAGAATTGCCCTTTCAAGCCACTATAAGCTTTCCTCTTAATATATGTTTGAATGTGTTTATGCTCTTTTCAGGCTTGATCATTGGTTGTGTATTAGCTGTGGTTGTGGTTTGTGTTGTTGTGCTGGTAATAGTGATATTCTTGGTTCGCAGACATAAAAGGTAAGTTGAATGAAAAAATAAAATAAAATAAAATAACTAGTATTAAATCAAGAAGCACTTCCTCACTTACTACATTAAACATGAAATGATCAAAAGAACGAAGATGTACTTGAAAGTTGATAATGATTTTCTTATTTCTCAGGCAGAATCTTCAGAACAAAACTGATGATAGCTACATGGAGCTAGATTTGACCCAAAGAAGAAATCAAAACATCAATACGTATGACACGATAGAGGAAGGACATCATAACTATGAAAATGCTACAATTGGGGAAGGACAACATAACTACGAAAATGCAAAAATAAGTGATGGTCATAACTATGAAAATGCTATAATTGGGGGTGGACAACAGAACTATGAAAATGCTACAATTGGGGGTGGACAACAGAACTATGAAAATGCTACAATTGGGGGTGGACATCAAGAGTATGAGAATGCTACAATTGGTGATAGACGTAATAACTATGAAAATGCAATATTAGGAGACAACCCTAATGACTGTGTACATGATATCATTAAGGATGAGGACAGGAATCAAGATTATGTGAATGACATAATTGAAGATGCGGATGTAGAAAACACTTATAAAAATGATGCATTCAGGAACGGACATCAAAACTATGAAATTGTAAAGTAGATAAAGATGAGTCAAAAGAAATATTCTCATCAGATGCTAGCCTGCTATATCTGCAGATGATGGTGATTATGCTTGTATATCAATAAAATGAAATATTGAGCAAGGAGTTCATCTAGAACTGGAAATAACTTGAAGATATGAAGCATTAGTTAAGTTTGATAAAGAACTAATTTCCAGTATTTCAATTAGTTGTTTTGGAAATAAGTTGTTTTATGAAATACATTGGGACTTACTAATGCATCATGATGAGTTAATATCTTGATGTCTTGATCTCAAAATTATATTATTGACTTTTGCATTTACGATTGTTTTCTTATTTGTATCACAACTTACTCTGATGTAATGTTCATCTAATGTAAATAAAACAATGTTTCAAAAATGTTTATCTGCCTTTTTCATTACAGCCAAAAATTCAAGAGAAACTGAAACAGGAGATTTGTTAAATACATACATGTACTTATACTGAAACAAGAAGTGAGAAAATATGAAAAGGAAAACTCAAATGTGAAGTCATTATTAAATCCTTTATTCAAGGTATGGATGATCAATAGACTAAGCAACTATTCAACAAACATTTTTTGTTCACTTTGTTATCAAGTTTTAGCATGGTGCTCATTTCCTTTCGTTGAAAATTTAACCATCAGCCTATTCTCCCACAAAAAAGATATTGAAACTGTATAATGCATAGACTGTAAAGAAGCTTCTCTGCAAATATCATTGTTGTGGGAGTGTGGGCTCACCACTAAAACTTAACTTTTGTGATGGAAATAAGGCTGACTTGTTTATGTTTTCAATATGGCTGCTAACCTGGGCATACATGTACACTACATAACTGCAGATTAGGCCATTCAAAATTAATTATATGTTGGCATTCTGATGAAGGGCCTTATATTCAAAAAATACAAAACCTTTATTTATTTAAAGGGTTTTATATATTATTTAATAGTGGAAATGCAATAACACATAGTGGAAAAGCAAATAACACCTCTCGATTCAGATGACCTTGTTAATGAAGACAATACAAAAGCTTATATACATGTAGTTTTTAATCAATCTTGGAACTCATTTCAATACAATATAATTCATGATCACAATTCCCTCTGTCATTTATATGTATTACAAGTACAGAGTAATTTTTTTTTTCTTTCTGAAAACATAGAATTTAGTGACATTAATTATAACAAATTTTGAATGGCCTAAGTGTTTTTCTAAATAGGGAATAAGTAGAAATTATTTTAGGCAATCTTTTGAGTGTCATGCCATTAATACGTGATGCTGCCTTATATTTTATGATATACCATATTGAAATTCAAATATGGGAACTGCAAATTGGCAAATAACTTTAAAACTAAGTCTCCATACAGACATTTAATTTCAAATTCCAATGTATGGAAATGTATTAGAAATGACCATGTCATGGGCATTTAAAATAATAATCACATCCCAACTCTTAAAACATGCTTATATTAGGATACTGTTAGAGTCTCAAAAGGCAACAAGAACATTCATTTTTGAAACAGGAAAATTTAGTCCCCCCAAAAATGCCCATATGGGGATTTATTCTCCAAATTTTCATGTAATTGCCCATGAGAATTTATTAAAAATATTTTTATTTCCATTCACATGTCTTATTAATAATCAAAATCAAAATTAAGCCAATTGCTTTCATTTCTTGTATTAGAAAACGGCAAAATTTTGACAAAAATAGTATCTTTCAAAGTTGACCTTTAAACCACCCTAATGTCAAGGTCAAATGTCTAAATTTTCAGAAATCACATTTTAAGTAATACGTCATACATCCTCTTCAATTTCAATAATATATACTTGTTTTACAGGGGGGCTAAAAGAGAGGTTTACCGCCACCTGTCCTTTCTATGTCAAAAGTCCTTTATTGATTTAGATTTAGATTTCTAAACTCAAATTGATTTCATAACTGTTAAAGTTCAGTTTTTTAATCCATTGACTAATACAATATATGATTTTTATAACAAGCATCCAACAAATCTCAATTCCCCCTTCCACAAAAGGGGGAAATGCACAAATCACTTTTGGTACCCTTTTGCTAGTAAGTTATAGATAAAGTTAAGAGTATCAAATTTCTATAAAAATTCAAAAAGGAATATGCCAACATTAATAAATGAATTCTTAGTATTATTCACATGAAATATAAGATGAAATATAGTTGGATTTACCACAGTGAATGATCCAACCAGGTTTTTGTAAGGCATATTTTACGTCAATACCAATTCAGGTTGTTCTATGTTTTCTATTCTATTTAGAGTCATAAGCAAATGTAAGGTATTGACAAAATTATTTTAAGTGTCTATACCAAAAATGTCATTTCAACCCAGCCCAGCCTATTAAGAACAAGGATGCAGTGTCTCATATTAATACTGAAATAATTCAATTGAAATGAAAATAATAAATCAAACAAAATTATTGTACCCATTTTTATATTTTATACTGAAATGCTGAAGAAGGATTGAAGGACTGTATGTTCCTGTGTGAGTGAAATGTATTCTATACACAATGGTAAAATGCATTAACTTTGCCAAGGTGCATGGATATACTATTTATAAACATTATATTGCTTAAATATACTGACAAACTCATGTATATATTGAAGTGATAAAAAGTATTTACGCAAAACATAGCAGCATGCAAAAACTTATTTAAATGAGATCATGACTCAGAGGAGTTGGATTAAGTTGAATGAACAAACAAAAAGTGTATTTAGGAAATAATTTTCAACATTACTTCCTCATTGAAGCTTTTTTTAAACATTATACCTGCTACTCTAAAACACAACTTGTCACATGATGCGCAAAGATGGGACAAAAATGGAGTGAAACATTTCTTGTGACATTGATCACTGGATGTTTGCTTATTCTGTCAGGTACTATATACACATTAATTTTCTTATATCATTACCAAAATCCATCATCAGTACTTGAGAATAAAGGTTCTAAAAAGTGAAAGTACAGTACATAAATATCCATTTAATTTGGATTGGCATGGCTATTGAAATAAGATGTCAAATATAAATGGCATGTCGAGAAAAAAACAAATATTTTTCAATTATTGATATATTATTCAACTCATGTGTCAATACAGCTGCACATGGAATTGGAACATGGCACATGGAAGAACAAAAATTAATTTACATACGCTAGCACATGCATCTTTCTTTCAGCCCATGTGGTGACTGACAAGGGGATACATGCTGCATGTTCTGGTGCAGAAATAGCAGGAGAATGTGGTCTAAATGAACTACTAAAGCTTACAAAATACATCCAAGGATCAAATAATAGAAACAGTTGTAGTAACCATGATGAGAATGATTGTAGAGATGGTGACAGTGATGCAATATACTTCTATCAACAGTTTCTTAGAAATTATATTTATAGCTTTTCTGATAAAGTTCCAGACTTCCCAACTAAATGCAAAGACATGACGACAAAATACATTTCATTGGACTATGAATGTATACCAGGTAATACATCCTCCCATACAAGTTTGAAAAACAATGTTTGTTCCACATAATAGATAACAAATACATGAATGACAAACTTTAACCAGCATACGTGCTAGGCATTTTCAAATCTGAGTCCCAGGACCCAAGGGCTTTTAAAAATATGGGTCCTCTCCAAAAAATTGGGGTCCCAATTTTAAAGCGTTTTAAATTGTATTTTTGTTGCCAATCAAACATATAAGTCACATGACTTGTCACGTGATATGTTGACCTAGATATTTGAGTGATGATTTACAGGTCAAATTTATTACCGATTCAATCGTTTTTAGGCAGACAAAATTTAAGGAAATGTTTCATGATACATAATGAATTCATTTGTTATCATAATGTGTGATAAACGAATTGGAAAATGAAGAAAATGGCGCTTATTAGTGCAACTGATCGAAAGATCGTTCGCCATTTTGTCCAAGAGGAAGATGATCGGTAGCGAATGAATTGTGGGAATGATTTCTGCAAGATCGACAGTTTAATTGGCTTACAAATTAAGCTTGGATCAATGGAATCATGGGAGGTTATATTGTTTATTCAACACATGCGCGTCATCACTATATTTACAAACACGGAAGTGGAAAAAAAATCAGAATATATCTTTTGTTTTTAGTGCCGTTTACGTTCAGTTTTTCATCGATTATTAAGGTAAGGGTTTCTGAAATTATCCATGACAAGTAAATTTACGTCCTGGGGATGCAATAGAGCTAAAATATCGGGGTCCTGGGCCAAAAATCCGCGTAAATACGCAAGTTTTTGCATTAACGCGAATGCTGCTTTAACCTTTAAATCTTAGTTCAATGGAGAAACAGGAATTTTCCACACTTAATAGAGACTAAGTGACTATCTAGACCCCTCATATCGCGAGCAAGTTCCCGATTACATCACGAGCAATGAGCTCATGTTAGAAGCGGGGCCTTGAGAGATATGAAAAAATATAGTTATAGTTGAAGAATGTCATTGCCCTGCAATAGAAATAGCCATTAATTAATTGTTCCACACACGTGTAGGTAAAGCTTTATACGTTTATCATCTACGTATTTTTACAGTTTTGTAAGTTCATTGAACTTATACTGATCATGAAAACTTTGAAATAATCAACTTGTTTATGTAATGACTAACTTAAAAGGATCATGACTCACTTGTTTATAATACACTAATACTACTAGGACACGGAAGCAAGCATTTAATTGTGCATTTAACTGTGCATAATATATACATGCAGATGACAGTGTATTCACAGTCTCTAGTTGATGGAGCTTTTCTATATCGGGAATAGTTATGTTCCATTAAGTACAATTTAAAATTGATTTTAGTAAATATAATAGTTCGAGATGACCCTTTAAAGTATACGTATAAGATGTACTTTCACTTATGTGCGAAATCTCTCTATTATCATATAAAATTTTTTTATCTATTATATCATTAGCATTATATTTCGCAATACAAATGTATAACATTCAATTATTCCAGATAGCAGAATCCTAAAATTATGTGAAAGCAACAAAACTATTACAGCAAATGAAATACACATCCTGAATATGGACTATCCTAGTTATACAGGCAATTGGAAAGATACAAACAGTAGCAAGATCAGATCTCCATGCCACTGTGAAGTAGATTCAACTTCAACTTCAAAACATGCTATAATTACAGTGGTACGTTCATTTGTTCTTGGAGGCTTCAATAATATTGCAATCAAAGGTCAACATGAACAATGTACAATTAACATTGAAAGTATGGAGTATAATGTAGGGCAGGAAATCCACAATGGTAGCTTACCTATGGGATTAGTTTACAACTATGCAAACAAAGATGGATTGCATTATGTTTGGTTCATGATCAAATGTAAGTACATGTACCTGCATACCATTTTATTAACAAACTACATTTAAATCATTTAATTATCAAAATTAAAAATGTAAAAAGATAAAATACAAGATTCTGTTAATATACCGATATTTAGTAAAATGATTAAAGATTGCCATTTACCTTGGATGGACAAGTGGAAGAGAAGCATTTGTTGTATACCTTAGGTGAATGATCGATCCTTATTACTCGGTTTGATTACATTACTAAGGATTAGAGCAACCTTTTCAGTAAAAATGGTGACCTTATCCAACTGAAATGGAGATATTGTTCCACCATATAACATAACAGAATTTCATGATCCAGTTTAAATCTTCCTTCTAATCTATATGTGACAGAAATGTTTATTTTTTAAAGTTTCAACCTACTAAAAAAACAAGTAAAACCATTGGGGTCGAGTTGACTAAGGGTTGAGATGACTTGGGGTCGAATTGACTATGGGTTGATAGGACTTGAAGTTGAATAGGCTAGGGGTTGACTTAGTATGTCAGAAAATCGAGTAATAAGGATCAATCGTTCAACCAAGGTGTGTACACTTGATGATATACATGAAACAATAGCTCTACTGCTCCAAATAACTTTTTGTTTATTCAATTTTATAGCTGATAATGGTGGTAATATAACATTAAACTGTGGTGAGTCTGAAGATACATTGGATGAAACTGTGCCTGAAGCTTGTAATGTGACCAACAACAAATCAATGACACAATCAACAACAACAACATCCATCAAGACTGCTACATCAACTATAGTTCCAACTACCTCTGTCTTGACTTCAACTATTCCGAAAAGCCAGGTATTCATTAATGAGGTTGATTCATGTGCTGACTGGTTGACAAGATAGAGATGCCAAATCTATATCAAATGATGTGATGTAAAACTGAAGAGTTGCTAGAAAACATCACCTGCACAAAGTAGCAAATCCCAATGAACAAATTCATATTCAATAATCTGTATATGTCACAATATAATATTTACCATCTACTCTATGCTTGATTCTGCACATAATAAAAAAGACATTAGAGATATATCATAATTACAAAAATTTTAGCATTTGGGTGACCATTTAGGAGTATCAGGCCCAGATTATAAAGACAATACAATATTACTATCTAATGTAGCACAATTTAACCATAGTTTGAAGACATCTCCAAATTAGAGCATATTCCTGCTTTAGGCAGCCATTTTGAATTTTCTGAAGCTCGAACCAGAAAAACTAATTCTATCAATTTTCAAATATGAAGAAAAGAGTATTGAAGTTACTTTGTGGACAGACAGAGTGACTGGCAGACATATGGAGGCACTTCATTTGTTGGGATAATAAACAGGGGATAGAAATGCCTGGATGCCAATCTCAATTTTTGATCCAGAGAGAGGGTGGTGTAATTTTACTTGGTAACCTGTGAGCGTTTTATAGTGTTTCCTTATCTAGAAACAGGCTTATCAGATTCCCAGTACATTGGGGAACATCTAATTCTTATAAAATGACAGCTGTCCATCTAGTTTTTCTGTAATGTGGGGTTAAGCACAGAAATCTTTTTTTCAGGACACACGCTAATCATGTTATATTTCTTTTTATTAAATGTTTAATTGACAAGGTTAGCCTCCAATCTGCAAATTTTAGCTTAAAAGTGATAGATAAAAGAAAAAGCCTGTTAATGCCAAATGGCTTGCATCCAGCACATTTTCATTTTGTCTGGTATTTCTTTAAATTTCGTCATTTTTCTATTTCCAATCATTTCAAAGCAAAAATTTGCCGACTGAAAGCTGTATTCTTATTCCATACACAAGAAAATTGCATATCTTGTCAATGAAATGGTAAATAAAAAGAAATCTGACTCAATTTGTGTATTTCCAGGGAAAAAATCAGAGTATTTCCGTGCTTAACCCCACATTACAAAAAATCTAGATGAATGACTGTCATTTTATAAGAATTGTGTATTTCTCAATGTACTGGGAATCTGATGAGCCTGTTTCTAGATAAGGAAACACTGTAAAACAATCACAGGCTACAGAGTAAAATCACACCTACCTCCCTCTGGATCAAAAATGGAGGTCTGCGTCCAGCATCTCAGTTTGTTCCAGACGAAAATACTAGATGCGTTTCTACCCCCTGATCATCTATCATCATATGATCTATATTACTATTGTATGGAACATAAGCATATATTAATCAAAAATAATTGTTAACAAGGGATTAACATGCAAAATGTCATCACCTGCCAATTGTTACATTTGTTACAGAACCCAAACACCAACCGTCAAACGCTGACAACCACAGAAACCAGAATCTCTTCAGAACCAGTAATCTCAACACAAACCAACACTTCTGTAACAACAACAGCAGGTTCCATAGTGACTGATCAAACAACTGTTAAAACAACAACAATGGTCACCTCTGTATCAAATATGACAGGTGCCTCTGCTAGTGATGCAACAACTGAAACTGACAATGTAGATGGTGAAACTAAAGATACAAAAGATCAAAAAACAGACTTAGGTACATGCTTTTGTCTTAATTATTTATGCACATCTATTCAAAATATAATTATAATATCCATGATCTAATAAATCATATGTATCACCATTTGACTCACATATATATAACATAAAATTTAGTTGTACAGAGTAATACTAATTTCTCCCTGTATGATATATAGTATGTACAAATATCATTGCATATAATATTAGGTTGATGTTTCAGGCCTAATTATTGGTTGTGTGTTGGCTGGTATTGTGCTTTGTGTTATTGTGCTGATTCTGGTGATATTCTTGGTCTGCAGACACAAAAAGTTAGTTTAGTAAAAATTCAATTGTTAACAATCTATTACAGATATTTCTAAGGAAAAGAATTCTCGAAGTAAAAATTTAAACTTTCCTTGCTTGTTTTTTTCTCAATTACATGCAGAGTAACATTGAGTTTCTATATTTCTTCAAGGCAAGACAACCAGGAAAACAATTCTGATGATGAAAACACTGAAATGGATTCTAAACAACACAATAATCTAACTACAACCCCAACCCATCTGTACAATGAACATTCATCTTGTGACTCAAATATTGATATAGTTGAAGAGGGACATGACAACTATGCATATGTTGATACTGATATGTCTAAGACGAGACTCCCACCTGATGGTATGTCTGTTGATGATGATGATGATGGCTATGCTGGTGTTGGAAAACAACAAGTCAAACAACATGTTACATTGGATGTTGACTCTAACTATCAAACAGTTAGCATGGATGGTGATGCTATACAGACAGAAGAAGAAATAACAAACAAGAATGAGTCAATGACAGACTTTGAGAAGATGTATTCTAAGCCTGATAAAATAAAAGGAACAGCAGAGTCAGATATTAATGAACTGACCACTAACAAGAAGGTGTTCGACATGGACTCTTCAGGTACTGAGTCTGGAAAATCCCCCAATACTCCAATCCCAATTAAACCCAAAAGAACAAAATCAAAACCACCTACAATTCATAATAAGCCACCAATATCCCTGAACAAACCATCTTTTACAAACAATCAGACAACCCCAAACAATAACATTTATACAAGTGTACAAAAGCCAAAGGTTGCTCAAAAACCATTGATTGAAACCCAAGAAAAGAATACAACAGTTGAAAGCCCTGTGATACCTGGTAAAGCATGGGGCGATCAAAATTACAGTGATATTACACTGAATGATGACCTATTAGGCAAAGAAAATATGGGTGATGGTATTAAACAAGATGATATAGAAGAAAATCCTGACAATGATATTGATGTAAATAAATATGAACCTTTATCTGGTTATGAGATGGTGGAACCAAGGGAAATGAAATCAAAGCCATCTACAGTTGCTTTTAAACCACCAATTTCCCCAAACAAACCACTGAATGTTAATACTGTAATAAATCCCAACAATAATGTATATGCAAGTGTCCAAAAGCCACAGGTTTCCCCTAAGCCAGTTATGATAACACAGGAAAGCGAGACAACATATGCAACACCTGGGATACCTGATAAAGCATGGGGCGACCAAAACTACAGTGATATTACATTAAAAGATCCTCCCGAGGGCACTGATATTATGGGTGCCAGTATCAAACACGATGAGGAAGACAGTGATAAAAACAAACCTCTAAATGGCTGCCAAATGATTGACAATGATATCTATAATGCAAAAGATGACGAAAACATATACAATGACATTGACCAGGATGATGAATATAAAAACAATAGAGCTGGTAAAATCTTAAATGACAATAACAATGCTGATTTAATTGAAAATGACATATATAGTCAAGTTAATGAAGATACTGAGGACATTGAACTTGCTGAAAATGATATTTATAACAGTATTGAAAAGGATATTAATGATGTTGATTTGGTTGTAAATGATATTTATACTTCAGACTCTGTAGTTTAAAATAAATACACACCAATGTAACTAAAACTATAACAAAACATAATAATAACTTGTACAGTAAAAAAGAATATTGTTTAGTTGTTCTCTTTAAAGGATTTCTCCGATGATTATGTGTCTTGTAGTGTCTGTCAAATGCAACTGCCAGCTTGATTACAATTTGATGCCCAACTCATTTAAATATGAATAGTAACTGCTATGCATTCTGTTGCTGCAAGCTATCCAGTCAAAATTGATTGTTGAATGCAAGTGTTAACTCAAAAATGTTTCTACTAATGTCAGTGAAATGACAGCATTTGTCCCTATTATAAGCCCTAACTATTTGATCTTTAAAGATAGACTGTGATGACAAAGTAAACTATGCAAATTATCCCCAAGCTTCTAAAAGACCATTGGTAAGGTGGGATCAATCTTGAAAACTATGAGAGTTTAGGATGTAGAAAAAATTTCCCCAAGATACCTGGAGCTTTAGTAGAAGGGTTAGGTCAAATGTTTTTATGTCTTCTATTCATATTATTTCCTTTTTTTCATTCAAAACACTGTTTTATCATATATGGTACAAAGGAGGATGGAAAGTATCGCAACAGATTTCGGGCAGTCATATGGTAGAGTTTGGCTATTTTCTGAGGATTTAAACTGGTGCATATGTAAGGCCAATGCATAACCTCCAGGAAAAGCACTCATAGAGAATATAAAATAACTTCGACTTTCAGACAGGAAAGATGCAAACAACACACCCACATGTTTTTCTGAAATGTTGTCCTGATTTTCAACCCCTTCCACTCCTGCTTTTTCAATTTTTGTTGCATCAATATGTTGTGTTTTGACACACAGTTAACTCCTTTAAAGGAATAGGTAACTGCCAGCTTGATTACAATTTGATGCCCAACTCATTTAAATATGAATAGTAACTGCTATGCATTCTGTTGCTGCAAGCTATCCAGTCAAAATTGATTGTTGAATGCAAGTGTTAACTCACAAATGTTTCTACTAATGTCAGTGAAATGACAGCATTTGTCCCTATTATAAGCCCTAACTATTTGATCTTTAAAGATAGACTGTGATGACAAAGTAAACTATGCAAATTATCCCCAAGCTTCTAAAAGACCATTGGTAAGGTGGGATCAATCTTGAAAACTATGAGAGTTTAGGATGTAGAAAAAATTTCCCCAAGATACTTGGAGCTTTAGTAGAAGGGTTAGGTCAAATGTTTTTATGTCTTCTATTCATATTATTTCCTTTTTTTCATTCAAAACACTGTTTTATCATATATGGTACAAAGGAGGATGGAAAGTATCGCAACAGATTTCGGGCAGTCATATGGTAGAGTTTGGCTCTAATGAAAGTCATTCATAAATAGAAATATGTTCCTCCAAGATGTGGCAGCAAAATGAAATATCCAAGGAGACGATTTAATTGCCCTATATATCGTTCAAAGTCGTAATTTCGTCGTTTAAATGGTAGTTTCATTCCCTATTAAGATGAAACAGAGCTGTAATTATTTGCACAAAAAATTGGGATTTATGTTACACTGCATGAAAATAAAGTTTCCTTGGGTGTGAACAGAAATGTTCTGGACTCGGTTCCTGGTGATCAGATGGTCCCAGTAGAACCGTGGTGCCAAATACCGCGGTTAACTGAACAGAACCGTGATCGACCATTCTCTCATGTTTACCCTTATCAAAAATGGGCTATTTCTAAAATATTCTCATCTTCAAAATTTTTTGATAAGTTAGAAATTTCCTTTTTTGGTGACCATTCTTTTTTTTTGCTCAAATCTCAAAATATTCCAGTGCATCTTTCTGACTGCCTGATGGATGAACTGGTAGATGGATGGATGAAAGAAAGGTTTTAATATATCCCTTCATTCAAAAAACAATAAACAAAATATATAAACATATTATGCTTAAAATTTGGTGACAGAGTCATACATTGATTGGATAAAAAATATGTTTAAATAGCAACAAAGAATAGCATGCTAAAACATATTTAAGTGAGATTGTGATTGAATAGTTGGATGTACAAATAAAAAGTGTGCTTGGGAAATAATTTTAGCAATACTTCCTTGTTGAAGTTTTCACATAAGATACCTGCAACTCTAAAACATATCTAAATGGTGTTATGTTTACTATGTGATTCAAGATGGGATCTAAATGCTGCAAAATGCTATATGTCATAGTGATTATTGGAAGTTTTCTTTTTCTCTCAGGTACAGTTTATATATTTATTTTTGTAATGACCAAACATTCTGAAATTCATCATGTCGTATTAGAAGAAATACTTTGATAATGTTTCTTCAGCTAATCTTCAACTTTATAAAGAGTTTGGATATTTCATCAAGACTAGCATATATTTTCATTATCTACAAAGAAACCCCCTGGATGAACATTATTTAGCTAAAATTCCTCTTGAAACGTGGTGGATCTTAAAAAAGCTATAAGCGGACTCCCTTTATAGATGCTTTGAACTGAATTTACGTTTCTCAATGCTGAAATTGATAGTTTATACATACATTTTAAGAAAATAGGTATGTCGGAGAAGGTGTTAAGCTAAATATTGACCTGATAGCTCAGAAAAAATAAAAATTTTCAAATTTTCTCTCTACTGTCCGTGTTGCCCCTTTAATTTGTATAACTAACTGATACAAAGGGGTAACATGAAAAATGAACCACTAAAACTGATGAATATTCAAGTTTAAGGAAACTTTCTTAATACCAGTACCATGTTATCTGACCCAAATGAGCCACTTGGTGGTGAAACTGGTAATATAACTACCTACACGCATCTGAGTTATGAATCACTTTGAGTGAATTTCTAGTCTATAAGAATAAGTGTAAGTAAGAGTAATTAGTACTTTTGTCATCCCTGGTTGGTGTTTTAGGGCATGGTCAATCCTTTCCCACGCAGCTGAAAAACTGTTACACATATTGAATTAGCCTCAATTTTTAGTTTCCGGATTTTTGACAATAGAAATGATGAAATATTAATCCATTAATGAAATCAAATAAATGAAAACTTGAATGGTTGAGCTTACATGATTCAAATTGGTGTTAAATGCTAAAATACAAAATTTTCTCCATGTATATAAGTATATACATGGAATGACTAAATAAGAAAATAAGACTAATGAGTACTACTAGCTACAGTATTTGTATAATATACTACGCATACAGTAAATGGAACAATTAAGGATTTAAGCTCAGGGGCATTGTATGCTAAATCATTCCAATGAAGGTGTTGCTTCAAAATCTTTGCATGACTGCGCAGCTCACAATGCATTAAGTCTTGGGCTTAAATTCTTTTCACACATTGCAAAATATTGTCACAAAATCACATAAAAGATACAAAATCACCAAAAGAACACAGTTTCAATGAAACAAGTCAAGTTGACAAAGCATCAATTTCAATCTGGAGAGATAAGTTGTCAACATGACAACTGTTTAACAGGTGACCTTGGATGCAGTGATTGGTGATCTAACGCGCTGCAGTTATATGAAATACTTTGTTTTGATTGGCTGGAATCGGACACACCTTGCCTAGCTATGTATGAATATGCTGAAGAGTCATACAATATATAACTATATTATAAAGAACAACATTTACAAAAGTTTGTTTGAATGTCAACATGACCAAGGTGTTTGAATAAACATTTATAAAGAGAATTTATAAATATATTTTCAACACATATTCAAACCTGAGGATTTCACATATTTTTCCTTGTACCCTAAAACAAGTTAACAATGATTTGATAATTCAAAATGGGACAAAAAGGCAGCAAGGAAGTACTTTTCATATTTTTGATTGGATGTTTTGTCATTTACTCAGGTAATGGATACTAGTAAACATTTAACTTCCCTATTAGTGACAAAAAGTTCTCATAGGTGTTTGGTATTGATAAAATTAATGACAATACATATCAAAAGGATTTCTTTATCAGAATAATTGGTCAACAGGACTAATGAGAAAATACAGAATTAGCTTTAATAGAGGGAAGGAGGACTGATCATGGAGATGGGGTGGGGGTGTAAACTAATGCTAACAGAAAATGTCAATTCATACTGAAGAAAATTGAAATAACTGTCACACTTTGTTAACCAATATTGTACAAAATATGACGTTAAAATACAAAAAAACAAAATTGCCTTCCCAGTCTACTTTTTTTTCTACTGTAGTCTACTGAGTTCTATTAAAAGATTAACTTTCTTTCAGCCTATGTAGCTACTGATGGTGTTATACCTGCTGCATGTTCTGGTGCAAAAATAGCAGGAGAATGTGGACCAACTGAACTACTAAAGCTTACAAGTTACATCCAAGGGTCAAATAACAGTACCACTTGTAATGCCAATGATGAGAATGATTGTAGAGACAAGGAGTGTGAAACAAGAAAATTCTATGCAGGCTTCCTCAGCCAAAATATGAGTACCTTTTCTGGAAAAGTTCCAGACTTCGATACTATATGTAAACTGAGAAGCAAATACATTTCATTGAAGTATCACTGTATACCAGGTAATATTCAGTCTCATTATACTATTAAGGGGTGTATACACTGGCAGGAGAAATACTTGAAATGGGGGTCGAAAAGGCCAAAATGGTTGAAATGAAAGAGAATTGATTGAAATGCTTGAAACGACAAAACAGGCGAAAGCAGCGAAACAGTAATTTTATTTTTCAAGATGTATTGATTGAAATGATTGAAACGGTTGAAAAGCCCCAGCGAAATGCTTGAAAAGAAAAACGTGCATGTTCGTTTTTCTTTTCAATCGTTTCGCCCGTCGTATGCTTGAAATGCTTGAAACAGCGAAAGAGGCACAAACAGCGAAACTTTAATTTCAAAGGCAAATCGATTGAAACGTTTGAAATGCTCAAAATGATGTAAGCATTGATACGTAGGAAATGATGCAAGCATTGAAACCACTTAATTGATTGAAACGATTGAAACAATTGAAATGCTATTTACAGTGTATACAGGGGTTTACTCTAGTTTTAACATCAGTCACTAGGGCAGAGCATTTGTACTGAAAGGAGCGTTTTCAGTACAAATATGTACTGAAAAATGTACTGAATTTTTAAGTATATTTTTCAGTATAAATATGTACTGAAAAATATACTTAAAATTTCAGTGCAAATTTCAGTATAAATATGTACTGAAAAATGTACTGAAATTTTAAGTACATTTTTCAGTATATATTTATACTGAAAAATATACTGAATTTTAAGTGTGATTTTAAGTGCAAATATGTACTTAAAAATATACTGAAATTTAAGTGTGATTTTAAGTGCAAATATGTACTGAAAAATATACTGAAATTTAAGGGCATATTTAAGTGTAAATTTATACTGAAAAATATACTTAGATTTTGAATTACGACATCCTCCTGACTTTGACATCTATACCATGGATTTTGCTATACTCGAACAAATGAGGTTCTATGTTCATGTTATATATTTTAATTTTGATATCAATTAAAGCAGATATGAAATGGTGTTTTTTAACCTTAAGGAATCAATATAATTTTTTGATAAATGTATTTGGACATGTTTTCTCATCAGTAGTGCGAAAACTATTTCACTCTAACGATCGTTATACAGGGTGACAAAAAAAAACTGGAACCCACTTAAGTCTTGATAACTTCGTCAATATTGCATATTGAGCTTAGTTATTGGGTACATGTATAGTCAACTGAATGTATGACAAGATGATAAAGTTTTAGCATTATAGCTCAATTAGTCTCCAAATGAGGCACGATTAGATAATGTGCTCCAAATGTGCACCACAACGTTGGATGCAGAGCTGGATTCTTCTTGCAAAATTGTCCATGACCCGACTGCATTCATATCTGTCTATCTCTCTAATTAGTCTTCCAATGTTGAGTTTGAGGTCATCAATGGTCAGTGGACTATCTGTATACACATTATCCTTGAGATACCTCCACAGATAAAAATTTGGGGGTTCAAATCAGGGGAGTGGAGGGGGGGGGCAGATGTGGCGGGTATGGTGACTGATTAATTGATCACCAAAGTGAGCCTGAAGCCATCGAATGGACTCATTTGAGGTGTGGGGTGTGGCACCATCTTGTTGGAACCATTGCTGGTCCCTTCTCAAGTCACGTCGTCTACCCAGCGCTCTCCAAAACTTTTGAACGTTAGGAATGTAACGTTCTGAGTTGACTGTTGAGTTGTCTTGAGTTCTGACAGACCTCTCTCTCCCCGAATAGGTTGGTTTACCATCACTTTTCTTCTTTGTTGGTTTTACAGTTCCTTCTGAATCAAACTTCTGTACAAGCCTAAAGATCTGTGACTTGCAAGGGGCTCTTCTTGCCCTGTGATCTCTCATATAGGCAGTTTGTCTTTTTGTCTCGATATACTTTCTCACAATATAAGTATTTTCTTCTGTCGTCCATGGCATGATTTATATCTAAGCTACAGTACTCATTATTATGTCATTTTGTCATGCATTCAGTCTAGTTTCTACCCTGAAGAAATGAAGAATGTAGGTATAATACTTTCTGAGAAATTTTATGATTTATGGGTTCCAGTTTTTTTTGTCACCCTGTAGCTGCTTAATAAGCAATATTCGAATTGGTTGTGACGTTATTGGCCCCCACGTGATCTCTCACTGGTCCCCACGTGGCCCATAACGTCATAATGCCAAAATGTTTTGTTTTGGTTTACACAACAATCCTATGGTTGCCGTGACGTTGTGATTACTAAGGAACCAATAAACCAAAGCTATATTTTGTATATGACGTTACTTATCACGTGGGGGCCAATTTGATTGATCAGTTAGTTTTATTTCGTTATTTATGACCGTTAGCAGTTATCTAACATTTATTTTACAATGACTATCGCAAGAACTCTACGTTGGGCTTACAATGGAGAAAACCGCATTTTTGTAGCTGCAAGTTGAGAAAAGCTATTTCAGTTGTCCTTTAATTAATTTGCTCAAGCAATATGAGTGAAAATCTCATGAAAAACTTATTTTTAAGACTGAGAAAATGTGTACCTTTAATGTTTTTGAATTTTAGAACTTAATAAGGTAGAATGTATCTAGAAACCTCAAAAGGTATGGAATACACATGTTATGTACGATCAGTTTTAAATAAAGGGTTTATCCCTCAGGAAATATGGGTATCCAAAACCTCCCAGTACATAACCCTTATATATGCATTATATTTGATAGGTTTGATCGGGCTAAAAAGAAATTTATTGATGGAGAAAATGCAATCAGATATTATTACAGGATGCGTCTTAAATAATTAAATCCAAAAACATAACTTATTAAAAGGAAAACACTTGATTACAGTAAGCCTAGCCTCTCCAGTTTGATTAGAGTCTGCTTTAAAGGATGTGTCTAAAGAAACTTTATTAATCCATTAACAAAATTTTGACAAGGCAAAACAAACCTGATTACAGAGAGACTCTTTTAAGTTTGGTTAAAGTCTGCTGTAAAGGAAGCATCCAAAATAATTTCATAATGTAATAGCAAGCGAACCCCCCCCCCCCCCCCGGCCAAAAATTCTTTTAAAATCATGCACTTTTTCACCATTCTAAGAACTTTTTGAGTGATTTAGGCCGTTTTTAATAAATCCATAAACATAACTTCTAAAAAGGAAATCACTTGATTACAGTAAACCTAGCCTCTCCAGTTTGATTAGAGTCTGCTTTAAAGGATGTGTCTAAAGAAACTTTATTAATCCACTAACAAAACAAAATATTTTGACAAGGCAAAACAAACCTGATTACAGAGAGACTCTTTTAAGTTTGGTTAAAGGCTGCTGTAAAGGAAGCATCCAAAATAATTTCATAATGTAATAGCATTCCTGTTGGGGGGGGGGCTTCAGGGGTCCAAGCGAACCCCCCCCCCCCCCGGCCAAAAATTCTTTTAAAATCATGCACTTTTTCACCATTCTAAGAACTTTTTGAGTGATTTAGAGTTTATAAAGTATGCCTTACATTTACGTTTTCTCTTATTTCCATTATTGGGCACAAATATTTCTCATTGCATATATTTATACTTAAAATTATCCTTAAATTTCAGTATATTTTTCAGTACATTTTTATACTGACTTTTGCACTTAAATTTCAGTACATTTTTCAGTATATATTTGTACTTAAATTTATCCTGAAAATTTAAGGATAAATTTTCAGTGCATTTTTCAGTATATTTTTGCACTTAAATTTGTCCTTAAAATTCAGTACATTTTTCAGTACATATTAATACTTAAATTTGTACTTAAAATTCAGTATATTTTTCAGTACATGAATTTGTACTGAAAAATATACTGAAAAAAATTCAGTGCATTTTTCAGTACAAAAATATACTTAAATTTGTACTGAAACAAAACTAGTACATTTTTCAGTACATATTTGTACTGAAAACGCTCCTTTCAGTACAAATGCTCTGCCCTAGTGAGTGGTCTAAAAATGAATAACATACAAGATACATATTATATGATCTTAAGATGTAGTAAAATAGTGCCTAATTCATATAATAATATATGAAATTTACATGTAAAATGTCATCCACCTGCCATTTGCAGCTGATGCTGAACACCACCCACCAAACTTTGTCTCCAAAACAGTTGGAGACCATTAACAATATGTCACCATGTAATTATATATCATATTATAATGACTGAGTTGAATGATTCCAGGTAATCAAATCATGAGACTATGTGAAAGCAAGACTATCACAGCTAATGAAATACACATCTTGAATATGGACTATCCCATTTTTACAAAGAATTGGGATAGAGAAACCAAAAGAATCAGATCTCCATGCCATTGTAGTGTAAATTCATCAACTTCAAAACATGCTATTATAACACGAATAAGATCAGGAGATGCAGGAAATAAAATTAATGTTGTCATCCAAGGCAAAAATGAACAAGATAAACTTGCTGTTGGTGAGCATGAGTATAATATAGGATATGAGGCATACAATGGTAGCTTACCTATGCATTTAGTGTACAATTATACAAACAAGATTGGAATTCATTATATGTGGTTCATGATAAATTGTAAGTATGCTTTTTTACAGTTTTTTCAAATCAAAATCAAAAAATGTGAGCAAATGGTCAGTAGTGTGAAAATGTGATATTTTACAAAAAAGCTGATTCCTTCAAAACGAGGCAAAAGTAAGAGTGGGGACAAATGCCGAAATGGTAGAAATTACCTGCACTCCCATATAAAATGGATATGAGATCAGTTCAGACGATATGCAGTTTTGATTTTAATAAATATTGTTGATGGATGGGCAGAGAGGGATGAGTGGGAGATTATATAGGCTCAACATGTATATAACTTGTGATCAGTAAAAAACTGTATAATGTAATACAAATAATAAATTGCAAATCATATCAATCAATTTCATAGCTGATGATGATGGGGATATAACACTACAATGTGAAGAGTCTGGGGATAAATTGGATGATACTCTGCCTGAAGTGTGTAATGTTTCTTCTAACCTAATGACAACAACTCTTTCGCAACAAATAAACACTACCATAACAACAAAAGGAGGTTCCACTCTTGGAGAAAAAAACCCTGTAAGTACAACTATAGTGCATAATACGACAGCTGTATATGATGATCTTGATGATGCCACAACTGGAAATGAGAATCTCAGCCATGATGATCAGCCAAGTAAGGATACAGAACAATTGAATCTAGGTACAATGTAGATACTTTATCTTTATGTATACTATAACAATGTTGTGTTCAAAATGTCGAAATCCATTAAAATTATATTTACATGTATAGTTGTATGCTCTCAATATGTAAAAAAATATATGGAAAATGAAAAACTTACAAATCATCAAAAACAAAAACATCATACAACTGAATTCTTGCTTCAAGGCCTGGTGGTTATCAGGAACCATACTACATGTATATACTGTAAGTATTTTCAGTATGTGTTAACAAACATACATGTATAACGGATTCAAACATGACCGTGCTCTATTCGAATTTCTCAACCAATCAGAATGCAGCATAGCCAATATAGAACGTTCTCTAATTCTCCATAGATGCACGACCATGCTCTATTCAATCTGCAATTTGCATTGTTTTGAGTGACGTCACATCTCAGCTGCACATCTGGGGCTCTGTCCGGGGATAGCTGTTCTTTTTTACTCCCTCCGTAACTACTGTAACTATTTAACTATGGCTGACTTCAAGTTTGCAGTCGGTGAACTAGTCTTATTTAAGGGGAGTAAAATAGAACAGCCCAAACAAATTCTAAAAATTTTCCGGCCGACTTCAGAATCTTGACAGCATGCGTATTCTTCCTTCATGCCCGTTCCACAGACACGGCTTTTACTAATTTTTATGTTTGAATCGGAATAAATAATGTTCGGTTCGTGCTTTGTACAACATTCTGTCCAACTCGTGCTGAATTTCACCATATTGAATGGCCTATCATTATTTATTCCTTAATTATTGCAGGTCTAATTATTGGTTGTGTGGTGGCTGTGGTTGTGGTATGTCTCATAGTGTTGGTACTTGTGATATGCTTGGTCAGCAGACACAAAAAGTAAGTTCAATGAAAAATTACTCAAGCAAAAAATAGCAAAAGTGACTCTGGCAATTTGAAAATTCTAATATCTGAGATTTAAAATTCTAGATCTAATTCTAAGACAAGACCATTTAAGTCCAAATCTTGTTCCCTGAACAAGGAAAAGTTTTGACATTCCTTAGTGTAATGATCATAAACATATAAGGTTATAATAAACTTCTATATTTCTCCAAGGCAAGGTACTAAGAGAAACAATTCTGATGATGAAAAGATTGAACTGGATTCTAAACAACATAGTCATACCACTAACAAAACTCATCTACATAATGAATATTCTGCTCATGATGCAACTGATATAAATACTATAGAGGAGGGACATGACAACTACGCCTATGTTGATGCAGATGTACAAAGTATAAGACTCCCACCAGATGGTATATCTGTTGATGATGATGGCTATGCTGGTATTCAGATTCAACCAACTAAATTATGTGCTGTTTATAAAACATCAAATGTGACAACAGATGTTGATACTGTAAAAAAGAAGGAAGAAATAATCAGCGAAGATGGAGTATCTAATAAACTAATATCCCCAATTAGAGAACTTGGTTTAAGCATTGATAGAATCCCTCACCATGATATGTACACAAATGTACAGATTGTTCAAAAACCATCAATTGATACCCCCCAAGATAAGGAAACAACAGTTGAAAGTCCTGTGATACCTAGTAAAGCTTGGGGCGATCAAAACTACAGTGATATTACCCTTCATAGTAACTCCCCTGCAACTAATGAACAACCGATATCCCCTACCAAACCACCAAGTCTAAGCAATGAAATTAACCCCCACAATAACATAAACACAAGTGTGCAAAAGCCTCATGTTTCTCCAAAACCATTTACTGAAAAAAAAGAAAAGGAAAAAACAGATGAATACCCTGCGATACCTGACAAAGCATGGGGAGATCAAAACTACAGTGACATTCCACTTAACAATAACATATATGATACAAGTGTGCAGAAGCCTCAGGTTTCCCCAAAACCATGTATTGAAAAACAAGCCAAGGTAGCCACCGATGATTGCCCTGTGGTACCTGGTAAAGTTTGGGGTGATCAAAACTACAGTGATATTACTCTAAATAATGACTCTCCTGCAAGCGAGGACAATGTGAATGGAAGTAGCAATCAACACAATGAGGTGAATGATGATACACAAAATGGTTGCGAGATGATAGACAATGATATCTATGTTACTAAAGAAAATATGGATTATAATGGACAAGGTCATCTGTCTGAGAATAACACTGGCATAACACAAAGCTCCTATGATGACATTGAAATGATTGAAAATGATATTTATAACAGTGTTTTGTAACAAGTGTATAGATAAAGCTCTGGTAAAAAAATATTTTTTTTAAATGGAGAGTCAGTAGAACAAAATAATGTAAGTAAATTTGATATATTCTGTACAAAGACCTTGCTGTCACGCTTAACTATATGACTTGATTTGCTGAGCAAGGACATGTCAATCAAAACAACATCACTGATACAGTGTCTGTAGCAGAGTTTCCAAAGCAACAAAGGGAACAGATAGCTAAGCTACAGAGCAGCTTTACAACACAAGTTAATTTGGGAAGATGTTCACGAGAAATTAAACTAACTAGGTCTAAACTGTATATATTTGTACAAATATTGAACATGTATTGAACTTGTAATGCACAATTTCAACAAACATTAAAATGACACTTTACGAATAAGTGATATTGTCTGAAATGGGAACGAGGCCTGAGCTTTTGGTGAAGGGAATTGTTTCAGGCAGAAATAAACCACACAGAATACTCACATGGCATTTTGCTGCAAGGTACCGACAAGCAGGGTTCTTTTTGTCTAATTGTTGCGTGCATAGTAGGTTGGATGCTCTGTGGTACTGCTCTGTTAAATATAATGTCTGTGCATACCAGTATATGTCTTCGGTGTTGTCTAGAAAGAACAGATGAAACGAATAATCCATATGACCAGTGTATGCTTATTTTTGCTTATCTATTGCTGTATTATATTGCTAGTACATGCCTGCCCTTCTTATACAAACCAGAGAGCAATATTCTTCAAAATACTAGCTGAAAATATTCCTATTAGCAACTTAATGCCTGAATTCTTAATAAAGGAGATCATGAACAGCAAAATTAACATATTAAAATATTTTGCCAAATTCCTCATAGATTGTAACAATGTAAGAGCATTCATATCCAGTCTTTAACATTGTATAAGTTTGTAAATATTTGTAAACTTAGTTTGTATCATAGAATGTACATTTTGTAGCAATTATGTTTGTCAAGCCTATTTGAAAAGGTGTTTTCAGTCTGAATGTATATATCAACACTACATAAGAATCATGATGTAATGATTTTTGTATTTTTCCATTTTGCTTATGACTGTATATTTGTATATAAAACACATGTAAATAACTGTATAGTGACCCATGTGTCGGAGAGACTGACATACATAAGAGTCAATAAAAGAATATATATATGTAATCAGAGTAGCAATAGTTTTACTTTGGGTATAACATGTTGTATATCTCTGGTTGTATCTATCAATCAATGTACTAAAAGGTTTCTAAAATACCTAATGCAGGCCATCAAACTGGTCAGCAAGTATACATACAAGGCAACTTATCTATGAACCTATATCTCAAAGAGTTTTTATCATTTAAAAGTAAATCAATGCAATTGGTTGACTGCAACAATGTGTGTAAATGTCAATGTTAAAAAGTTTTAGACAGAGGAGGGAATTTGCTGGTGAACTTTTATGGAATTCAACACGAAAATCAACGTTTTCAATATAATAAATTTTGTTGGGAAAAGGGGAAGGTGCTATTAACAATAAAAGATTTACTTCGTTTTTACACAATGACATTTTGAACACAATAAATAAGATAATAGACACTTACTATTAGATAATGTCACCACCTTGTCTGCCCAGAATAATGCTGTATCATACTGATGCTAAAAAAATAAAATGAATAAAACAATTCAAAACAAGTTCTTGAAGGTAATTGAGTTTTTCAAGGGATAATATTGTTTGCTTATTATCAAACCTCAGAGTACTTAACTGAATTATGAATTTTACTTTAATTCTGTCTCAACCATCAATGTTGTCACAATGAGCTAAATGCTAAGTTTCATGTCTCCAACTCTCCCAAGCGGTAGAAAAATAATTCCTGTTCACTCTAAGTAGCACCATAAATGAATCCAAAGCTTCATACCTGCAAATGATAAATTCCTTCCAAATCGAAAAATGTTTTCATGAATCCCAATGATTGTGATCCAAGGAGGATTGACTCCCAGAATGCAACATCAGTTAACCTTATTTACTGGTGACAGGTTTCAAAATGGCGGAACGGCATTTTGAAAGCTGGCACGTGCCATGTTGCATTCTGGGAACCAATCATCCTTGCGGCATAATCAGGCTCCAACATCACCTCAACATGTGAAGAGTCGGCATTAACAAGTGAATATCACTTCAAATTTTTAAGTTCCTATTTGTCATTATGGACACAAATTCCATTATATTTGTACGTTCCGGGACGGAGAAAATAGAGCATTCAATTCACTGAGGTAAGAATTCAAGACATATGTAACAGAATGTCTTTTTACAAAATGTTATTCGTTATTTATGATCACCACTTTACATGTAGATTTAAGGAATATTAGTGGTTTTACCACTGACCATGGGCTTTCAACAGACTCTTGAAGGCCCATGATCTGACACAATGGCAAATTACAGACGGCCTTGGAATGAGAGAAAGCTGTTATTGAGAAGGACAGACCACATGTACATATAATCATGCTGTTATCATTAGTTTGCACTGTTGTATTATAGGAAATATTTTTTTCTCTAAAATTTTAATTTCAAAAATATTTTCTCCTTGGTGGGCGATAATATGTGATTTTAACACTTCGAACACCAATTTCGATTTACTGAAATAAAGGATACATATAATGTTCTACCAAATTTACGACTGTTCATTAATCTAAATATCAGTACTTACCTGATCAATAGAGCTCCTCACGATTTCCCTTAATTTAGGTAAATACGAACATTTTTCAATTAGAATTTCACCCGCCATAGTTTTATTTGACCAATCAAATTTTACGTGTTAGATTCTTTTGGGAGTGGTGGTTTGTGTTGAACGATCTGATTGGTTGAGAATTCAATCCTCATAGAAACACAAACAATCTCAGTACATTTTCTGAATTCGCTCAAAAACAGACAGATTTCTCCAAAAGTAAGTGCTCCGATTTCGTATTTGTATGTATTATGTAAAGATAGCCTTGTTGTGACACTGAGGTCTATATTTCAATAGTGAAATAATAGTAGAAAGACCCCAAATCCACTCTGACAAATATGTATAAAAACTATTTCATTTGCAGTTGAAAGGATTCTTAATTTACGTTTGCCTACATGTGTTAAGAATTGAATAGACACCACTATCACTGGTGATCCACTCGATTATGCTGGAACCGTTTCGGTAACAAAATGTCGGAACATCGAGGGATTTTTCCTTTTTTCCTTATTTCACACGTTGTAGGCAGAATTCCCACGACATTTTTAATACAAAACGTGTATCAGTGTCATATGTACAAGGTACATATTTGCAAACAAATAGTTCAGAAGACAACAGAATCATCAATTTAATTCCTCACTTAAGTTACAGAAACGGTATTTCAAAAAACAGTTAAGATCTGCACCCAAACCGTTTCTGTAACGCATAATCCAGCGGATCACCAGTGACTATAGTCCAGGTCTCTAATTTCTCAGTTGACATTGCATGTCATGGTATTGCTGGGTCCAGTAAACGTATTATCACAGGCTTTCAATAGAATTGAATACCCATGAACCACATAAAGAAATTCAATATTGAAATATGTCCCCTACAATGCAGCAATTCCAGCAAGTACAACTTGACTGTATTTTGTGAAACTAACTACCGAAATTTCCTAGGATCAATTCCCAAAGATGGGATATTGAATTTGGCAAAACTTAATTTAAATTTGTCTTCCTTGCACAGGCCCGTAGCCAGGATTTGCCAAGGGGGGGGGGGTTCATTTTTCAAAAATTTCCAGGGGGGGGTTCACATTTGACAATTTTGTTTTATATGTCTCTGGTTTTACTTTCTACTTTCCCCTCATTTCCTTCTTATAAAAAAACTGTCCAGAAAATTTTCAAAAATGTAAGATACATGTAGTATAACAAGGGCATCTCCCGAGGGCTGTATTGTAACAAGCAAGATACAAAAATGGAAGGGAGTGTGCTGAGTGTAATGCCTCGTGCAGGAATTGAACCCATGACCTTCCAGTTCAGAGTTTGTGCCATCAAGATTTAAGTCAACAAAACTGAGCTGTAGTAGCAATGAGGGTCATTACAATATCAAACTTTTTTTATCTGAACACAGACTAATACAGGCTGAGATAATACTAGATGCATATATATTTTGTTTATTTTCTTCATTTTTAATTGCTTACAGTGAGTGAAATAGAACCAGACCCGTATTCTGAGACAGCCAATGAACTTGTTGATGAAGTATTAAACAGCGCAATCATTGATGTACAAGAACAAATCAAACTCAACAGCAATAATAGTGCAGATACAACAATAAAGAAGGAGAATCATGAATATAAAGACATTCAATGGTTAACTTTACAGGAATTTACAATAGAAAAGGGCGATGAAAAAATAAATGAGTTTTTAAAGGTAATAAATGTACTTCATTCTAAATATTTGAATTTTGCTCAGCTCAAAGCCCACAATTGGAGCTCAGTTGAGTCATCAAATTGTTTATGTGGTTCCCCTGAAACTTTTCCCCACTTCTTTTTCAAATGCCCTCTGAAAGAACAACAAAGAAATAAATTAATAACAGATACCTTAGGGATATATGGGGACTTATTAACTCATTTCAGAACTCAGCAAGACAAAATTCACTTTTTTCTTTTTGGGGATCCATCATTAACCCAATTAGAAATGGATAATCTATTTTCACTGGTTGCGAATTATCTCATTGAAAACACAACCAGAATCTAAATATTTTCCTGCCTATGACCTGTTTCCATTTTTCAACATACTACCCCCCCCCCAGGATATCAGCAGCCCTCCTATCTTTTGTTTCATTGCAAGGCATTCTACCATTTACAGGTGACATCCAGGTTAAGATGAATATTGTACTTTATTGTTTATTTATATAAGGGGACATCTAATGCTTACAGCGCTTTGCCCCTTGTAATTGTATCTAAATGACTTGTGCTTACAATAAATATGAAAGATGATAAAAAAATTTGAACTTTGTAATCTTTCTTTTTTAAAGTTGTGATGTTTAATCTCACAAGAATAATCAAAGTAGTCAGCTTTCAGAGATCAGAAAAAATCTCCAATAAGTTATTTTTAGTTTTGGATGCAAAATGTTCAATTTCGTCATGGGCTTTCAAATAATAATTGAAAGCCCATGATTTTGTCATACATCATACAACTTTTGTATCTTCACACCTCAGTGATTGCACTTCTACAAAGTTCTTCATCCAAATTTGTTTTTTACAGACTTGGGAATTTGAGGGGTCCTGGTTACATTGTTGTGACTACCTAGGTGCAGACAAGCATGAGTTTGATACACGGTACAGATATAGAGTGCGCTGGAGTATACCAACACGTCGTAAACCTATCCCTCGTGCCACTGCCTGTGTGTACTTCACATTCCAAGTATCAAAGATTAAACCTAAGTCTCACCCTGTAGAAGTGTTTTACGTTTTTGAAACCAACAGATTAGTTCACAGGTATGTAGATACAGAAAATGAGAAAAATGCGGGGATCATGTTTTCAAATGCTAAGTACAAGAACAGATTAAAATTAGCAAGGAATAAAACAGGCATGGTGTCAAAGTTGTAAATGATTGTAGTATTATGTATACTGTAAAAAGTTAGTATGTACTGTAAGAATTGAGGCATACTTTTATGTTAGTTTGAAGACTTTAGATGCATGCATTATTTTCTGAGAGAAAATTCTGTTGTTCATGGTATATAGTGGTCACAGATATAAAAGTTGGGAGTAATTTCATATTACATGTCAGATTATAATATTTTTAATGCCTTTGTGATTTCTGAAATCTTGGTAGATTGTATTTGAGTTTCAGATTTGTTTAATGCCAACAATATTTTTGTATGACCTAATAATTCAATAAAAAAAATCTGTTTCAGGCCAGGCCAATCCAGATTCAGAGAAACATGGCTAAAGGACATTATAGAGAGCAAAGTCCTCATGATGCGTGCAGTAGACTTCTGATATAGTATATAATTATAATTAATACTGGCTGTACATAATTAGGACAATCTGACATTGGATTGAACACTCCCTTCAAAACTGAAACACAGTTTATTCAATCAAAAAAGTAATTTGTCAGGGATAGTAACATACTTAATGATGGTCTTACATTATTGCATTAAGGAACCCAGTGCCTGTTTCTGAAAACAAAACTGAAAACAATGAGAATAACCTATACTTAAGTTTACATCATCATGAGACTTAAAATATTGGAACTTGATAATTCGCAACAGAAGAAAAAAGGGGATAAAATGTAGATATGTTGTATTGTAAATATATACTACTGGATTAGTATACATATACCAAATGTAAATAAATGAATAAACAACAATGCATTTTAATTTTTTACATTTTCTGTATTCATTCACAAAATTATAACATGTCTTTCCTTCGCTGACTCAACCAAGGAAAGATTCTACAATAAAACAGCCTGTTTAATAAGTTATAAAATCCTTCAGCTAGGCATGTACCACATTACATATTCACGGAATGTACCTACATAGCATGACAAAACATGAAAAATAAAAAATATGTATTTTCTGAGATGATAATAATAATATGCCTTGTGCTTCAATAACTAGAATAACTTTTCCACCTTTTTTCTATATTCAACATAAGTGGCAGTTTTACATTGGAATATACTAGAAAATGATGAATGTTCAAAGTGAAAATGAAGATAGCTTTACAGTACATATTATAGTGCTTCTGGTGACAAAAAAATTTAATCCAATTTAACCAAATAAATGATTTATATGAAAAAATACTGTAAGAATATGCAGTTCCTATTCAGAAGTATAGCCTATTCAAAAATAGCATTTAGGATGTATTCTAAGACATTATATTTTTATGTCTGTATATGTTTCCAATGTATCTATAGACATACATCATATATAAAGCATGTGTCTTCAAACACATGACCTTTTGTCACGCAAACATGTGTAATACAATTTTATTAACAGACATTTAATTTACTGTTTACATGTAAGTATTTCCATACAAGCTATATTGCAACATGTCTCTTGATATTTACAATTTTATTTTTAACAATTTATGGAATAAATTAACATGGCCCATTCAATCAATTTATGTATAATCAGTGTTGAAAAAGGTCTAACTGTATATAGTAAAATGAACTCAAGAGATTGTACATACAGTAATACGATGGATAGTAACTCTATTATGAGTGAGAATGATAAACTTATCTTGCATCAACCCCCCTCCCCACCCCCTTGGTATAATCTTTTGCAACCAGTAGGATAGAAATATCATAATGAAAATGTCTGCATAGTGGCTATTTACAAATAACAATGTAACAAAGCATTATCATGCAAAATGTCACCACCTGTCATTTGTTACAGACACCAACCACCGAGCACAATCCACAAAAAAAGTTGGAGACTTACAATATGTCACCGATTGTGGCGATATATAAAGTTGATTTCATCTGACATCATGTCTTTGGATCATCATCACTCCCTCCTTGTGGAGATTAGTTACAAACATGGGATGACTTAAATAGATTTAATTACTCAGGAGGCGAATTAGCAAGGAATTAAGTATGCCTACAAAACATAAATTCATCTAGAAATTCAAAGCAATCAAGCAGATTATTAAGAAAATGACATAGGTATGATGCAGAGCAAAATTGAACATGGAAAAACGTAGGACTAAGTTAGCTTGGTGAAAGACGAGTTAACATTCTTCCAGAACTTTCTGCAAGTTCCAGATCATGTGACCCCCTTCCCTGCCTATTTCTATTAACAATATACATATGATTAGTTAAAGGGCTAATAGCTGTAATACTCAACCTAAATATCCCTACAGCATTTTTAAATCATAGGTACAAAATGAAATAGAACTTAAACAATCAATAAACTTTAAAACTTCTTTTTTGTAATTATGAAGGATGAAAAGAATCACTTTTGTATTGAAGAAAAGTATTTGATTGCCTTTTGAAATTGAAAAAATGAAAAAAGATGGGTGTAGTTTATTCAGCATGGAACTTGGCTAGGCATTCTTTCAAACTTCAATATTTGTACAAAAGTCTATTGATGAAACAAGTAACATGTGTTAGAATAAACATTTTGGGTCTATTTAGTATTAGAATTACAGATACTACCCTTTTCAGTTAGATCTTAATGGGGAGGATAGGAAATCAAAAATATACATTTACCGTGAAAGAATTTACTACATGTCTAAGTATACCAGTGTGTCAGACTATAGCACATGTAGCACTTGTTTCATTTGTATGACATAAAAACAGAAAAATAATCCGATCTCTTTCATAAAAGTGACAGAAAAGTGAGGGAGACTTGATGCATACTAAACAATTTCTATTTGCTGACATCTTCTAGCTCATTAGATAGACATTCGATAGAATGAGTTGTTATCTAGCTTACACATTATTACCGTAATTTAAAGGATTTTGGTCCAACTTTCACTTCACTAGAAAAATTGAGAAACTGCATGAAAAAGCAGTGATATGACACTGGAAGGCTAAGTGATGGAATGTATTAATGGTTTGGCACAATGTGACATCTACACAGCATGACACCTAAAAAGTGTAACATCTACAAAGTGTGACATCTACCTACATGACGCAATATAACTATTTGTTATCACTTTTGGCTGGTGACATAAAAAAGTTCACGTCTTAAAATGTCAAATCTAAAACAATTACCTACTAATGACATGTAAATCTAGTTGTAGACCAATTCAGTAAATCATGCCACAAATTAGTGGGTATGATGTCAATCTTAAGCTTAACTTTTTGTTAATTTTCGACTTTCAAAATTGTTCACCAACATTACTTTCTGGAATGTATGATGTCACAAATCTAGTTGCTTTCATTCATCAAAGTAGGTCAGGACTCACTGGAAAGGTCTATTATGTTGAGTAAATATAATTTGATACAAAAAGCAGAAGGTTAATTCTGGATAAGAGACAAGATGAGTTAATATGTTTTACAATGTGAAGTTTGAGTAATTTGAAGTATTATGCAATATATCACAGAGACCATCTAACTTTCATCTAACACCCTAACCCCTCTCTTTCCCTCCCCCAACCAATACTTGACTTAGATTCTCACTAATGTACTCTCTTTCCCTCCCCCAACCAATACCTGACTTAAATTCTCACTAATGTACTCTCTTTCCCTCCCCCAACCAATACCTGACTTAAATTCTCACTAATGTACTCCAATAATTTGTCTTATATATTAACCCGCGGTCCAATAACAGAAAATTCATAGAGTTAAGAAATCCTATTGTTACTATGGATATAATGACATCATACATGTAGTATGAGAACAAGGGACTTAGGAATACTGATTTTTTATAAAGTTTCTGTTAATGACCCATGGATATTTTACATGCAGGTCTAAACAGTGACATCTGCCCAATTTTCATTATCAAAATTCAATTTAAGAAAATTATACTGTTTTGATATTCTGTAAGCCTGTCATAATCAAATCAATCCTGGATTAAAAATATAATTAATGAATGAAACAGTACTCCTTTTATGCCAGGATTTGCCAAGATAGTAATTTTACTAATATTCTTTGTATTTGCGGTATCTGCGTTTACATTAACAACAACTGGAATAAACGAATATTTTGAAAGTCTAACCCCAGAATTTTGCGAGAAATGAGTCTGTTTGAAAGAAATATATTTCAACAATATCAGATGAAAAATGGAGTAATGCTATCATGTATAATACATACATACATTACATACTGTACATGTAGTTTCTCAAATCTGTGAACTATATACATGTACATGCTTTAGACCTGAACAAAACTGGCAAGCCTTTGAGACAATAATTTACAAGTCATATTCACACTGTACAATTATACTAATATGACACAAGGTATTTTTCACACAGCTGACACCTATTACACAGATGACATCTATTGCACAGGTGACAACTATTACACAGATGACATTTTTTAACACAAGTGGCATCTATTATACAGATGACATCTATTACACAGGTGACATCTATTATAAAGATGACATCTATTAACATTGAGCTATTAATAACAAATTACTAACAGTATTGAGACATCTCTACAAATACTGGTCCAACCGAGGATATTTTATTTGTCCTCATGGAAAGATAACTTCCTTATCCCTAAGTGAGGATAAAAGTCCACTTCCTAGCTAGAGGATGTTATTCTCATATGAGAAAAGTATTCAAATGAGGAGATACATTCCTAAAGGGGAAAAAGTCTCATGACAAGAGAACACATATCCCCTATTGAGGTAAAATTACCTTTCAGTGGACAAAAACACTCAAGTAGGAAAAATATCCCAGATTGAGAACTACCCTGTTTTGCGCCTCCACAGCATTCAAGTTATTGTACCTATTTAATACACTATTGTACTTATTCAATACACTATTGGCCATTGCTGTACCTATTCAAAATACTATTGGCCAATTTTGTACATATTCAAAACACTATAGGCCATTGTTGCATCTGTTCAATACACTATTATGGTCATTATTGTGCAAACCATGATGGTGAATATTGGCAAGTACATTGGAATTAATATAGAAAATATAAAATTAGGCAGAGAAGATGGATTCCTGATGATATCTAGCTGGATATGAATGATTCACTCGACATTTTCCAGCATTTCAGAACAACCTATAATCCATTTCTTTATGAGGGGCACTTGTACAAGAATACTGCAATAACATTTAAAATCAATAACATTGTGCGTAGATATCTATGTAGTGGACTCTTCCTTTGCATCAGTAGTTCAATACATAGTGGTGAGATGAGCTATTGTAGATGAGTAATCATTGTTGATGAGCTGCAGCTATTGATAAGCTGTATCTACATTCTTCATAAGCTACACCTATTTTTGATGAGATACAGCTATTGTTGATGAGGTACAAGTATTTTTGATGAGCTACAGCTATTCTTGTTTAGCTGCAGCCATTTTGCTCCTGTTGATGAGCTGCATCTATAATTTTGATGAGCTACAGGTATTGTTGATGAGCTACAAGTAATTTTGATGAGCTACAGGTATTGTTGCTTAGATGCAGCTATTTTGCTTTTGTTGATGAGCTCCATCTATAATTTTGATGAGCTACAGCTATCTGTTGATGAGCTACAAATTAAGGTACAGCTAAATCTGATTTATCTACAGCTGTATGGCAGTGACTTAGCCATTGCTACAACATGGCCCCAATGACAAAATTCTAATCGCAATCACACAAACTCACGTCACCGCTTTTTTCGCCTGTTCTGTGTTCCTTTAGATGTATTCGAGCGTCTTTCTAAGTGGGGTTTCACCCTTGGTGACTTAGAATGCACTTTCAGGAATATCTCCTGGAATTTGTTTTCAGTGAATAATGTTTCTAACATGCCCTCAAGAAGGACATATACTAGTCTTTTGTTAAGGGTACGTTGCTGGAATAGATGGAAGATACGGATGACACCCCTACGTGTTGTTTCTGTCCCAATTAAATGTCTCAAGTCATCTGAAACAAAAAACAAGTGAGGTTACAGAAAAATCTACACGTTATTTACTGATTTCCATGTTTTGATTGGCTTTTTGATCTGATAGGCTTCATATGATGAAAAAAGTGTTCATGATAGTTTATGTGTGGACTTTCCCTTGATCAAATCCAAATGGGCATCAGCATTTGCTACTACTATTACAGTATTGTCAAGATGGCCATGTTTTGAGAGTAAAAACAGAGAGTAAAAGAGTGGAATCAGCCAATAATAAAGTAAACAGGCATGTAGTTAACACTCTAGAATGTACAAAAATGACAGAATATTTGACACTTTATTCAATTTTTACGGAGAAATGGAGTGAAATAAGCATGAGCAGACGGACATTTTACCTGATAAGCTGGCCAAGAGTTTGGCTCTACAAACCACCCGTGTTCTCCTTTGTGTGTTCTGGTCCCTCTCTGTTCTTGGTTCAGCCAGGCAACCACAGGGCCAGAAGGAGTCCCTGAAATATGGGATGGCAACATTTAAATTATCCTTGGTTTGATCTTTTGTTGGGCTATTGGGGTTTATTTGTTGTATTGCCAGTAGTGCCTTTTGCTGCTGATTTGTTTTCTTACTGTTTTTCTATGATATCTTATGGATATTTTCCCTTTTTAAATATTGTGTTTTCATGATTATTTAGTATTTACACAGGTTGTGCCACATTTAAATTCATAAAATTGAAATAATAAACAATATTGGAGTTAAAGCCCAGGTAGAACCAAAATAAAAGAATTTGTATGGTTTCATGTACCTAAGTGAAAAAATGAAAATCAGAACTCAAAAGTATCTCAAATCCACCTTTTATAATCGTGTATGTACATCAATATTTGTACATGTATATGGATTAATCTAGGTATTTTGATCATTGTACTAAAGGTGGTAAATAGATAGTATAACAACATAAGCATTTGCCCATGGTTCTACTCACCTAAATGTTTTCAGATTTTCAGCACACTGTTCAGCAGAGGTGACCCATTCTACATGGTCCACAATTTTTCTGAAACACACAAAGAACAAGCATTGTAAGACCCATTAAGCATACCCAAGTACATGATGTTAACTAAGCCAAAAACTCTTGTATATATCACATATTAGATAATAAATATGGTTCTGATAGGATAGGAGGGTTTAGGAGGACATTTCTTACTTGTTAATCATGTCTCCAAATGCAGCTTTGATGATTTGCCTCAGGATGGCTATGATTCTCTTCTGAAGCCATTGGTTCATGTTCTTCAAGTCAAACACTTCGTCCATCAACAATAACATGATCCTCATTGGGATGTTGTCTTCTTCCTGTAAAGTGTAATTGCACAAGAAAACATAAGTCAATCATTATACAGTAAAAGCTATCAAAACTGACACCAATGGGACCAGCCAAAAATCTTCAGATTAGCAGATGTTCTCATTTTGAGGTTTTAACAATATTGAAGTCTGTCCCAGACTACAAATGGGGCCAGATAAGCACTGAAATTAAGAGGTCTTCGGATTAGGCGTTCAGTTATACAGGTGTATACTTCTTGTGTAATGTTTAAAAAATAATGAAAACATGAATTTCTTGGACTAAAGATCCAACCATGGCTGATTTTCTGTATGACTTCTGCACTTTTCTATGTGGTTTGGTTTACAGCTAGCTAGCAGCTGGTAAGGTGAACAATTTTAATTGTCTACTTACCTCAACATCCAAGACTGCACCTACTTTACCACTGTCCAGCATCTCAGCCTTAATGTTCTGGAAAACAACAAAATAATAATATTGCACAGATATAAATGAAAACACACATTTATAGGAACAAACACAAACACATACAGTATACAGAATGACAATTCATTCTTTTCTCAACCATGAAAAAAAGGTCACCACCTGGCTGGTTACTTATAACACAAACAGTAAAAAGAATGAATGACAACATAGTTCAAGAGATAAATTTATTTTTTTGATTCTTTTTTCATTCATTTTTATACATTCTTTCATTAAAAAAATTCTAAAAATTTGAAATTGCTGAATCAAATCAATAATAAAATCAAAAATAAAGGCTAATCAGTTTTCTAATCCCTCGGGATATATTCTGAAAATGCAAGATAAATACCTGAAATATGTACTGTTGTCAACTTACACCCAATTACTCCAGGACATACAATATACTTATACTTACATTTTTAATATTGAAAACTTTAGATATCCCATCCACCATATTTCCTGGGATACCCTTGATTCCCCCAGATACCTTTGCTACACCATCTACCAGATTATCAGGCACAGACTTGACAGCATTGCCAACTGTCTTTACAGATGTCTTCAGCGGGTTCACAAATGTGTCCATCTGAAACAAAAATTAAATAAAAACATTGAATTCTGTCTCAGTTTTACGTATTCATTGGTACAAAGTGTTTTTAGGATTGATCTAATGACTATTTGGAAACTAAAGAAGAATGATCTATTCTGAGCTAAAGTTGATCTAAAGAAAGAAAGAAATCACTCAGTTAATATTTCATATTCATACTTCTGATAAATATCTATGAAGACATAATTCTGTAAAAGAGAAAAGAATCAGTCCCTAAAGCCAACAAAAAGCAAGACTTTTACCTGAACAAGAAAGTGCTAGTTATGTATCAAGAGATTTTGACAAAATCATACCTGCAGCATATAACTTCCAATGTACTAAACACAGTGAAATAAGCAATACCAAGAACTGCACTAAATATAAAGAAATAGAGAATGTATGCATAAGGGTTATGTACTGGTAGGTTTTGGATACAAGGTTTATCCCAATGGAAATATGTGTATCTCCCTAGGGACCAGAGGGACTCGAGGTATAAATTTTGTATCCGAAACCGACCATATATAACAGATGTATTCCATACCTACTGAGGTTCTAGATATGTTATACCTCATAAAGTTTCTAAATTCAAAAACATATTTTAATGTTTTCTTAGTTTTAAAAGGTAGTTTTTAAATTTGTGAAATTTTCAAACTCATATTTTGAAATATAATTTCTATTTTGTGAATTGAGTAAAATGTAAATTGAATTCGCTTTTCAGGAGTGGGACTGGGATGGATACAGCGTGTATCCATCCTGGTCCCGGACCTTGACGAACACTCTCTAGATACACTATTTAGTCCCGCTCTTTAAGTACCTAGAACCTCAGTAGGTATGGAATACATGTATGTAAAGGCACTTGTTGAGAATATGCATCAGACTGAATTGTTTAGTGCAATATTTAATAATTGTGATAGTTATGATATACTCCTTGAAAAGGTTTGGACAAATATGAATTTGGATTGAATGACTTTCTACCAGTGCCATATCTTACAAGTACAACCAGCCTAAAACCTGTACAATGAAGCAAGTGTCAACACAAATAAAATTCAGATATATTCAAATGGGATTCAGATTAAAGTACAAGTAAAATTATGGTTAAAACAACCAGATAAAATCATCTAGTGCTATCGAAATCTCTGCTATGTGTGTCTTTTCTAAAATCATCAGTGGTACCAGATATACAGTATGCACCTTATAGGCATATCTTAGAGTTTCTGATCTCACATTTGAGCATATATGAATTATTGTATTGACACTGCAATAACCAACTATTCCAAACATTAACATTAACAACAATTAGTGACCTCCATGACATCTTTTATTTTATCCAGTCATAAGTGGAGTTGTCTGAGGTTATTGCAACAAAACCTGATAGCATATTCAGTATATTCCACTATATTGGACATACCTTTTGTAGCAACTATTTATATTTTCCAAATAAGTTATACACAATTCGGAGGTTTATGTAAGACCCCACACAGGTATGGTCGGCAATTTGACACACAGTATTTTGTAGGGACTTTTGAAATGTATATCCCTGAAAGTTTGATTATAAATATTTGACTAGGTATTATTTCTCCCAGGGTGGGGGTATGGACTATCTAGATTGTTCCCTCAGAAGGAAATTTGACAGTCCAATTTTTATATTGTCAAAATGCCTAATCCTTCCGACGTGGAGATCTCATGTAAACCTTTGAATGGTGCAAAAACCAGTCAGAATTTCATCAAAGTATTATTGATCACAAATGGGCAATCACAGTTTGTAAATGGTGCCCCTCGGATGAAAATCTATGGAAGAAAAGCTATCAGGTAAGTTGTTAACATTGTGCTTGATATAAGTCTACATGTGATCAACACTTCTACCAACAAAAGCTTTGGTGGTCCAGATTTTTCAATACTCATTATTACAAATTACCGGCAGATCCAGGTGGATCTTATATTTCATTTTGTTAACAGGTCTCATTTTTGATACAGGCTTTTTCAGAAAATTAGGACATGCCTTTTTGAAAAGTAAGTAAATTTCCAAAGGGCCTAACTTTGCTTCACAACTTATTTTTATAAACATTTTTTGGGGTCCCCTTTGTCCACTTACAGGCCCTCCCCTGCAGATTTTTTTTTATATTTCTGGTTGATTGTTTGCTCAGAACTATGTGTTGAGTTATTCTTTGAGCAAATATCAAATTTCTATATATTAAGACCTTTTTTTCCTGTAGAGTGAATTTTGAACAAAGTGAGAGTCAAAAATCTTTTTTCTCAAATCACTTTACCCTAAAATATTTTTCATGAAAACTGCAATGTGCATATTTGATGTGTAGATGCTCAATTTTGGGTAATTTCTTTCTTGAAATCAAGATTGGGACATCAAGATCATAAAACATTTTAACGTAGATGCAAATATCCATCCTTGATATTTTCACCAGACATATATATGTATTCCCTCTAATATGAAAATGAAGTGTAACTGTTTCTAGCATTTCCACACAATTCAAAATATAAACTAAATGTACATGTCTGTTAATTTTATTCTTTGCAGATTCCATTGTATTACCCTTTATTTTAAATTTGTAAACATGGCGATCTACATATTTTTTCACATTGATTAGACTGCTTGCAATCTGGGCCCACCACTGCAACTAGACACTGATCTACTTGGGGACAGACTATCACTATGGTCATGCTTATTTCATAATATTTCTCTTGAATTTGTCCATCTGCTCATGCCTATTTCATACAATTTCTCTAAAAAATTTGAATAAACAAAACAGTTTTCTTGTATTTCTATACAATTTAGAATGTTAACTTCATGCTTGTTTACTTTATTCCTTGCTAATTCCACTCTTTTTTGCTTTATTTTATGTTTTAAAACATGACCATAGTGATGAAATCATGGGCTGTCAGTTACCGATATGTGAAGAGGGCTTGGGATATGTTCAACTTTGTCAGCAACCATGTCCAGAATGAGGCTCTGAAATACATTTTCACATATTTTCCCTTTACTAATTTCATCTACCATTGTTTAACATTCATTTGCATCATTTTTCTACGTTCATATTACATATGTTTGAGCAGTATCCTGTATTCAATATGCAACATTCCTAATTTTGGAATAGAGCAAAACGTGTGTAAGTGGAACACCATTGGTACCTCTAAAAAGAGTTCCACTTGGGAGGTGTGCCACCTTTAGAGGTTCATTTATCATCAAGTCACTTGGTCTACCGACTCTGAGAAGTGTTCTCCTTACAGAGGTGTTCCACTTGTAGAGGTGTTCCACTTTACAGGTTTCACTGTATATAAGGTGATATTTCCATACAAATTGGGACTTTTGACCATGGTAACACGAGCATATTCATTCAGAAGCCAGTTACCACCTGGCCGCCTGGTTTTTCATCCTCATTGTTGAATTCTAAAACATGAACCATTGTTTTTATCTCATGGGCAGCGAATGTGCAAAAATATAAAAGCATCATAATTAGGAATTACATATAAAATATCACTTAACTGTCACCAATAAGTAGAATTAATCACATTTGCATCAGAAATAGGGATTAAACAGTGAATAAGGAATCTAAAAACAGCATAACAAAAGCTAAATGTTGTTTAGATGATAGAAATAAACCGAACCCTAAAAAGATGATTATAACAAATCATGCATAGCATTATAATTGTCTTTACAATTTAAAATGAATCATCCTTTGATTGGGCTACCTTGTGTCATACTCCAGTTGAGCAAAATGATTATTTACTGGCCCCCATGGTCAGCCATGTTTTAAAAACACATGCTTTCTATCACATGAGAAATTCAATTTGATGAGATATTTTGTAATCAGATTACTAAGAAGTTTGACAAATTTCATGTTGAATATGATAGCATATTGGAATTTTAAAAATTTCCTTCTGACCTCCTTTTGCCAAATATGGTTATACAAACCGTTAAATAATGCAGCTTAAGTAATATAAGGCTTCAAATAACTATATGTTTAACAACTATCTCAAGTGTGTACATGTTGTTAACCAAATAATTATGTCGCCTCAGCCTTGTGGAGCATTAAAACATGGTGCTGAGTTAGCATAAAGCCTAAATAACCATTTGTTTAACAAAGCACACACATTATCAAGAGCTGTTAACCAAATTATTATTCATCTCGGCTCTGTTGACCATCATCATTTTTGACATGCTTACCATAAAATCTTCCATGTTACCGAGCATCCAATCATTTGTCTTTAAAAATCAACAAACCAAATAAAACACAACCAAAGAGCACAAAATATATTTCACTGATAGAATTCAGTGATAAAAAGAGCAAAAACTATTCTATATTAGAAACAAGGCATAAACATGCAAAATGTCACCACCTTTCATTTGTTATAGACACCGATCACCAAACACCAACTGCTGAATGCCAAACACCAACCACAGAACACCATCCATAAAAAGTTGGAGATTATATGTCACCACTTGAGATGGTGACATAATAAATACATGTATTCATAATAAGGTAAGGTAACTTTGCTGAGGCAATCCCTCACGTTTGGGATTAATTCAAAATTGCTTTCAAAAATTCTGAATAAACAAATGCATGATCGCATCAAAATATCAATAATTGCATAAGCACAAAATTCATTTTGATTTCAGGAAATATCTTATTTAGATTGCTATTTTGGAAACCATGATATCAACTTTTTGATTGCGACAGTCTTACATCAATATGCCATACTACCCCTTCTCATTTACAAAGACTTGGTGAAAGACAAATGGAGACAAGATGGGGACAAGTTGGGGGACATGGTCCTGATGTAAGAAGACATTTCTAAATTGATTTACAACAGCTTCTCACAATGTGTACTGTCCTTTCACAATCTTTGATATTTTGAAGGATCCATTATTTCCTAAAACACTGGCCAAAAGCCTCAACTTCCTTATTATTCAATTTGATATTAACTTCGAAATAATCACTGTGTAATACAAAACTGTGGCAGGATCTTACACAATGGTCTTCTATGGAAATCCTGGGGAGTGAGTGAACAATGCAGAAGTGATTGAGCACTTATTTGAACGAATAATACTGTTCTGTTTAAAAGTGTTCCAAATGTATTAAGGAGTGCAGAGTAGAATGCATTCTGAATATGAGTATAAAGCCATCAGTATGTCGGTGTAACAACTCCTCAACCAAATTTTGCATTCTATTCTGCCTACCTAAATATCCAATTACAAGAGGAGGCTTTTGGCTCATGTCTATAAAGAAAACTCATACTTGCATCTAATAAATTAAAGCTAAATAAAACAATGAATGTTAATAAATCATCAAGATAAAGAGGTAAGCACCTTTCTTGCCATCTCGCTTTTGCCTTTTTCCCATGGCCCAGGTTGTAAGAATGGGTAGAGCAATTCTTGTAAACCAGGGTAATTGGCCTGCACCCCAGGGTCTTGAAGGGTCTGAAAAGTTCAAAATTTACATAATATTCCAGTTAAAAATCTAGGAAAAATGTTGTACATGTACTTCAAGCATTCTATGAAAATTATAAAATGACTTGAATGCTTCATAGAAATACATAAAACTATGTATCCTTGAAAAAAATGTTTTGTTGCTGGTAATGCTTTTAAGGGCAAGAATGTCAAAGTGGCATCAGCATTAAGTAAAGGTGTTGCACTCAATAGAAATATATGAAAATTGACAGGTACGTAGAAATAGTGTGAAGTATAGGAGTCTTTACTTACTTGTAAATAATTATCTAATGCTATTCGCCTTTTCTCTAAAAAGTCCTTATTCATATTGTTGAAGGCTTTCTTACTTGGGAGACTCAATGTGCCCAATGCCTCATACTAAAATACAACATAAAAATAAAAATACATGATGTGAACATAAAGATAAAATCTATCTTAATCAAGTGAACTGTCTGATGTGACTGGATATGCACTCAAACTGATAGAATCTATAATATTCACAATTAAACACAGGGTTAAAAATATTCCTCAGAAGAATTTCTTTTTTGATACATAAACTATTCAAAATTAAAGTTTATTTAAAAGCAATTAATTCAAGGCCCCTAAATAATGCCATTAATGAACTGGCAATGCAGGGTTAACATAATGAAAATGCTCACTTTTTCTTTAATGGTCATATGAAGGTCGTGAAAATCGCTGTATCTTCTATATACATCGACCACATCCTCAAGACCATCTCTGTGTGTTTTGGTGACTGTTATAGCATAGACTGCATAAGCTCTACCCTGCTCCTTTACAATACCTGTAACACATCGCATGTTCATCTTTGAATAAATACATTCATTATCTGGGGCCCTTTTTGGAAATATTTTTCCCCCTTTGATAAATAAATTCACTACCGGGGAGTTTTTGGTTATAATATTTTCATGTTTTAATTGAAACACTCATAAGCAGAGACCTTCCAAGTATTAATATTTTATACTTAATACAGTCATTACCAGGTGCCTATTATGGCAATAATACTTTCACATTTTAATTAATACACTCATTGAACAAGACATTGAAAAAAAGGGAATACCAAAAGGGCATTGTGATAATAATTCACATAGATACATGATGTTAGTCAGGAAATACATAAGCACTTATCAGATTCTATTATAATTTAGTACATTATTTTTCTATATCTGACAAAGAATGTTAATATTGGATGCTAATGCTGACCCAGTGAATAAACCCATTCACTAAAGCTTCTGGAACCTACAACAGACATGCCCATAGCGAGGAGATTAGGGGTCAGAAGGCTTTCTAAACATGATATCTCTCTAATAAACGCACAGTACACCTCCCAAATTTCCCTGTAGAAGATTCTCAAATCACATATTGCTGAGGTACTTGTGCACCATGTTTTAGGACTACTCTCGGAGGGTAGTTTAGAGAGACATCTGATGTTTTAATAAGAATGGGATTTTTGGGACACAAATGAGCAAATCAGATCCCATTTTGTCTCAAAACCATGCGATAATAGATGTTTGCCATTAAAAGAACCAAGCTAGTTACTTTTCAACTAAAAGAATAAGAGATGTTTTTACTACCCAAATGCATGTTAAGTTATAGAACTGGATAGAAATCTAACATTTTTTACATTTTTACCCTTACACTAATTATCTGACATTTGCTAGAACTCCAACATCCTCCTACATAGAAAATGTTGGAATTCTAACATTTTTTTATTCAATTGCTTAAATGTCAGGGCCTAGGGCAATGCACATATTAAAAGCATCATATTTATATTGTAATAACACCAATTTCCGATTACAGAAAAACATATTAGGCAACATAAATAGGGGGTGAAAGAGTTAATTTATTGGAGGCCATTAACATTTGAAAAATCAATGAGAGAAATAGATAGGACTCAGCATTGCCATTCTCACTCATGGTCTCCTTTACCCTTTTAAAGAATTTGATTTTGCATCTTCATCTAGACTCTGAATAAGCAAATCTTTTGATCTAGCACCTACTCTGAGAAATAGAATGTAGAAAAAACAAGGCCAGAAAAAATAAGCGATGAGAAAGTTCCATTTGTAAGCCCAATGTTGTTCTGATACAGTCTTATCACTCATAGTCAATATACATGTACATACAGTATGCCGAAATACATAAATTAACATAAATTAACTAATGCAGTCTATTGCACAGGCCCCCTAGATAACATAACATGATAACATGGTTTTGGTTCTATGTAATAAGAGCCATTTTGTGGGCCTATGTACTAGACTGAATACATATCATAAACTATAATCAAGCAGCGGTAACATACATGTAGGCAATATAACAATTTCACATTCCTCCCCAGAACAGATGAAGTATCCCATTTATCTCCTCCTTTCTAAGGTTTAGTGACATGTACTCTCCCCCTTTCGCTTTCCCCGATCAGTTTTTTGAATTTGAGGAACCCAAAACATGGTGCAACATATCTGATGCTATGAAGTTTTACAAAGCAATCTGCCCCATGCCTTTCTATTTCAACAATTTGAAAGGGTGTGACTGATGCCAGACTACCTTGGGTTTTATGAAAGGATGAGATGGGGATATAAGAATTAGTACATGATTAATTGATGAGAAAGAATGATAACATGTATTCATTTATATTGAGTATAATGCTAGAGACATGTACATATACATACAAACATATGTAAACTGAAACCTACAGGATGGTACAATAGTATGTGGGAACTAACATAAAGCTAAATAATAAACAAAAATCAAGCACTCTTTATATGCATATATCAAATAAACGTTGTACCTTTGCGTATGGACTTTAAATCAACTGTAAAACATAAAAATGATGGCCCTTACACACAAACATTTATAAAAACTGATTTTGCAAATACAACATATACTGAAGTAAATCTATAGAAATCATAAACTAGACAGCATACCTCAAGTCCCATATCAAAGGGATCATATCGAAGATCCATTCTCATAAAATATTCTTCTGATGTTTTTAAGTGTATGACCACTACCATCTTTCACAATTTCTTAGGCTACTATTCCACCCCTTAACACCCCTACACCCAAATAACCTAAAAGCCAAATTCTGGCACCCCCATTACTGCCTTGTCTGGAGGGACAGATCCAACTTAATTGCCATGTTAAAAGAAATTTGCTATGACTAAAGTTTGAAGTGATTAAGAAAGACTACATTGTTTTCTAATTGCCCAAACCTCCTCTAAAACATTGTATTGGTCCTTCTAATATCCCCCTAATCCATCACCCTAAAACCCACCTGTTTGAGATATCTTTGCAGTGACAATTAAATCGCTCCAGCTCTCACAGTTATTAGAGAGATCCTCTGTAGAGGCATGGTTGGAACTAGATGGGGAAGACATGGTCTCGTCATCAGGTATTGAGCTCTCATCGTCAGATGGGACGTCCCGTAACAAATCCAGCTCAGCTAACAGTTTAATGTAACTAGAGCTTTTCTTGAAAGCACCATAGAATTTATTCTCTTGCAACAGGTGGTAAACCTGGAATAGGTGAATAACATATCTATGATGAGAGAAGTTTTGTTACTTATTTCAAATCATTTTCATTTTTAATCTTAGATTTCTTAGACTTAGATTTAAAAAAGATATTAATATTTGTCAATAAATTCAATTTCAAATAACTTTTAACGTAATCGGTTTATTTTTATCAGCATAGTCCGCATACAATTTACGTTCAATTCAAATAAAATTTCATGGCAAAAATAATGCAGTGGGCATGCTTTAGACAGAAAAATGGAATGGAAAGATGTTGAATGAACATGGAATACAGTAAACGCAGTAAATGTACAGTAAATGCCCATTAAAATTTTAGCGAGTAAAGTAAAAAAGAAATAGGGGAGATCAGAGAGGACAAGAAAGTACTTGATGTAGGAGTAAATAATTCCAAACCTGTGCCTGTATAGGGTCAAATATTTCTTCAGTTATATTCTCTTTTTGTATGGCTTGTAAAGTCCTCTTTAATGAACTCTCCTCAACCCGAACCCGCGGTGAAGCCTACATATAAAAGAAGACACACAGTGATCAACATTGCACTTTTTATTGAAAATTCAAATTGATCATCATGCCCAAAACCCATCCAGATCTTGGTATTTATCTACTCTTGCAACTGTAAAAATATCATATTGAACAGGTTTTTGGAGAATTCTGATGACAAGATTTATGTGGGAAACACCCAACCACCAATACAGTTACACGTCCATCAGGGCAAGACGACGACGACAATATAGTACTCTGAAAAAGTCTGATAAAAATAGTGTGCTTAAAAAGAAATATGTTAAGTGTCCATTAGTGTTGTCGCGATGTGCCATAATCGTACATCGATGCATCGGCAATTTTCAGTAGTAAACATCGATGCACATCGCGATGTACATCGAGAAAAAGTTCGAGAAAAGTGCACTGAAATACCGAACGCTAATGCACTAAAATACCGAACAGAACAAATTAATAAGAGTAGGCTGGGACATCCGGGAACTTCTAGTAACGGTGAAATGAAAGTAGAGTAAATTTTTTCATTAATGGTTCATTTCGACTAGCTAAAACAGTTTTAAAGCGAAAGAATATCAGAAAACATTGGGAAATGAAATAAGACATGAAAAAAGGGAAGCAATTTGCGTCAAAATAAGATAAGAAAGTGCGATTTTTAGCAAATTAAATTTTTTAAAAAACATCGATGTTTTGTTTCAGACATCGATGCATCGCCAAAACCAGCTTTGGCGATGTATATTGCGATGTATCGATTAATCGCGACAACACTAGTGTCCATACAATATAGGTATCTCCCAAAAGATCCAGAGTTATAAATTGGTGAAGTTATTCAAAAAAAGTTATTCCAAGTGCAAAAATGGGCAAAGAATGATATGAGCTATAAAAATTTGTTTGATCGATTGCTAGATCTGACACTCCTTTCAATCTTCTGAATGTATCATATCGTTGATGAATTATGCAACGTTGCAATTAATGTATATCTTTATATACTACTCGTATATTGTGATATGCTTAGCTCAATATGGTTGATAAGATTATTTTATACAGACTTATATGTCAAGTAATGACATTTAAAAGTCAACAAAAGGTAAAGCATGTATTTCATAAATGTAATAGACTACATAATTCTATCTAGAAATAAGCATTTTACTTTTCAAGTAGACACAATTATAATAGATATAATTCTTAACTACATGTACTGACCTTTTCTGATAAATATTGTTCATAAATACTATAGGCGGCAGCACTAATCATCTCTAGATCGGGGCCGGGACTGGAAGAGTCCGCCAATTTTTGCAGTTGCGCTGCATTAATCTGCTGTTCTGCAGACACTCTGAATCCCTGAGAGAAGAAATACTAAATGGATGCTTCATCTTAAATGGTGAAAATTAAAATTCAAGCAAATCAAAAACATTTGAGTGTTGGAATTCGCTTGTAGTTTGTCCGTGCAATATTTCATGATGATTCAATAAGGGGAAAGGGTTTATAACAAGTTTTAAAGTCTGTGACTAATTAGTGTTGGGGTACTAATGTATAATAATTTGGGGAAATAGTAATCAGCAAAAAAATAAACTTGTACAGAAATGTCTGGAGATCTGGTACAAGTTTTTAAAATATTTTTTGATCATATTTGTTTCAGCTAAATGTTTCAACTCTTAATGTTACCATTAGGCCTCTTATGAATGATTTTTCTACTGATAGAGCTTCTCCCAGAATATAGATTTCAGTGTATATACGTGTGCTGACTAAAATGAGCAAAACATATTGAAGATATGAAAAGGAACTTACCTCAACATTTAAATAGAAAAATAAATAATTCTGGAAACCTAGGCCTGTCATGAATTCTGAAAACACAAATTAATGATCATTTTGCCGAGGCTTTATCTAGAAGAACAGTTTAACATAATGCTTTGAAAGATTAGTGATGAGGATCAATGTAAAAATAATCTACTCCCGAGGTGATGCATTTAAAAAATAGAACAATAAAGAAAATTAAAACAAGGCATTAACATGTAAAATGTCACCACCTGCCATTTGTTACCACCAAACACCATCCACAAAAAAGTAAAGTTGGAGACTTTAACAATATGTCACCACCTGCCATTAGTTACAGATGCCAAACTCCAAATGCCAACCACCAAACACCATCCACAAAAAGTAAGAGGACTATAACAATATGTCACCACTTCTGGTGGTAACATAAAATTATAAAATAACTAATAGCAACTCTTCAGAGTGAGTAACCTCTAAAGATACTGTTATATTACAAATTGAACAAATTGACTTCTGGTGAACTAATAGAGGGAATAATTCCCAAAATAATAATATCCCAAAGAGATTTTTAGGGTACCGTATTATCTCTAATAGGCGCACATGCTCCAATAAGCGCACACCTGACTTTTTCATGAAAGATTCTGTCAACTTGAGTAACAAAAATCACGAAAAAAAATAAAAAATTCGAAAAATATCATTGGACTATAATAGGGTTTGACTCAAACTCATAGTTGTCAACAAATCCCACACAATTCTACAGTTAACTTATATCTTACTATTGGACTGGGTTGGGTTATATTCCTGATGGCTTTGACATGTAATGAAGCAGTATTAAGCTTAGATTCAAATTCATATGAATTACAATTAAACAATCAACTTAAACATAATTTCCTTTCTGTATTAACTATGAAACAAATTACAATTTAGTAATGTCATTGTTACAGTTAATCTTTGTTGTCATACAATGTTGTCAAAAAAGTTGACAACAAATGTTCAAGGACCATCCATGTGAAATATGATGCTAAAAAAATAAAAATAGTATTATTAATATGAGAGCAAGATCTCCAGACTGTTTGGACAACACTCGTATTCACAAACAATTCCCTTTCCTGACTCAGCAGTGACATATTCCTCTCATATATTACTTTAGCATTAATTTGTTAATAGAATTTATTTCAACTTAGTTCTAACCTTTTCTCCGAATGATTCACATTCCACTAGCACGCTTAGTTCTTTAAGTGCAAGCATGGGCGGGCATTAGTACATTGTATTTGCAAAGCCAACTTGATACAAGTGGATGTGTATTGTACTCATATTAGATATAACTGCGAAAATGAGCACAGTATAGAAGCTTCTACAATTTTAATGAAACGTGTTTAATTAGTGATTCTTCTGTGAAAAGGAATGCTGTAGAAAATAAAATCTGACTGTGCTGATGGAAAGGACAATATGGACAACTACATAGCACATGGAATCATAAAAACTTTAAACTCTACATTGGATTCAAATGAAATTTCAATATTTGTACAGCCATTTCTGTTTTACGAAAAATACATAGCGAATGGTTTTTCAGTACTTGGAATCTACGGAAATGTAGTGAGTATCTACATATTTTGGAGTAATAGAAAAGATCAACATCCTTGTAATCTGTTTCTATTGGCCCTTGCATTTGCTGATATCGGTGTGATCGTTTGGAAGAGTTTGCTCGGGGGCTACCTTGGCGATCAAGTATTGAAATGGTTGACATTGTCAGATGGGTCCTGTCAAACTATCAAATACATGTGGACAGTGAGCACATTCATTTCATCCTGGTTAATCGTTGCTTACTCCGTGGAACGGTTCATAGCGATCACCAAGCCAGATTGGTTCAGGACAGTCACGTCAAGACACGCTAAGATAATGATAGGATGTATTGTGTGTTTTCCATTCATACTTTTCATACCACATTTCCTGGTTTATCAAGTTATCACCATAGAACCAAACAACAAACAATGCCAATTTGACCCAGGGGCTTCCAGACTAGGGGCATATTCATTTGTTTCAAATATTGCATTGATCTTCACTCTTCCATGCTTGATCTTACTTGCAGTTAACATCTTCATAATCTGGCGATTAAGACGAAGAAAAATTAGGCGACAAGATACCTTCATTAAATCCCATTCTGCAGCACATTCTAAACGGGTGATCAAAAATGAAAACAGAAATAGAAAGATCACTCTAAACCTATTGATTATATCAGGCTTCCACTTAATCCTGTTGCTCCCATTCATCACTTTGTGGGCATTGCATTGCTTCAAATTCTGTGGCTTGAATGGACATGAAAATAAGCTACAAATGATAACTTCAACAGTTGGTTCTGACATATGGGCTCTTGGAAAACTCTTCTCAAGTATGACTTCATTGAACAATTGTTTAAACTTCATCTGCTATGGCATGAACTTGGACTTCTACCGAAAGAAATTTCTAAAAATTTCAACATGTGGGTTGTTTTCAAGCAGTTGGACCAGGAAACCTGCGACTAATCCGAACGCTATTACAGAAGGCTCTGGCAGTGTTGACAATATTTTGGCCCTACCTTTAGGACAAAATAATCTTGTGAATGATATAGAAATGATAAACTCTTGTATCACATCAAATATTTAGTCTTGGATATAAAGTATGATGTCCAAGATGCCAAAGCACAATGCAGCAGTACCTTCTCAACAACTTATCAGTACATAGTTTGTATCTTGGAAAGAATTCTTGAGCTACAAATATATCAGACTTACAGCCTATTGTACATGTAGACACCATTTGAGACAAATTATCAGAACATTTTACAACACTGGCAGTGGCAACATACCACATCACTAAGTGTAAATTCTTTTTTCATAAAACCTGTACATATACAGTATAGTAAAACCGGTGTATATTGAACATTTTTTGCCAAGAAAAAATGTTCAGAATTTGTAGGTGTTCACTAGAGAGAGGGTAATTTATACAAAGTCAATAGAGAATGTGTGGAATAAGGGTGTCTTAATGTTTTTGTTGTGTCTTAATTTAATGTTGTCAAGCTTAATTCAAAATTAATTTAAAATGTTCCTTAATATAATTTTCAAGTTAATGTAATATATTGGGCACACTATGCACTGAGAAAACATGTGTTAATAATAGGGAGTTTTTAATATAAATTTTCAGCCAAACTTATACTGCAACTTGAACTTTTAAATGATTCAAACACCATGGGGAGGTTTCTCAAAGAAACCAGGAAAGTTAGAAAATCTTTTTCTTAATCGTTGTTTTATATCTAAATAATAATAGATGCTTAGGATTTTTCGCAAAATGAGAAATATATCCTGTATATGTAACTTTTCTGACATATTGTATCAGAACATGATTACATTATGCAGATGAGATTATAATTTGGGACAATGTTTATTGGTTCAACCAGAAGTCAATTTGCTATACCTTTAGAATTCTGCTTACGAACTTATGACTTTAACTCACTTTGAGTTATGTCACGGGTTGATGGAGTTAATGTTATATGTACAAGTTACTTATTAATATATATCAGTACTAACCTATAAAGTAGGACAGGGCTACATTGTTATTCAATATCACATCAAAGGGTAAGGAGTAGAGCTTCTGACCTGGGGTTAATAGTTTTTGTACATCTAGGCCCTGAAAATATAGGGTACAATATGGTAGAGTACATAAGGGTTATGTACTGGGAGGTTTTGGATAGAGGGTTTATCCCAAGGGAAAATGAATACATCTCTTGAGGGACCCCAGAGACACATATTTCCTGAAAACCATTTATCCAAAACATAACAGATGAATTCCATACCTATTGGGGTTCTATATATATTCTGTATATTCTACTTTATTAGTTCCAAGAAAAGACGATGAAAGAGTACATAGTAAGATACAATATGGTAAAACACAATGTGGTAGAATACAATATGGTAGAGTACAATATGGTAGAATATAATATGGTAGAGTACAATATGGTAGAATACAATATGGTAAAGTACAATATACAGTAGTAGAATACAATATAGTATACATCTGCTCCAAATCACATATTATGCTTCTGCATTAATTAAAGTAAAATCAGTAGACACAGAATAGACTAATTTGGTTTTAAAAGCAGATATCCTTGTAATTGATTCAAAATGATAAGTGTAAACAAACCCTAATATGCATGACTATCTACATATAATGTTAATAGATTCATTCCCTGAAAAAGTAAAACAGTTTTGTTCTTGTTTGTACCCAAATTCTTGGAGCTACTCTTAAATATTGCATCAAATTATTGTGAGGCATAAATTAATGCATACAAAGTCATTAATCAATGCATACAAAGTTTTCTGTTTATAAAATACAAAACTGTCAATAGAATTTCAAAATTAAACTTCAATAAGATACCTTTAGATAACAGCGAAATAAACTTATTATTTAAGATATTATTTTGATTGAATAATATTGTGCAAAGTGCAAACCTAAATATCCAAATGTGTTTGCCATGCATTATAATCAGAATATGAAATATAAAGCATCAATACTTATAGATGATTCTACAAGCCTAACTAAAATGTGTGGACAAGATGCAATATTTACAGTAGATTTAGAAAGTAACAGGTCTCCAAGACTGATCTTCCACAACTCCGGACATCAATTCCAGCCTCGCTAACAACATTCCTTGCACCTAAACCACAGTTCTTATATGGTGAATATCAATTCTTTAGTCGCGAACTACTATTTCCTCTCTCTTGAGCTTATTTCTCCACTCGCGCACTTAGTTCCAACATCATGAACAATTTGTACATAGAATCCCAAGTACCCAAATGTACCATGTACACATTTTTTATGATGTGGGAACTCAGTGCGCGAGACGAGAAATAAGTTTGGGAAAGAGAAAATGGTGGTTTGAGACTCAAGAATCAGTATTTCCGATGTGAGAAGCATGGTTCAGGTGCGAGGAATGTGGTTAGTTAAGTTGGAAGTGATGTCCATGGTTGTGGAGGTCTAGGAGGCCTGAAATAAGATTTTCAAAGAAAATGATGCAAAATCAAACATTTGTGACATATGCAAGCAGAAAAACAAGCTTCAAGCCTAATTTTGTTTAAACCTAAAATTAAAATAAAATTTGCATGCAAATATACATGCAGTGCAAACCTATAAAGGCAACAAGCTTTCATCATTGCATTAAATTAATTTGCTGCCCCTCAGATTACCCATATTCTATCTGTTTTTTCAAATAATGCTCATTGTAGTCCCTCACTCACTATTAGTGATTCTAATACAGGAATCAATGATAATACTAGGAATCCCACAATACAATTTTTCGATATGTATCTCGATATTATGAAAATGATGCAATACAAACAAGTCCATACATAGGTATTTTTTGATTTTCATTTTCATTTGAGTAACATATCTCACACAGACACCATAGGGCATATACGTGTGGTAGGATAATGTATCTTGAAATCTCAAGGTAGAAACAACTCCCCGTATTAATCTGAGAATCTGGCTAGGACCACAGACAGTTCAAGCCACCACATGCCTTTTATCGAGTTAGTATCACTCTAGTAATCAATTCTCTGGTGCACTGCCCTTATAAAAAATTCAACCTTGAAAGTCCGAATTTAAACCGTTTCCATCAATCATTGAAAGATCAAAGGAAAAACCATTGTACGGTGATAAGCAATCATTGTGCAACCATTGCGTTCAACCAAACAAAGTCAACTCTTTTTCAATGACTGCGCAACCATTTCTATACAATCATTGTAATCTGCAACCATTGTAAACTGCAACCATTTCACATTGAAATGTAAATGGTTGCAATACGTTTTGTTCAATGATTACATAGTTCAAGCCCTGCAACCAATTGGTATCGTTCCAAAAAAGTAATCATTTTACTTGAATTAAAATTATCTTTAAGTAAGGATTTGAATCTACCTCTCTTCAACAACAGTATATTAGGATATTTTTTCTGCAAGCAAACATGCATGTTTATTATAGTAAATTACTAAATTCATGTTCATATGTTTCTTTCTCCAGTACGGATTTAGGAATGCGATACCAGACTAGTTTTCCACTCAATGGCATATGATAATTTATGTTCTCTGTCATTTACATTATTTACACAATTAAAAGTACCATATCTAGTGTTTATTTCCCATTATCTGATATTGCCAAAATAATGTATCTTTGATGTTAATTATGAAAAGAATTGAGCAAAATTCCAATTTGGTTAAGAAATTGACCAAGGAAAATCTTAAGATTTCCTTTAAACTTAACAAAATCACAAGATGAGACACCATTGTTTTTGTTCATGATTAGACTGATATACAAGTATGATCAAAAGAAGCAGGATATGATGTACAAAATAATACAAACATGTAATCACAAGTTGATTGCTTTATTTAGTGAAAATGTTTTTATAGTAATAATGCATTCAGGCACCAAAGACTTAATTTTTACAGTTTCAATGGAAAACATCTGAATTAATAATTTCAGTAAAATTTACAATGAACAGGCCAGTAGTCAGCCTCCCCCCAGCAAAATGGGTCTTCAAATGTATCCATGTGTAGTTAACACCAAATATCAAGAGTATGACTCACTAACATTTAAAAAATACAAACAAGAGGACTATTTAGATATTGACTGTATATTATGTGTGAAACACATTATTCACAACAGATTTAATAACCATGTTCTTTCTTGGCAAATATTTTTTATAACAATGCTCAACACAACAATACCTACTACATATTCATATTCTCATGGGTTTAAGAAAATCAAAATGCTTGAACAGCCAATTAAAACGGTTGAACAGCTAATTAAAACAGTTGAACAGCTAATTAAAACGGTTGAACGGCTAATTAAAATGCTTGACCAGAAAAAGGGTTCATAGTCCTAGTTTCTGTTATCTATTTTCATCATGTGTTATACTATATATTTATTTTAATTATCTATTTCATGCAGAGGGAGGGGGGAGTTAAAATTTAAAAAGTGTTTTCAGATTTTTGAGGGTTTATTTCTTTATTTAATTACTTCAATAAGTGCTTAGAAATCTCAAATAGCAAGTATATGAAACTGCAAATAATATTTTCAGAATTTTTTTCAGAATATTTTCAGTTTGTTTTACCATAGGCATTCAATAGATTGAACGTCCATAGTTTTACTTTATTCACTAGGGCAGAGCATTTGTACTGAAAAGTGTTTTCAGTTTAAATAATATGTGTTGATGATTAAAAAATAACCAAAAACAGGGCTTATTTTTCAAAACTCTAAACTTGGAAAAATCTGGAGGAAAATATGGGAGATTTTCTTTGGCAAATTATTTATCAAGTTCTGTGTATGGAATAATTTAAATTACATAGGATGCTTCCTTTATAGCAGACTCTAATCAAACTGACATAATAAGGTTTGTTTTGCCTTGCTGAATTATTTTTGTTTTGTTTATGGATTAATGGATTAATAAAGTTTCTTTAGACACATCCTTCAAAGCAGACTCTAATCAAAATAGATAGACGGAGTCTAACTGTAATCAGAGTTTTTTAAGTTATGCTTATCGTCTTAATTATTTAAAACACATCCTGTAATGTCTGATTGCATTTTCTCTATCAAATCAAAAATATCAAATCAAAACAGATTATTTTCCCATTGAAGGATTTCTTCCTTCCAGACACATCTTCCTTCCTTTATAATTGCGATGATTGCAAGGTGAAGTGTAAAATCCAAGACTTGACCCAATCAAAATTTTTTCAAATGATTTTGCAATAACTTAAAAAGTAGTGAAGTGATTTTGTAAAAATGATAGTCATGACAGCGAGGGGGATTTGCTATGCCTAAGCATTAATTGCTGTTATCTAGATAATATACATGTGAGTTAGACAATCACCATCCTTCAAAGTTAGATGAAAATTGGTTCAATATATTTTCATTCACAAGACAAGTTTACTTAACTATTTCAATACTTTAAACATCTTTTTGATCAAACCATTTAAATTCTGACCTGTACAGTATGCATGAAATACACACATTTGAAATATATTCTTTAAAGAGCAAAATAATTATTTTATGTTGTATTGAGATAAAATTGCCATAGTTTTAAAGGGTTGCATTCGATTGAAACAGTTGCAAGAAATGCACCCAAAATTGTCAAGCGTTTACAATGGTTACATATGATTGAAACATTTCAATGAGTTTACAACCAAAATTGTAATGGTTGCATCGTAACGGTTGGCATGGTTGCATAAATGATCGGATCAATGATTGTACAATGATTGTGCAATGGTTTAAATTCGGACTTTCAAGGTTGAATTTTTTATAAGGGTAGTTAGCATGATATCCTCCATATTACGAATATTAGCAAGAATATATTCTAATTGATAGGATTTAAATTTTACAGAGGGTTCACTATTCATTAATAAATATTTGATAGTCAGGTTTGGTAAATGTTTGCTAAATATATGGCAAATTGGAAAGATACTTTAAAATCTTTATTATAAAATAACAAAATGCAGAGGGAATATTGCTTTTATTACATATTCAGATAATTCATGCTATATTATTTGGTTGGAAATGCACATAGGTCATCTAAAATCACAAATGTTCGCAAAATTAATGAAATTCTAAAATAAACTGCTTTTTGCAAAAAAACGTTACAAGGCATGTCATATTTATTGTCAAAAGATTTTACTTTTATTTTAATTGAGTTTTGCTGTGTCAATTTTGGGTTATATATCTCCTCTACTAAGATTTGGAAGTGATTTCTAATGATTATTTTGGTGTATCGAGCAACCGTGGGATCCCTAGTTTTATACCCATGCAGATTAGTAAATGTGCAATTGTGCTTTTTATGCCCATTTCTTGCTTTCTCTATGATTTCTCTCTCTAATTTGAATGGATGACTCATTTTCTGTCATTTCCATACAATTGAGTGAAGACTTCATGCCTCGTATGCACTTTTTTCCTTGTTATTTCCCTCTTTGCCCCTATTTAGGATTTCAAATCATTAACCCCATGACAATTTTGGCAGGCATGGTGATTTTTGTGCCACTTTAATGGACTCACACTCTGATTGCTATTTAGGTAAGCCACCAAATCTTCTCGCGATGAAACTTTTGACATCGCCAGATAACTCGTTGAGCGCATTCTCTTGAGCCTATAGTTCAACTAAAGGTGCAACAGAATTAAATATCATGCAAAATATGTATTGATGTTAAAAATTAGTATATTAATATCCATTAGTGATTAACTACTGACATTCATTTATCTTCCAAAATATATATAAAACAAATAAACTAATTATGTACAAATAATATGTAAACAATATTGTGCAAAAATAATTATAGAAGCAACATTCATGTATGTATGCACATAGCTGATGAGCTTATAGAGATCATAATGCATTTTTTCTGTATCATAAGAATGATGTAAATATGGCATACATTTCTTAAATTTAGAGCATCTAAAGTATTTCATGGAATGCTTGCAAATAATCTCTAAATTGAATAAGTGCCAAGAAAAAATCTAATGGACATTATGCAAGGGTCGATCCAGATATTCTGATAAAAATGCTCTTATTTATTTATTTTTGGGAGATGCATGATATTAGCACATAATGTAAAACTTATTTGGACATAAGTCATAACAATCAAAATTGTAGTTTAATATTCAAGCATTTAACAATATTTAACAACATGAAGTTAATACATATACAATATCGAATGAACACAGTAATGGTAAAGCAACACTTACCCCATTAGCTGTACCATCATCGTACCCCAGGCCCGCCTGGAGTCTCGCAATTCTCAATTCACATTGACTTTTTACAAATACAAGACTGCTAAGCTGTTGCTTGACGAATGTATCATCCTCGCCTCCTGTGTCCTTTGAGCGCCATCTGGCGATATCCATGTCAAGCTTTTCTCGGACAGCTTGGAGTTCATCTAAACTGTCTGAGAGTTTTATCGCTAGCACAAATGTATCATTATTAATAGGGGTATCCAGACACTGAAATCGAAAAAGAGATATTTATAAATGATCTCATGTATACCACTAAGTAAAGGGTCAGATTATAGATATTACCATAAAATATCACTAACAGTAAGTGGTACAGAGAAAAGGTCAAATAAAACTAAAAACATTGATTGAACGAAACTCAGGAAACTTTGGGTTATGATGGTCCAAAAAGTAGATGTCATTTGGCCAGACATGGCCTTGACTGGAAAAACATATCCCATAATGCAATTCCCAATAAGCAGACGACAAAGTTATGACTTACCATCCAGATAATAAGCTGGTTGATGTAGTCTGGATCAGACATGAGGTTAATGACGGGAAGGAACACACCATTGACTAGACATTCACGCACTATGTGTTTGAAAGGTTTGTTGTGGAAGTCCTCAGGAGGCAGAAGTAAATACAGCAAAACATCACTTAGTTCTTGGAGATATTCTGCAAGTTCAGACAATGGCATGTTTTGAAATGTAATATATAAAGGATATAAAGTGAAACAACAAGGAATAAAATATATGAGTACAGGTTTTTGTCAACACTTAAAATTGAATAAAAATGTCAGAAAATCAGCCATATGCCATAATGCTACAGACATTGAAATTCAGCATGATATCCATTTAAAATGTAATAGCCTATACTTGTGTATAGTAAATGATGATTTCATATATATTTACCATAATGCAAAACACATTTTTAACAAACACTGAAATTCAGGAAAATATTACATTATCCCATAATGCAACTCGAAAAACAGATAAGAAATGATGAGTTCATATCCCATAATGCAACAGAAGAAGCAGACTACACACTTTACCTCTTTCTTTGAATGGGTCAGTACAAATAGTATCTCTACATAAGTTGTTTTCCATCTCTACCTCAAGATCAAAGAATACTGATGTCAAATCAGGTGGGACTTTACTCTCTGAAATAATGTGTATAAAATGTGTATTTTCAAATTTAAATAAAGGAAAATACAAGTAAACAACATATTACACAGACTATTTTTATGTTGAAATAAAAATCAGTTTATTTCAGTTCTGAACAGTCTAAATTTAATAATTTGAAGGATTTTACTTTATTTTTATCATATTAATCTCTTTATATTTCAAGGATATGTGCTGATAAGTGTTCTATTCTTACCATCTTTTTTAGCTTCCTTTCGCACTTTTTCTTGCGCTCGTCGGAATAAACGTAAATGTGATGCAAAGTCATCTACTAAATTTGTTGTACAATATGGCACCCAGTCAACCTCTTTACATCTGGAAGATAAGCAATCCATGGACCAATCATTAAGACTATCTTATGATACTGCTAAGGGCGGAACAAGGATAAGGTGAGGCAATCTTAAATAGGTGAGGCAAATTTAAATAGGTGAGGCAAAATAAAATAGGTGAGGCATATAATTTAAATAGGTGAGGGAAAACTTAAGCCAAAGAGGACATTTTAACAGTCATTGATTCAGACAAAAAGATGTATAAGATATAAAAATATTTTTCTGTTAAATATGCAAATATGTATAAATCAGTGGAGCAAAATACAGTAAAACCCGTGTTTATTGAACATTTTTGCCAAGAAAAAAAGCGTTCAGTGATGACAAGTGCTTACGACAGAGAGAGAGTAGTTTATACAGAAGCCAACAGAGTGTGTACGGAGAAAGGATGTCTACTAGAGACAGGTGTTCCCAAGAGAGGTGTTTAATAAGACAGGTTTTACTGTACATTCCAATAAGGAATAAAAAACATTTCAGCTGTGACAAATTCCTTGAGCACGCTTATTATCAATACATGTCCACTTTCAAACCATGATTGCTGTTCATGAGTTATAGCTAGCTCGCAAGTTGAAATAGATTGCGAGTTTCTAGAGGATAACTCAAGGCAATGTATAGGCAGCTCTGACGAGCTATACTCTTATCTAGTTACGGACTCGGGAGTTACACCTCTAGTTTTTACCCATTTAACATGATTCTTATACATAATAGGTTCTCAAATGAAATTCTACACGATCATTTAATCTTGATGATTCGGAAATACTCTTTTGTTAAAATGACAAATGAGAAAAATAATAATTTCGGATATGAGATATGTCCCTGTAGTATACTTTCAGAAAAGGCTGATTAAAACAGATATTAACTTTTCTCAAATTATGCACTTTGTAACATTATTCAGTCCAGTGCATAGTTCCAATAAATGCCTCAAACTTAGGCGATCCACCATTTATGTATTTGCTTATTAGGGAAATTTCATTGGGTCCATTCATTCAACTGTATTAGCAATTGGTGACTCCAAGCATCAATCAAAGTGGGTGCAGCATTCATTCAAGATTTTAAGAACAGGCTTGCACCCTCTTGTCAACTCACTTGCGCCATCTTGAAAATGAAAAGAATCACGAAAAATTGCAGGTTATGTTAAATAACAATATTTCTCACCTTTCAGAAAATGCTATAACGACTTTTTGTAAAGTGAGTCGCATGTCATACCGGAACTTCCCATCATCGCTGATTTTTTTATACCATATATGAATATAGTCCCGATATGTGAAATCTAAAATCTGAAAAGTGAAGAAGAAAAACATTATATATGAATAATTCATTAAAATTCATATTAGATTAGCACAGTAAGTTATTCATATACTAGTGGTGGTAATAAAGTTCTCATAATAAAACGATATAAGAGATAATTTGAGAACCTTATGAGCACCCCTTGTATAATATACAGGATTTCCTGCTACTTATGTGATGATAACTTTTGGATAATTCATATTACAGATTTCCTTTTCACCACAGAGGAACTCTTCAAACCGATTGTGAAAATGGATCTGTTTCAGTTACAAAGCAGTGCAGGCTCGGATTTACAATTTTCCATGATTTCACGAGATGAAGGCACTGGCAAATTCTTTACAACCATTATTTGGCACAAATGTGTATTTGCACAATTTGATTAAACAGTACCGTTTACATAACAAAAGTGTTTTGATTATTCTGGCATCTTGTGAACAATTCCTTCACAAATGCTTAGATTTTCTGAAAGATATGATGCTGACAATGAATTATGGAATAAGGAAACACTTGAAAATCAATGTCAATGTTAAATAAAGCGAGGGAAATCTGTTTTTGGCTATAAATACACGAACTGTTCCTTCTGACCATACCTATTCCATGCTATTTCTTTCTAAAATTTGAATGAACTACCTCATTTTCTTGTATTTCTTTATAATTTAGAGTATTAACTACATGCCTCTTTACTTTATTCTTAACTGATTTTACTCTTTATCTTCTATTTTTAGATTTTAAAACGTGACCGTATGATATTTTTCTCACAGGAATGAACAATGCACTAACTCTGACAATCAATATTACCTCAATTATACCCACACACATTTATAGAATACATAGTACTCTGTGATGAAGATCGGGTACTTATATATAATTCTCAAGATTTGAGCAGTTTTCTAAATCACTGGAGTAAAAAGTAGAAATGAATCTTAAAAACTAAAATGGAATATTAGTATTAAGTTACAAATATATTTAACATCACATTAAAATTCGAGGAATTGTGAAAATGTTGGAATTGGGTTTTACTTCATGCACAGGGTAAATGGTCTTATCTTGTGCCACAAGTAGAGAGAGGTTATGTACTTCAAGGTGTATCTGACCCTCTCCACAGAAAAGCTGACATTCTAATATCAATCTTTAAATTCTCTGTGATATGTACTTACACAATTATATTTTAACAGATACATAAGGGTTATGTACTGGGAGGTTTTGGATATGGGGTTTATCCAGAGGGAGATATGCATATCTACCTAAGGGACCATAGGGACCGAAGGTAGATGTGCATATCTCACAAGGGATGAACCCAATATCCAAACCGACCGTACATAACTGCTTTATCCTTTACCAAGTAGAGTTTTCAGGGGCATGTGGCCATTTCAATAGTACAAGGCATAAAAATAAACAAATCATTCATATGCAAAGTCATTTTATTGCATTACCGGAAGCGGAAGATATGCACCGGAAGCGGGAAGATATGCACCGAAGCGGGAGATATGGCGGGAGATATGGAGGTTCTGAATTTGGAAACCTCAAAATCAGGATACGGGATATATCTTACCAACTTATCTCCCTAAAACTATACTTGGCATAGGATAAGTGATGTTACGTCCCAGTGATATGTACAGAATACGTTATCATGAGAAATCAAGTCAAACATTTTAATGGGTTTGCAAACAACCCAAAAAGTCTCTTATAATGACAATTCATGCTCTGATTTTACACCCTTGAGACTGTCTAATCTCCATTCTCTATAATCAAGTCTTACAAATGAAACATGGTACAAGATGAGATACAATTCAATGAATTACCCATTCCGCCTACTTCATTAACCAATTCATTTGTTAAGCTTTATATATCTAGTTTCTCGTATCTAATCTAATGTTACATACAATAACAAATAATACAGTTGTCTATTATAAAATGTACTTTAGTGTATTGATCATGAGACATCTTATAACATCATAACATAATAGCCATGTTTTGAAATGGAAAATAAGGCATACACCTGACAAAATGTCACAACTTGGCTGGACATAGTATGAGTTACAAGTCTACCTGGCTTCTTCTCTGTTTTATAAAATATGTTGCCATGGTAACATATATTCCTGCGAAGACTCATAATATGTCTAAAGGTGCTCATGGCTAAAGGTGTATTTGAAGTGTTCTGATGTAATTGCAAATTAGAAAAATGTAAAAATTTGTTACAGACACCGAAATCCAAGTTCACAAAAAATTGAAATGAAATAAATGAACTTTTTTCTCAACAGGTATCTTTCCAACACTTGAATCACATAGAGAAGCCAGAAATTGAGTTTATTAATTAAAATTCTAGAGAGAGAAAACATAGGAACAGACATAAACAGACATATGAAACAGTATAACATGGTAAATACTAGCCTTCTAGTAATTACCTTCAGACAGAAATGTGGCTTTGGGAATGACTAAATCCAGATATTGAAAATGAATGAATAAATAAATATTCTTCAAATATCTGAAGTTAAACATTCATGGAAAAGCTATGCTAAAATCCTTCTAAAAAAGCATTTCTATTCCTAATTTAGACAAATTAAGTTGCACCATATAAAAACTATAAATACAATATACAGTAAAAACCTTTGGTACCTCTAAAAAGTGTTCAATTTGGGAGGTGTTCTACTTATAGAGGTTCATTTAACAAAAAGTCGGTTTGTCTTGGGATTCTGAAAAGTGTTCCACTAAGAGAGGAATTCCATTTCTAAAGGTGTTCCACTTTACAGGTTTTAGTGTGCTTGGATCTCAATGTAAAAATATAAAATGAATATATAGTGGTACCTCTTGTAATACTTCATCTATTGCACTTGCCCCTGTCATACGTTTGTCCGTTCTGTAATGCCGCTGTATATGGGTCACATCATCGATAATCTGCAAAGAAATTAACATGCAATCGGTCAATTCAGAAAGTCTCTACATTTGTTAGCCCAAGAGCTAACCCGCTGAGGAAAGGGGCCTAGTACTATGGCTATGAAGCTCTAATTTGAAGAGGTGTTTTAAAGGGGTGTTCAAGGACAGGTGTCACAGTAGAGCCTCAGGAAGACTGAACTGAAGTTGATGAAACCGTAGCTCAATAAATGAGTATATTGGTTGAAGACAAAAGAACATGTATTCAGAATGAACTATACAAACCATTAGAACCTATTCTTTAATATTCAAGAACTGTTTTCGCAACGAAGAAAAGTAGAGTGAAAAATGGCTGATCGTTTTTTCATCATCCATCTTTGATTCCATCTCATTGTGTTTGCCAGGATCTTTCATTATGGCTGGAATCTTAAGGGAATGTAGATTTTTCCAAATAAAGCGCAGAGATGGTCATGTTTTCAAATGTAGAATAGAGTGTTAAAGTGAGGATGCAGCAAAAAAACAAAATAAAGAAAAACATGAATAACACTCGAAATTGTGCAGGAATCCCTGAAAATCAGGTTCAACTCTAAGAGAAAATTGGTGTAAAATATGCCAGTAGACAGATATTTTACATATTCGTACAAGGGTAAATAACACAGAGACAATTAACCTTTCTTGTAGACATTAATCCATATTAGGTGAGTGAACCTCTGACTGGACAAACAGGTCATATTTTAGAGATGAGAAACAGTGGGAAAGTGAGGATTAAACAAGGTGTAGGCAAGAAATATGATAAACAGCAAGAAAGCATCAATATCAAATTGTGACAAAATATATAAACAACGAAAGAAAAACATTGCCCAAACAGATATCAAAACCATAATAAATCGTTAAGACAGAGATAGCAAAATAAACAATAAACACAAATTCTTGGTAAACGTGTGATAATATTTATAAGGGAAGATTAATAGAAAACTTGGGTATATTGGTATTCACAGTAGAGTTTCCAATCTATTTCTTAAATTGATATAGAATGGTGGTAGGTAATGAAGAACCTTTAGCCTGCCTTGTACATGGACAAGTATTGACCTTTGTAGGTTTGGATATATGAAAATGAAAGTGGCCAAATCAAAAATAGAAATTTTCATTTAAACATTTGAAGATGTGCCATATTCTAATTGTCACCTGAATAAGTATTGTTCTCTGTGATCTGATTGGTTCACAGTTGGTTGCTACACCCCATGCAGACAGATCCCCTAAAATTACATTCTTATGATGCGAGAGTCGGCATTCAACAGGAAACTAGAAACATTTTGTCACCCATGTAGCAAATTATTTTTTCACTGGTGAATAAATTCTGAATGGCAGTCACATAAGGTTTTACCAGTATGAGAATAGCATGAAATTTTGATATTTCAAAGTAACTCGTTGATAAGGCGAGGGCGTTTGATTGAAATTACTATGTAAAAATAAAACCGGAACAAAATATTAATAGATTTCTTTGAAAAAGTAAATGCATCATATGAATATAATTTAAGGCGATCTGTCTGCATGGGGTGTTGCTATGATACCTCAATCTTTCATTTATTTACAACGATATTATTTAGCATGATATTCTTGGATCAAGTCTCTATAGAATGAACCTATGTTCAAATAATATTGGTTCATCTATGGATCTTGGGTAATCTTTCCCTCTTTTCGAAATGCTTACTTTTCCTGGGCCTACTTTAGTCTTTGGAACTCTACTTGGTTTATTCATTAGTGTTGTTTCAGATCTGCTCTTCCCATAGTAGTATATTATACTGGCACCCCTGCAAATATATAATGTAAATATGTATTCTTCCCATAGTAGTATATTATACTGGCACCCCTGCAAATATATAATGTAAATATGTAGTCTTCCCATAGTAATATATTATACTGGCACCCCTGCAAATATATAATATAAATATGTAGTCTTCCAATAGTAATATATTATACTGGCACCCCTGCAAATATATAATGTAAATATGTATTCTTCCCATAGTAGTATATTATACTGGCACCCCTGCAAATATATAATGTAAATATGTATTCTTCCCATAGTAATATATTATACTGGCACCCCTGCAAATATATAATTAAAATATGTAGTCTTCCCATAGTAATATATTATACTGGCACCCCTGCAAATATATAATGTAAATATGTAGTCTTCTCATAGTAATATATTATACTGGCACCCCTGCAAATATATAATGTAAATACATGTATGTAGTCTTCCCATAGTAATATATTATACTGGCACCCCTGCAAATATATAATGTAAATATGTAGTCTTCCCATAGTAATATATTATACTGGCACCCCTGCAAATATATAATGTAAATATGTAGACTTCCCATAGTAATATATTATAATGGCACCCCTGCAAATATATAATGTAAATATGTAGTCTTCCAATAGTAATATATTATACTGGCACCCCTGCAAATATATAATGTAAATATGTAGTCTTCCCATAGTAATATATTATACTGGCACCCCTGCAAATATATAATGTAAATATGTAGACTTCCCATAGTAATATATTATAATGGCACCCCTGCAAATATATAATGTAAATATGTAGTCTTCCAATAGTAATATATTATACTGGCACCCCTGCAAATAATATAATGTAAATATGTAGTCTTCCAATAGTAATATATTATACTGGCACCCCTGCAAATATATAATGTAAATATATAGTCTTCCAATAGTAATATATTATACTGGCACCCCTGCAAATATATAATGTAAATATGTAGTCTTCCCATAGTAATATATTATACTGGCACCCCTGCAAATATATAATGTAAATATATAGTCTTCCCATATATTATACTGGCACCCCTGCAAATATATAATGTAAATATGTAGTCTTCCCATAGTAATATATTATACTGGCACCCCTGCAAATATAAAATGTAAATATGTAGTCTTCCCATAGTAATATATTATACTGGCACCCCTGCAAATATATAATGTAAATATGTAGTCTTCCCATAGTAATATATTATACTGGCACCCCTGCAAATATATAATGTAAATATGTAGTCTTCCCAAAAGTAATATATTATAATGGCACCACTGCAAATATATAATGTAAATATGTAGTCTTCCCATAGTAATATATTATAATGGCACCCCTGCAAATATATAATGTAAATATGTAGTCTTCCCATAGTAATATATTATACTGGCACCCCTGCAAATATATAATAATGCTATACAACGATTAACCATTTAATATCCCAAAATGATGATGTAAAATCAAAAAGTACATAAATATGACATTCCATGAACAGCACAATTTTCAAACCAAAAGAATCATCAATACATGCGTCATAATGGCGCAACAAGGTCCAAATCCATTCTCTAACTCTTAAATAAATGCATTCCCATTGAGGTACAAGTAGATTTGAGGTAAAATTACAAAAGAGCAATAATCACAAAACAAGGTTATATGACCATGCAATTATTTTCATACTAGATTGATGGGATCAAGCAATTCATTTACTCTATAATAGCAGTTACGTCCTATTCGAATGCAGATAAATTGCTGAGGATTTCCTGACCATATTGCAAATGTACAAAATATCCCGAATTGGAATTTCTAGTTGCTAGACTTTTTACTCAGTCATTCTATAAACTGTTAATATTTTTTTCATTTTTGTACAATCAAGGTAGTTAACTTCAAACCTGTTTTTTCTATTCCTTGTTTTTTCCCTTACAACTTTATATTTTAAAGCATGACCATCAAAACAATTTAGTCACAAGAATATAACACTGACAATGATAAACATTGATGGGACTACCAATCTTAGATGATACCTTTGTAAAAATTTCCAAACGCAATCCCCTCTGACCAACAACAGAGGCCCATTTCCATAAGCAATTTCAAAGGACAATGATTATGAGATTATTACACAGCACAAAGTTCTTTTGATTTCATAACTCTATTGTTCTTTTACTATAACATCTTATCTAGATTACAAAAAATAGTGGACATTCTTAGAGAAGTATGCTACTTTACATGAATTCACTCCAAATAAACTGATATTAAACATGTAAAAGCAGAAATTAAAGTTTGGGGAATATTGGTATACTAAATGATAAAATGAGGTCAATGTATCCTAGTATTTCTCATTTATTTCACATTCTCTTTTATGTTGATATTGTTGATGTTTTAAATGTTAAGGATGTTGACCCTTGGCAGCATCCTCACCCATTAAGATATTACATATGACTGAAGGAATATACTGCTTTAACAGTCTGCCTTGTCTGCCGAATGTACAAAAAAAGAAAAACAATGAACATATAAAACATCAATAAACTTGAAAAAATGAAAATTTCGGTGGCCAATTTATTCAACCTAAGAATTCATAACCTGGTGTTATTCATAACACATTCTCATAAAATAAAAAGTATTATCATTCCATTTAACAATATTTAATCATGGTAACTTGCTTTAGGTTAGATATAAATGCTCTTTGTCACATACACCCAAACTGCTTCTATTCAAATTGTCATATATTTTATAGTTGATAACTTTAGCCATTCACAAAAAAACTTCTATTCACTTAAATGTAGAGTATAGCGTGAACTATGAATATAAACCACTTCAGAATAGGGTTTACTTTATAAGATTTCTTACATTTAAGTAATCTTGTATCACATCCAATTATACCCCCTCCAATAATCTCCCCCCCCCCCCTTTTCATCACACTCTAAATTTCGCGATCTTTTTCTCCCTCTCTTTCTCCCTCACTCTCTCTCGCTCTATCTCCCCTACCCTCACTATCTCACCCCCTTTCCCTCACACACTCATTCAAACAAAGGGTCTTAGTTAGAGTAACAGACTGCAGGGCAGGAGGGGACGAACAAAATACTTAATGCAAGTCTAGCTTTAGCCAATATGACACATATTTCTAGAGTGTGGGAATCACTGTGAGAAAACATTGTTAATCGCAATCCTACATTCTCTTATACAACATCAGAACATGTAAAACATAAGTTAACAACAATAATATATGTCAATCTTAAATATTATCTCTGCCACAGAACTCATTGACCTAGCATAACAGACAGTATATGATAAAAATACATTGTTCTATGAATACAACCAAATGTATAATCTATCAAGGCTTAAACTAGACTATCAAGCTAAACATGTACAAATGTCCTTCATTCTCTTGTTAGAAGGTATTACTGTAGATTTAACAGTTATCATAAACCTTTTGTATGCTATCAAAATAAAAATATGCTATCAGTGGTTAACATTATGACAAAAATAAATAATAAGGCATTAATAATTGCAAAATGTCACCACCTGCAATTTGTTACAAATGCTGACCATCAACTATGAAACCACAACTGCCGATCACTGTCTACAAAAATATAACTAGAAACTAGAAAAACAGCAACTCCATGGATTAGCAAATCCAACCGAATAAAACTTGTTTTGATAAATAGCGGCCATATAAAATTTGAGCCAAATCCATCTACTGGTATTTGAGTTATCAAAGATTATGTTTTTCTGAAACATGGTTGCCATTTTGAAATTCAGCTGTCATCTTTAAATTTCTTCTTGAGCAGAGCTCCTATGTCCCTAAGCATCAGTATATAAAATTTAATCCACATCTGTCAACTGGTACTTGAGTTATCAAGGATTACATGTTTACTGAAAAATGGTGGAGATTTCAATAAAGAGCAGCCATCTTTAAATTTTCTTCTAAAGCAGTGCTCATTTATCTCTAGCCACAGTATATAAAATTTGAAGTAAATCCGTCTACTGGTATTTGAGTTATCAAATATTACCTTTTTTATGAAAGATGGCAGCTATTTTGAAATTCAGCTTACGCCTTTGAAATTTCTTCTGAAGCAGATTTCATTTGTTCCTAGACATCAGTATAAAAATTGGAACCAAATCCATCTACTGGTTTATCAATGATTATGTTTTACGAAAAATGGTGGCCATTTTAAAATTCAGAGGCCATCCTTAAAATGTCTTCTTGAGCAGAACTTCTTTGTCTCTAGGCATCAGCATATAGAATTTGAACCAGATCTGGCAACTGGGATTTGAGTTATCAAGGGTTACATTCTTTTACGAAAAATGGTGGCCATTTTGAAATTTAGCTGCCATCTTGAAAATCCCTTCTCCTATGTCCCTAGGCATCAGCATGTAAAATTTGAACCAAATCCATTCAATGGAATTGGGAGTTATCAAAGATGTTTTTTAAGAAAAATGGTGGCCATTTTGAAATAAAGCGGCCATCTTGAAAATGTCTTCTTGAGCAAGGCTCTTTTGTACACAGGCAACACCATATAAAATTTGAACCAAATCCGTCCACAAGTATTTGATTTATAAAGGATTATATTTTTCTAATGAAAATTCCTTCTCGAGGTCCTACCCCATAAGGGCATAAGCCTATAAAATTTGAATCAAATCCGTTGACTGGTATTTGAGTTATTGCAGGGACAGACAGAAGAACGGACGGACAGCTTTCCTATATCCCCATTGAACTTTGTTCAGTGGGATAACAATATGTCACCACTTATGGTGGTGACATAAAACTAAAAAAATAACACGCAATACTGTTTTGACACTGATCTAAGAAAATCTGATACACTATAATTGGTAGAGTTCATAAGCCAGATATCTAACATGGATAAGCACTCTTAGTTTTGCGAATTCAATATGTTCCATCACCGCACTATAATATATACTTCCTCGAACTGACACTCATACTCTGATGCTCTACACTATAATTAAAACCAGCTTAATATAACAAAGGATACTTGATGTAATGAGTAGATTATCCTTGAGAATTACAATTATATAATATTATTGCATGTGGGTATGAAAAGCAATGCAAGAGCAAACTCTGCTTGTCCATATTCATCAAATAACATAATTAATTTTTAAGAATAGCTTGGCTCTACCTCATTTTTAATGAAAATACTTTGTTCTTATTTCTAGGAATAGTACATTTGTATGTAAGTTATACAATTCAATCTATTTTATATGTCATTACTACCAACCAATTACTGATAGTCATTACCTAAATATTGATTTAATGACTTTCTTCTTCAAAAAATCAATGATGTAAAAAAACATGATGGCCCTTGACCCCCATGTCTAAATGAAAAATATAATTACATCATTGACATGATTATTCAGATATTCAATTCTACAATTATAACTCCTTCACATTTCCCGTGTGATCCCGATCAGTAAGAAACATCACCTATGTCATTGAATATCTATATATAACAGAAAGATTTTTTGATTATCAATCAAATAAGAAGAACAAAACAGAAGGCACATGATGAATAATATTTTCGAAAAAAAACTTCATTTACCTTTATCGGTCTATTTAAATGAATGTTGAACAAACAAGAAACCATGAGGTATAATGCTTTACCATTCCTGAAGCAGAACATATGAATATGAGTAATTTAGACAGTGACATTGAAGTTGTGAGCTACAATGTCAATATTTTGATGATGCTAATTTGGAAATCCTTGGTTGTGAAATGAAGGATGCATAGGGCATATGCTGCTGTCAGGAGTGGTATGTGCAATTGAAAGGGAAGCTAGACTCATTTATGCTTTTATTGTAAATATTTTCTGTTTTGATTTGAAGAGAAATTAATTTTAAACAGAATGTAAAAGTGTCATCAAGTAAAATAAATACCTAAAGATGATAACATCTTTTGTAATCACAGGGTGAAAAAAATTCAGAACTTTTACGTCACGAAAGATACAGAAAAGGTCCAGAAACTGATCATGGTAGAGTTATACCCAAAAGTTAGTGGCTGCACTATCTTATACTTTTGTTTTTATAAAGATAATTGAGTGTTACCTGCCTTTGTTCTATACCCAAGTGATATCACAACACCCTTATTTTGTAATTTGTAGGTCAATTGGGAGGATTTTTCTTTTCTGGGACATGTTGCTGGTGTCCTTTTCTTACACAGAAGAGGCATAAAGTCATGTGAGAGATTATGTGTTATAACTCTTCACTTAAAGCAAGTTATTATAGCATCAATCATTCGTTTATAGAACAATAGATACAAAAATTCTAATGGAATTTGTTTTGATGACCTGCTAGGTTATTAAACATACCATTTAGTCAAATATGGCCTTAAAAATCTTTCGCAATTAGTATCAGAGAGGAAATTTGATTTAATGGTACAACAGCGAAGATTTGCAAGACAAGTAAGCTCAGAAAAGTAACCCATAGGCAACATGAACATTCCTTCGTCATATCTACATATAAAACATTGACACAAAGGTAAATATTATTTAAAATGATCTAGTTTATTCAGATGCTATACAATTCAGTTTATACATATAAACAAACAAATTCACTGTTTAATAGTGGTTGTTGTATTGGTTGTATCCAGTATATCCGTAAGATGGGGCTTGGTATCCGTAAGATGGGGCCTGGTATCCGTAAGATGGAGTCTCGTATGCTGGCTCAGCGTGGTAGACTGGCTCAGGGGCCTTGTACTCTGGCTCAGGGGCTTTGTACTCTGGCTCAGGGGCTTTGTATACTGGGGCACTGTAGGCAGCCTTGCTGCATACCTTGGTGGAATCATCAAAAGCAGTTCCTGAAGAAAACAATTTTTGTCATTTATTCTAGCTATAAAAACGTATTTACCTACTTATATACAGAATACCTGGTCTAAACTATAGATTTTTAGTTCTTAGTGAAGGTAGTGAGAATATATAAATTCCTTTGTCGGAATATTACATTATGTTGTTAAGGTTGTTTATTGTATTTTAGAGCAGCTTACCATATGGGCACTTCATGAAGAAAGGCTTGCAGCAGATACAGGCTTTGCCATATTTGTAGTCACATCCGCACTGGATGAAACCATTCTTGTTGTATTTGTCAGCGAAAAGACCACTTGGGTTGTTGTAGCATTTGCCGTCACAGGGATCTAAAATTGCAAGTGTCCAAATCAGAAAAACTGTAAAAACTTAAACAATATCGTTAATATCTACATCAGAAGGCTGAAGGTCAAAACAAAAATTACAATATCCTTGTATCACCATGGATTTCAATTGCTTCTACATATTCTAAAAAAAACAAACAATTTTTTTGTGATGGATGAGATGTGCAAACATACATATACCAACTGCTGAACACATTTAAAGATATGTCTACTAACTTGGGTAAGAGGAATAGTAAGATGGCTTGTATCCACAGACTCCATAGTCTCCAAGCTGTTTGCTGTTGCAGAGATCTCCCTTGCAGAAATACCAGAGAGAACCAGCCTGGTTGGCACATTGCTTGTAGGTAGACACTCCAAGGGGAAGGTTCTCCTTGTTAGCACAGCCACGGTACACAAGACCATTGGGGTCTTTACGGATGAAGCACTCTCCGGAAGCACAGCTCCATTTGTCGAGGGACTCGGCATCTCCATATTTGGCGAGGGCACATCCAGCATATCCTGCATTAGAGGACACTCTGGTCCAGTAGTTTACCTGCTTGGTGTAACCAGATGGGGCATAGTTGCAGTCATAGCAACGAGCTATAAAAAAGAAGAAAAATCAACATAAATATTAAAATTCTTTTGGTTAAATAAGAAGATAACAAGCTAATAGAGTAAAAAATCGAATATTGATGATACTGTCGCTGATCAGTCAAACAATCAATTAAAAATAGAAAAATTTCCCAAATAGACTAACTTACACAGCAATTTGCTGCCAATGTTATGAAAAAAGATAAAAACTTTGACTTACATCCGTAGCCACTGGCGAAGACTGTGGCAAGTCCAGCAAGGAAGATGGCAGCAGACAACATTGTTGTGTGTATGATCTGACTGTTCAAGTGGAGATGATTTCTAAATGCTTGGGCAAGCTTTTATAACAATTGAAACAGGATGAGCCAAACTTGAGTTATGTTAATTAATATACACACCTGAATATTAATTAAAATTAAGGAAGTTCACATGCTCTGGTTATGCCATTGGCAATGTCGAATCTAGGCTCAAGGAGCAAATGATCGGTCATTAGCTAATTACAGTATAATATTACATTAATTGATACTTGACAGATAGAACATGAGTGCATTGGTTTCATTTCCTAACAATACATAACACATATAATTAATCTATTTCTGATCAGACACAAAAAAATTATGGTTAGGACTAACCAAACTTAGGTTCAGAGAAGTACATAATAGAATCGTTGAGAACTTTGAAATAAGAAACTCTTATTTCAACTTTTCATCAAATATTGTTGTATTTAGGACAAAAAAGGAAATGTGTTATCACAAGCAGGTATGTAAAAAAAAATTAGTGTTTGAGCAAAAAATAAATGTTGGAAAAACAAGTTAGTCTATGATATCAACTTAAGACCATACTCTTGATAAATCTGTATAGTTCATGATAGATCTGTACCAGATAATGGTATGATTACCATGACAATGTTGAAAATTTATAAATCACTGTTCAAAATAAGCTACTGGGAGTTTTGTCATTTATTATCAATCTTCCTAAATACAGATGTTGAGGAAAAATTGTGATTTTTCAATGGGAAATAATGAAAAAGACAATTAGAATCTATTTCAAAGATTTTATATCATTAGCATGAAGGCATTGATATGCAATGTCACCACCTACACCTGCCATTTGTTACAAACGCTGACCACCAAACTCTGACTACTGAACACTGTCTACTAGTCAATAAAAAAGTTTGAGACTATAACAAAATATGTTACCACTAAGACATTTTTTCAAGATATACACAGCAATACACACTTACAACAGAGCCATTCAAAGTTTATACAATCAAATATTGTTACAATTAAAAGATCTATCACTTCAATAATGGTAAGTATGGAACTTAATTTCAACATTTTTATTACACTTTTCAGATAACTGAGGAAAGAAAGGATGGGACAGAAGAGTTAGGATCTCATTTCAAGTGCAACATTTGAAGGCTTGTCTGATATAGATAATCAATTCAGTGAAATAGGCAACAGCCATTATAAATTCTTTCGCTGACATAAGAGGTTCATCGATATGAACAATGTTATCTCCTTTCTTTTCATGCCTAGATATACTTTCACCAGCACTAAAAGCTGAGGGTCTGATGAACAAAATGCATAAGATAGATCAACATATAATATATTAACAATGGTTCAAGGTACAAAATATAATACCTCATTATCCCAAGGTCTTGTTGTTTTTCAAATTGTACAATGTGATAATGCTTCATGAAAAGTTGGGGAGCGGTGTTAGACATTGTTCTTTGTGTATTTTTGAAGACTCTAATTTGAGATATCAGGTTTTGGAAACCTTTGTTTTATAATGCTTGTGACACAAGTGTTTTATAATGAGTGATTAATGGCTACAACAGTTTTCTATTTGCCATGGTTTATAATCTATATGATTCATGAATATGCAATTCTTAATATCAGAGCAGTAAGTATTCTAGGTGTTAAATCTTGTAGCAGTAAGTATTCTAGTTGTATAAATCTCTGAGCAGTAAGTATTCTAGTTTTATAATTCTCTGAGCAGTAAGTATTCTAGTTGTATAATTCTCTGAGCAGTAAGTATTCTAGTTGTATAGTTCTCTGAGCAGTAAGTATTCTAGTTGTATAATTCTCTGAGCAGTAAGTATTCTAGTTGTATAATTCTCTGAGCAGTAAGTATTCTAGTTGTATAATTCTCTGAGCAGTAAGTATTCTAGTTGTATAATTCTCTGAGCAGTAAGTATTCTAGTTTTATAATTCTCTGAGCAGTAAGTATTCTAGTTGTATAATTCTCTGAGCAGTAAGTATTCTAGTTGTATAATTCTCTGAGCAGTAAGTATTCTAGTTGTATAATTCTCTGAGCAGTAAGTATTCTAGTTGTATAATTCTCTGAGCAGTAAGTATTCTAGTTGTATAATTCTCTGAGCAGTAAGTATTCTAGTCGTATAAATCTCTGAGCAGTAAGTATTCTAGTTGTATAATTCTCTGAGCAGTAAGTATTCTAGTTGAATAATTCTATGAGCAGTAAGTATTCTAGTTTTATAATTCTCTGAGCAGTAAGTATTCTAGTTGTATAATTATCTGAGCAGTAAGTATTCTAGTTATATAATTCTCTGAGCAGTAAGTATTCTAGTTGTATAATTCTATGAGCAGTAAGTATTCTAGTTGTATAATTTTATGAGCAGTAAGTATTCTAGTTGTATAATTCTCTGAGCAGTAAGTATTCTAGTTGTATAATTCTCTGAGCAGTAAGTATTCTAGTTGTATAATTCTCTGAGCAGTAAGTATTCTAGTTGTATAATTCTCTGAGCAGTAAGTATTCTAGTTGTATAATTCTCTGAGCAGTAAGTATTCTAGTTGTATAATTCTCTGAGCAGTAAGTATTCTAGTTGTATAATTCTCTGAGCAGTAAGTATTCTAGTTGTATAATTCTCTGAGCAGTAAGTATTCTAGTTGTATAATTCTCTGAGCAGTAAGTATTCTAGTTGTATAATTCTCTGAGCAGTAAGTATTCTAGTTGTATAGTTCTCTGAGCAGTAAGTATTCTAGATATATAATTCTCTGAGCAGTAAGTATTCTAGTTGTATATTCTCTGAGCAGTAAGTGTTCTAGTTGTATATTCTCTGAGCAGTAAGTATTCTAGTTATATAATTCTCTGAGCAGTAAGTATTCTAGTTGTATAGTTTTCTGAGCTGTTTTTGCTTGTCTTTTTGACTTACTTGAACCTCATGTTTTAACTTAATTTACTTTAGTAAGGGATTTGTTTAACTTATAAATCTTAATCATGCCCTAAATGAAAATGTTTTATCTAATGAAAAATAAAACTGCTTTGATCCAAACCAACTGGTGCAAAATGTCAACATGAACTTTAAATCCTTATAAAAATTATTAAACATTGGTTTAAATGTTACTGTAGTATTGTATTGAAAAAAACATGCTGGTGTTCTGAACCTTGTTATAAAAATGTATCAGTAACAGTTCGTTAATTCTGATAGATTGTTGCAAGAATTTAACTACATGATGTATATACAATGTGTTCATCTTGATTTCTCACATTTTTGATTTTGACTTCAAAATATTGTGATATCAGTGTATTCTTTCAGTCTAATGGAATAATACCTTGACTGATTAAGATGGCTTCAGCATAGAGATCATTTAAAATGACATTCATAGCCTAATTAGCTACTGTCTGTATTATGATCTATTAAGACTTGTCTCACCAATGAAGACGGCCTTAAGGATTACCTAATTGAGGTAAACCTATTTAGGTATTATGCTACAATAGTACAGCTCATAAAGTCTTTAAGGACAAAGTAGATCTGGCACGGTGTAAGATATCAACTAGGGTTTACTGATGTTAATTTGTAAACCACATTGTTCAACAAAAAAGTACAAAATTGCATGAGGATTTCAAAATCACAAATTGAATCAACTCATTCAACAGTGATTGTGCAATAGACCTCTGAAATTTGACAATAATAGTGATTTTACTACATGTGCTTGATTTTCACTACTTGACATTGATGTATCAATTTCATTCTCTCAAATTATGTTAAGGTATATTCTTTCTTCAAAAAGAGGCTGGCAGGTGAATGAAGTCATCTTTTTTTCAAGTTTGATCAAAACAAATTAAAATTATAATTTGTACCCAATGAAGTGAACATTGAGGTAGGTAGCAAAAACAGCTACTTGGTGATATATACAGGTAGTGTATTGGTCAGATCATAAAGAAAGTACTTCTAAAGAAAGTGACTTGAATAACCTTATCACTATCAGTTAAACACAAAATTGAGAAAAATTAATGGAATTAGCAAAGATTGAAATACATAAACCATTGCACATCAAATTTTCAGAAAATCAGGCACTTATGGATCCAAAATAGAGAAAACTATGACAACCTTAACCATTTATTCATGGGAATGGAGCAAATGAACATTCTATACAAATACAGATGCACCTGAATCAACAGGTTTGATGTCTATGTAGAATAACATATTTGTTCTTTTAAACAGTCGATAGCTGTTCAAAAGTTTATTGATTGTGTATGTTATGCAATCATGAATATCAAAGAGTTAATCAAGATCAGAAATAATGGCTATTAGGCCTTTCAAGATAAAAAATTAATCTGAATGACAAAAATTTCTACAAAAATAATTTATTAGTAGAATAGAATAATCTATATGTATGATAAATTGTAAAGCAGGATGCAAGGTTTTAATGAGACTCGCTATGATTTTTTATATTACATATTTTTGCAGAATCTCTAATCAAATATACATGACATATACAAAATAATAATTTATCAATTTTGTAATAGTCTTTCGTAACTCACCAATATCAACTATTTTTCAACAGAAATTTTGGCCCTATGAATTTGGAATCATCTTCTCTATTACAATATCTTCAGTTAAATATTATGAAGATAGAATGTGTACAAAAATAAACCCAACTTTTGGGTCACTCTGTACATTTGTGCTTTCTTAAATTGTACTTAAATTGTACTTAGGAAAAGTGCTATATTGTCGTTGTCTGTTGTCTGGTGCTGCTTGATCTGATTAGGTTTTGGGCATGCTGGGTAAATTACTTGGTGGCCATTTTGAATTTTTTCCATAAATCTTGTCATCAAAATTCCAGGAAAAACACTTTACACATACAACAGCAGACTATTGGCAACAACTGATTAGGTTTTGAGCATGCTGGGTAAATAATATGCCAACCGTTTTACTCTTCAAAGTGTGATATTTATCCCTGTGTGTCTTGCTTAAGTTACACCCTATGCATATTGAGAAGTTGACCAATTACCAAAAATATGTTTAGTGTATCAAAATGCTATAATAACTCATATTTTACTTCTACAACACAATGTTATATTTAGAACATAGAACAACCTCCACTGGTTTATCAGCATCCTCACAATAATTATCTTATAACAAAAGCACTTAGCTGTCAAACATTAATTGTTTATTAATCAAAACCAAAGTACCAAGTACTTTACCACTAATTCAAACTTTTAGATGCAATAAACTCTATGGAGCAGTAGTATACTTTAAAACGGTTTCATTTGAAGTTGGATTACATAGCAATATGATGGTAGACAATTATAGTCATTCTGGTGTACCAAATCCCTTTCCCAGGTTTGAATGTATGGGAGAATTAACGATAGTTGAAAGGGGAAGTGCAAACTGTAAACCCCAGTCGATCCTATTAAGAAGATCCCCTCCCCAAACCTTGTATCATCCAACATCCTGTCAGCTGTGTTAATTGTTAATGTAATATGGTAAATGTAAATGTACATGAATTAAATAATTAAGTATGGTTTTAAACCAATATTTATAGAAAACGTTCCTGTATCTAGGAAGTGGTCTTTCTCTCCCCTCTCATACACAAAATGTTATAAATTTTATCTACAATGTAGGACAAGATATAAAGTAAGACACAAAGTCATTAATAAAAGAAATATTAACAACGAAGATTATATTTCTTCTCTCTCAGCTCATCATACGTAATCCATAAACTTGAGAACACTAAGAGGAAGCATAAGGACATTAAGTGATATGATCAGAATTTGTTATTATTATCAAGTATATATATCTAGTACTATCAGTCTGCTTTCCTTTATTCTCTAAACAAGTCTTGTACTCGAGAGAAGCAAGGAAGAGTTGTGCGAAAAGAATTAATGCAACACAATAAACATTTGGTTTCTTACAGTATCTCTACTCAGCTATTCTTACTAAGAGAGATATAGTCTTGCATCGGGTCCCTATAGGGGAAGGGTATATCACATGGACTTGATGCAAGACTAATAAAGAAATAGAGAATGGCAAAGCAACATCATAATATAACCAAAAATTTGCTAGAGGAACATACAATTTTGATTCAAATCAAACAAATGTGTCCCTCAAAAACAAAAAAATCCTTGTTATGTTAGACTTACCCAACGATGAAAGAGACAATGTACAATGCCAGGCATATTCCTCCTACTGCTCCAAAGCTGCCCAAGAAGAGGGCTACTCCCAGCACCACCCAGAATACAGTTCCTGACATATCAGACATCTTACATCTCTCTTGATCTGACCTATAAGAAATCTTAAAAAGTTTAAAACATTGCAATACGATTATATTCTCTTTATCTAATAGAATGAAAAAACATCAGAAAATAGATATTTATCTTTCTTTTATTCCTGAAGTATTCCTTTCCTTAAATTATGCATCTGAAATTTCATAAAATTAAAGTTTGAACTCTAACCTTTGCCAGAAGTCATGCAATATGTATAATAATAGCTCAATCGAACTGATGGTAATTTAGCAATTTGGAGTAGAATCAATAGAGGTAGGTGAATATCAAAATGAACAGAAAATTATTGATTAGTCAAGTCTTGTAACATTTAATGGTACTCATCCTTCAAGTGCACAACTACTGTAGAAAGAGAATGTGTATTCACTGATTTGTTAAACCGAATTATAAATTTTCACGCAGAGTGTAAATGTCTCAAAAGTCGACAAATACCATTACGTGTACTTAAGGCTACTCGAATAGACTACTGACCAAAATTTCATTTATCAAAGTATGAAGAATTGTTTTGAAGTTCCAAATACTTTAGTTACTTCCATTACTGTATGATATCTACTTTTGTGAATGGTAAGAAGCAATCAAGTCATAATAATATTTATAGAAAGATGAGCATTTTTTCAATTTCAAATTATGTTTATTGTATCATAGTCAATTTGATTAGTTTTGATTCAGTTCCTTATAGAAATTTCGTTTCATTCAGCATTTTTTCAGAGTTCCGCTAAAAAGGCATGGTTTGACAGTAAAGGAGAGTACTTAAGGTTCAGTTAGAGTCAGTTTCAATATTGGGTTGTGCATCAATAAAACCTAGAAAAAATAAGCAATCAAAAGACAATGTAATGCAGTATCATAAAGAAAATACAAAAATATTGTAATCTAAAATGTTAGTAAATCCATGAGCTTTCAACACTTGAAAGCCCACGGTATATCTTGTGGTATCACTCACAAAATGTGTGGTCTCTTGCATGTTGATGCGTCTCTGACATGTTTTTTTTTTAAATGGCCACAACTTTCTAAATTACAAGAGGACATAGGCTTATTACACATAAAACTAATTTATCTAAAAAATACAAATGTTGTGTATGTAAAATATGAATGCATTTTCCATATGAAACTGCACTATGGTCTTTTGATTGCTTAGATTTTAGATTTTCTTGACACACTACCCCATTAAAAAAGTCCCTAAATAATCACTTGATGGGGATGAATTCCTACACGAACGACAAAGAAAATGATGATGAGGACAACTACAAGTAAGAAGTTCTAGCCATTTCAAATTTAAACTCAAGCTAGGTGAGAACACAAGACCCTATCTGTTGCAAGATGTATGCCTGGCACAACCGTCACCATGTTATTCAGTGTTTTTAGTTGTGCAAAGATCCTGCCATGACCATGGTAGTGTTATCATGAAAGCCTGGTATACGTGACAATGTTATATAATATTGCAAGGCCTGTCATGACTGTGGTAATGTTAATGTTAAAGCCTGATATGCCTGTGACAATTCTTCAAATTTAAACCCAAGTTAGGTGAGAAACAGACCCAGGAAAACTCGTGGAACTTGATTATCAATTCGCAAAATACAGGCAGCATTGCAGATGTGCATTTATGAAGATGACTTCGGGTGAGAATAAAATGTCTAGGTTAATAAAGAAAAATCTTCAATTTGAACATGAATATATCTAAAATTGAAGAAAAAAATCAAGTTGAAATCTGGAATGAAAAGTGGGCAGGATTTCAGTCAAAATTTTGCCGGAAATGAAATAGATGATGCAGGCAAATTTGGTCGTTGACACTCAAAGTAGCATACAATATGAAAAAAGTATATACTTGCCTTTGTTATTAAGGTATCTCTATAGAGGAAATATGTACCAGTATGTTGTAAATCTCCATAATGTGTTGGGTTTTAGATTCAAAATTTTTCGATGGTCTCCATATTGATTTGGTGGTGTTGACAATCGACCAATCAGAATCATTGTTACAACCGCTGAATTCAGGTCAAGTCACATCTACCATCATCGATTCTGATTGGCTTCAGAAATCTTATCAAAACTTGCCAAGTCGGATAACATGTGCTCTTGTTTTGCAGCCAAATTTGAATCATTTGTAACGCATATGTGATTAAAATGAGTATTTAGATATGTACATGGAATACACAACTTTATGATGGAGTAAAATTATGGACGATCGATTGTGCAACTTCACGAAATTATTCAAGAAAAGCATGTGAGGTAAAAAAAATTGTTATGATTTTATTTTGAAAAGTTCACTCATCAATGTCTATATTACATTTGTTTTATATGACTTATTTATGACTTATTTAGGCGAAGGCTAATTTTGCCTGTTTCCATGTTTTCATATTTCACTGATGTTTGGTAACGTTCAGCATTAAATCATTTAACAATTATCACCAGGAAAGTATTTGGAAGGTTTTCCAGATACATGTACTTTCCTCAGGGATTAAATTCTTTACATACATGCCTGTAGCCAACTTTTACCACGGAGTCAAGGGGGAGCTTTTAGTCCAACAACATTAGACCTAGCCTGGGGCCTTGTTTCTTATCTGACATGTCTAATGGCCCCAGCTAGCAATAATGGCCAACTAAATTCCTAAAGTTCTAAAGAAAGTCGTTATTGAGTTTAACAACGTTGAACTAGGGGGAGTTTTTGCCAAGGGAGGGGGGGTGCTATTTGACAGTTTTGGCTAAAAAATGTGCGAAAAGTACTCAGAAAGGTGAAAACTGCATGAGTTTGAAACCATTTCTAGCCAGGGGAGGGAACGTCTGCTACCCTCTAGCTCCCCCTGGTTACGGGCCTGCCTCTGGCCAACCATCAATGAATGCAAATCAGAAATTTAATCACATGCGCCAGTTTGTGTGGAAGGGGTTGGTTTGGAATAAAGTTTCCTGACTGGCATATGACTCAATCCTAAAGAACGATTCTCGTTTTGGAGAACGAAGTTCATCAATCTAAATGAGCATTATCCCTGCTTCGGACAAATTTGATTTTTTTTTTACATAATATAGATTTGAATGTCTTCTTTTGAATAGTCATAATTTAATTTGGGTAATATTTCAAGATTTTTCGCAAGAAAATATTAGCGCAATACACTGATGAACTTGTTTCCCCAAATCGAGACTTGTATTTTATTGAATTGGTCTAATTGAGCGTTATCCCTGCTTCAGACCAATTTGTTATTTTCACATCTTGTAGATTTAAATGTCCTCTTTTGAATATTCATTGTTTAATTTTGGTAATATTTCTATATTTTTCATGAAAAAAATGATTAGCCCAGGACACTGTTCTTCAAACCGAGAATCGTCCTTTACTACTCAGAGCATAGGCATCGGTAGGCTCATCTTTTTGATTTCTGTGTTGTTTATTACGAAAGGTGAGTTTCAGTCAGTCTGTAATTCCATGATGTAGGAGGGGGGACAGGATTTACTTTCAGCAGAATTATCCTTTATCCTTATCTAGTTCTTCGACCATTTCTGCACAACCAAAAATTCACATTGATGCATTTTATGTGTCGAGTTAAAAGTGTAAGGTATTATTTAATTTTTTTAAATTGTGTGGAGAAGAGGGAAGATAAACCAGTCTCGTTTCTTCCCTGAGGGGGAAGATAAACCAGTCTTGATGTAAACAATACTGAAGGTGTGAAGGGGCACTACCTGCTAAACAGTGGTCTCTTAAAAACCACTGTATGCATACACGGGGAAGTCACCCATTCCCTCTTATGTTCTATACATGTATATTAAAAAGTTGAATCTATAGAACATCAGAGGGGGTGACTTACTCCCTATGCATGCATACATGCCATTATTAGAGGAACATTTACAGTAATTGCCAATGACATAAAACCTTTTGAATGATATTGACCTAACATGATTGTCTCATATTGTAATTACATTTCTGTTTGGTATTCCAACCATGTTTCAAAGACCTGAAGAATCTATTGAAAGTCAATACATGATTGATCAATATATGATTAAAGGGCCATAACTACATACTACTGTAGGCCCACAATAAGAACATGAATTTCGGAAAAATTATTGATACATACACTTTGAAAATTATTGTATTAATTCGTTAAGCCAGTGATAAGTTGGCCCTGATTCTTTCCTTTTTCATATTGATGTAGTTTTTATCATAAGTCATTTTATTCTTTAGCCTATGGAATCATGTGTTTGTTCATCCATCCTTTTTTCAATGCTTGTGGGATGACATATTATGATCTCTTGCACTAAGGAAAAATGATGTTAATACATGGTCTAGTGTGGTAGCAGTCAGAGCCAGAAAATCAAATTTCCTGAGCTTAAATCACTTGAATGATATTATAACAGATACATAAGTTCAAATATTTTGGATGCACAGCTTCAGAAAATGTAATAATGTCTAATTGACATAAAACAAGGAGACGTGAAACACCTATAATGGTATTAACTTTGAATTATCTAGGCATCGAGTTACTCTAAGATCATTTTTGAAATGGATCCAAGTTGGTCCAGAGGGAAATTTAATGTAATTGTATGATTTTGTGCTGTTTTCAGGGTAATTTGGTGAGACATGGATTGATTTTAAGAAGCATCAGTTTTACTAAATCTAATGCCGGTAAAACAGCCCTTGTAGAAGAATCCGAAACCTTCAATTAGAACGATTTTTAAAAGCCATTCTGGACATCCATCAGCTTTGCAGTACTTATTAAAAACAGGAAAATTAAAGTGTTTTCTTCAAGTAAAGCGCCTGACTACAACTTGTACGACACAAATAGACATTTTTGGATAAATTTCCAGGATTTATAGATTAATAATGAAGGTACTATGATTTGATTTAAAAAAGCCATATATAAACCTTGATACACTACCAAAGCAGGGTCTTGGGACACCAACGTATCGTAGTTGCAACATTACTGTATCATATTCTTGTGACAGTATGATGGTTCCAGACTGGATTCTGTGCCTAGACAAAAGGTAAGATTTTCTTTTAAGTTGACTAATCCTTTCAGTGAACTCCCTATGTAGATTGCCTCCTTTGATATAGTGCCATGCATCTATCTATTAGGCTGATCCCGCGAGAAGATCCATGTTCTTACTCATGCTATGATACCCATGCCCCCATTGTCTTGAATTCCCCAAGGAGTTTTGCACAAGTGGTAGGTAAAAGAGGGTCTGTAAGATCAGAATACCTATCATAAGATGGAAACAGCTCTGATAGAGAAATGCAGCGCAGGATGACACACCTTTACACAGAATATTTATTATCTTAGATTAAGGATAGACTGGAACTGAGCCTAACCTGCACACAGTGATGTTATTTCATAAATTTCACTGTCTTACAAGCAACTCCAGAAATGACCTATACATAAGATGATACATAGAAATTACACCTCAACTGTATACATCAACTTATGATTTTAGACACCAATCACTGTCTACTGAGTTAATCTACTTTTTCTCGGTTGATGATGTCTTGAGTCTCATCTTTTCTAAGCAGTGATCTCTCTGGTATTAAGCAAGATGGCGATTCACTCATTTGATATTTTTTAATAGGCATCGCACCCACCTGAGTATCAATTTGCACTCACTTGAAAATTGAAAAATCTTGAAAAATTGAAAATATTTTGGCCAAATTTGGTCTAAATTGTGAAATTAAGTGGAAAAGCCTTGGGGAGAACACTGCTAAGGATATGTTAAAGCATTACCAGCTTATAACTTTACATTGTGAATTGATAATTGTCATATTATCACATATTTGCTTACTTCATACCCTGAACGTCTGAGATGCAGAGATTGGATCATTTTCTTTGAGAGGGTCTTGATACTTGAATACATATATGGCACTCTTAAAGATATGCTTTACAGATATGTAGGTCAGTATTACATAATCGTGAAATGAATAAGTCTGAATATATCATTGGTCAGAAAAAACTAAAACCTGCTTGAAACTGTAAAAGTTTATACACTCTATTCCACACTGTATAGAAATAAAATAACTTACACTATAAGTAACTGTGAGCCAATCATTGCATAGAAAAAACTTTATGCACTGTTTATAAGATTCACTGAGACAAGTGGGTCAATACCTCATGTACTTTATGTGCTCTCACACAATTACCTTCCCTTGCATAAAGTTGCTGTACAGTTATATGTAACTGAATATTGTATATTCATCGCAAACAACCTTAGCAAAATGATGGTTCGACGAAATGGACGGATCGCTAAAACCAATAAACCAGGCAATCCAGGCCAATTTGGAAAGAAACTAGATAGCGTGATAGCGAATGAGGATAGTAAGTGAAATATATTTTGCAAAGGTCAGCTTGTAAACTACTGGGTAACCCTAAATGATGAGAAATATGTACAAAATATGTTTTGCATGATTTATTCATATCCCAATGATTTAACTCCTTCACTGCATCTAATAAGGTATATACTTAGGTGGTTCAAAAAGTTTTGCAGTTGATGCCATAACTTAAAAGAAAATAGGACTTTTACAATGAAACTTGGTACACATATGTGTTATACATTTATACATTATATGTGAAAAGGAAGAGGTGCGATTATTGGCAAATACCCATGGTCAAAATGAATAATTGTTAGGTGTAACATGAAGAATAGAATGTCATATAACTCTTTGGAAAATATTAAAATGCTCGGGCACACATAGGCTGAGATAGGGGCCATTTAGTTAAGTAAGGTTGTATTGCCTTACATGGGGCTGTGCTTCATTGACTTAACATGAGGATATCAGCAGATCCCAATAGAGGCCATTGGTTTCTATTGATTATCACACAAATACCTAAAAATACACTATGACCTGAATCGATTGCAAACTTAATAATTTCACAATATGGCACTAATGGTTTATCTCATCAAATGTGCAAATATGAAGTTTGCAATCGATTCAGGTCATACTTAAAATTAAAAGATTGTACATTTTTCATCATTTTTTCCCTACAAATGGCTATAGAAAAATGCTCCAAAAACAACTTTTACACTTATCAAAAATCATACAACTTTGTAAAACCAAAGAATATACTATTTTATTTCATTATGTTGTAACATATTTCGATAAGATGTAGGGATGCGTAGGATGCAAATGGATTTTGACAGACACAAAAATACTTCCTGGTTTGGAATCATATGCCTCTACACTTCATGATTGAATTATGACCCTAATAAGTGGCCTATACATCAATACAGTGCTGAATATAGGTCAACAAGATACTAGTGTGCATATAAATGTAATAATTAAAGCAGAATACTCATTTTGAAAAATCAGATGAATTATTTTTTTCTCATGGGGAGATCCCAATGGAGGGTGTATAGGGTCCTTTGGGACCTCAATTTTGATTGGTTCTTGAGAGATGGTTGCTAAGGTAACCAGAGTGGCGGGTACCATGTTCAACCCGAAATTACGTTTTTCCAAATAGTTTTCTTGCTTGAATAAACTCTTTGCAAAGTGGCAATTAGCAGGTGTAAGTGTCTTTGGGTGGCTATTTTTCTTCAAATTCTTCAATTTTTTGCCAGCTGTCAACACATTCTGGCAATGCTTTAATTTTAATAGAATTATTTTAATATTTTACTAACTGTATAATATGTAGTTTGCATTACTGTTGATAAATAAATAAATGATTGCACTGTTCAGTAAAGAAATATACCAATTGTATTATTTAAACTGACTATACACTATAGAAATGATTTTCATTGAAAAATCAAATCAGTACCAAAATTATGGTTACCCTGTAGTAGTGAAAGGCACATTAGAAATGAATATCACCCCCTTCAATCTATTTTTACAGGTTTTTATGATTATTTCAGATTTTTCTATAGTTTGCGTAACCAGGACGGTGAATTTTCTTCATTTTTCATCAAACATTTTGTCTTACCAATATTTATTATATCTGTCAATTTTATCAAAATCGCGCCGCTACGTTTGAAAATAATTCAAATTATGTAGTTTTTCCCATTGAGCTCCATTATAAAAATGGAATTTTCAAAGTTAATATTTTAAAATTCTACGCGGTGAAAAGTTGCATATTGAGTAGTTAGTTAATGTTATGGTGTTAAAAATTCAAAACAAAAAGGAATAAAGAAAAAATGCCACAGAGAAGTCTCAATAGAGTCTCTTTAAGCCTACATGTATTTCTAAGGTCTCGATGCAAAAATACTTGTCATACAATGCACCCTTTTAATGAAATGGTAGATAAGATCTTGATGCAAAAATACTTTTCATACAATGCACCCTTTAAGTGAAAGGGTACTTCTAAGGTTGTGATGCAAGAATACTTGACATATGCACCCTTAAAGTCTGACTATTTGTAAGTGTATCAGCGAAGGTCAAAAGCTGGTATAAAGGCCGTATAATGTTATACATCATCTAATTGCATCATCATACTTCTCCAATCTTTCTGATTTCTATGAACATCTCATTAGACCACAATCATGCTTAGATAGAATCATTCAATCTACCCAGACCTAAAATATTCAAATATACACCTGCTTTATTCAATCTCTCTCTAAAATTAATTGTAGTGCCTGGCTTCATGTCATTTCTGTATAATTTAGGATATTAAGTACATGCCCATTTAATTAACTCCTTGGTAATTCCATTCTTTTCCACTCTATCTCGTATTGCAAATTGTGATCATCATACTACTTTTCTCATGGGCTCGCTAATGACATTGTAGTACACCTTTCTTTATGAGAGACTCTATTACGTTGATTAGCAACATTTCGTGCCAATCTCTATACATACCCTGCGTAAGGAATGCCACATTCTTGTTTTAGCGTAAGTTCATCACTTTGAGGCTCCTTATTATTGCTTTCTACTGAGCTGAAACAACCAAAACGTGCATCATCATGACTCTCATGGCAGTCATTATAATTATAATTTAGAGTTATTATTGATATTCCAGCATTGGAGTTAATGAGTCAATACATCCATTTGAGATTATGATGATTATGATATTTTATTCAGAAAACCCATGGTCTGATATCATGGGACCACAGTCATTTTTGTCGAATTTGAATTTGTGAATTTTTATAAAGCCATGTTTGCTATTCATTTATTTTATATGTGTGTAGATTATACCCAATTAAAGAAAATTATGTAAATAGTTGTATACTTTATTCTATAGTGGCTATATTTTGTGTATAAATGGTAATGTCCCTTTTTGTAATTGTTAATATTGCATTTACTTGATCTCCGTATTTAACTCAGCAGAACTAGTTATTTCAAATAATCGCCTGGATACAATTATGTTGTGAAAATCTATATTCATCAACAAGTATACAAACTGTCAGGAACACCAGGCGATAATTGTTCGAGGCAGATGGAAAATGTATTATTCCAGACACTATTATTTCACAGTGATTCACTTACAAATTTATATTAAGTATCTGACTTTCCATCTGGACTTCATTACTGTATGGTATTTTTTATCTCAGATTCTATTTTGCATTTCGGAACATTATATACAAATGTATAGGTGTTTTGAATAATATATTTAAGAAATATAGACTGAAGAGCAAGTATTATATTGACAAATAAATACCAGGGTTAGGCACAAATGTCTTCTGTTCGAAAGCTGTTGTGTAGCCCTAAGGTATTTATTACTTGATACAATACCTGATCTGAGGTCCATGTAATATTATGATTCGAACATGCTAACTGAAATTTTGCAAAATTGTCAATTGTCACTTCATTTCCAACTTCTAGTTTAGCGTTTGCACTGAGTGAAACACTTAATACAGACCAGGTATTGTATTGACAAATAAATGCCAGGTGAAATATTGACTTTGTTTACAGTTTATAGAAGGCGTGAATACAGTCATGTTCAAATTTTAAATATATTAGTCTATATGTTTTGTGATCTGAGTATGAACATACATCAGTACATTATTAGCATCAGCTGGAAGTGTTCATATTTCAAGGAGTTCATATTTCATGGTGTTCCAATTACAAATTT